CTTTTCTTTAAATTTTACTTAATAAATTGAATTATGTCTATTTACTTATATGAAACTTAATTAAAGCTATACTTCAAAGCATAGCAAGGAATATAAATTCAAATCTAATTATCTGCACATGTATAAAAATATAAAAGTTACATATGAATATTTACATTGAAAACTAGATTTTTATACTAATAATTGGATTTTCAAGTAGGAAATAGTTAATTGTTGCTATCAAAAGCAATTTCTTTCAAAAGGGGTATTATAAAATTAAAATAAAAATGTAACGATTTCTATTTTTTTCTTCTTTTTTTGCATTTTTTAGATTTAAGTATTTAATTCATTAAACTTTAAAGTACATTTATGCAGGTGATTTTGATATAGATTGTAATTATGTCAATTTTGTGATAGTTGTTTAAGCATCTGAAAGGCTAAAGGCAATCCAAGTGTTTTTTCAAAGGAGTAGTATTTAGATCAATCTCTTCCTTAGTACTGTTTCCCGATAAGTACTGTTTATGTTTCCAGAATTTTCACTGGATAACATCACAATACACAGAAAACCCCTGTTGCCTACTTGAAAATCATGGTGATTTTCACTAAAACCGTTTTTAAAAAATGCTCTCCTGAGCATTTTGAAAATGTGGCTTATTATCATTATATTGCCACAATTCTCGGAATTTGACTATAAATTGCATTTAGATTATTAATCAAATTGAATCTAGATATTTAAAATAGCACAATAATCTGCTTAGTATTTCTCTAACAATTTAAAAATAAATGACTATATCTAAATCTAATTATAATATAGTTTTATAGAACGGAATATAATTTTTTTAAACATGTTCTTTAGGTATCCTTTTCCAAAGTATGTTACCAAAATTTCATTTCGTCGTATGTATTACTTGAATATAGTTTTTTTTTTTTTTTTTAAAAACATGTTCCCTAGGTATTATTTTCCTAAGTATGTTACCAAAATCTCATGCCTTTGTATTACTTGAATAAGATTTTTTTCAAAGAATGTTACTTAAATACAATTTTTCTGTGTCTTAATTTTTTTATTTTTATAATACGTTATTTGAATAAAGTTTTTTGAAACACTTATTTGAATATCATTTTCTACATGATACTTAAATTTTATTATTTCTCATATTATTTTAATATCTTTTTTTAAAGATATCAGGTGAGTATAGTTTAAAAATTAATTTTATTAGACAAACATTACTTGTAAGTTAATAAAAACAAACAAATTTAAAAGGAAGGGAATAATAAACTGACTTCATAGCTTCATACTAAAACAGTTTCCACCAATGTTAAAAGATAAACAAGTTCTTACAATCGATTGTTTAATTACCTGGTATCTACACTGGTGGACAAAATTAAGAGATGTAAGACATTTTTCCATATAGCTCAAAAAATAATGAATATAAATATATGAAATTTGGTATGGATATAGCNAGATACTCATCAACCATGAGAGCCCGATGTGGTTGCGCATTGTCGTCCATAAAAATAAACTCAGAGCCAACTGCCCCCCTGAAAAGACGCACATAGGGCTCTAGGACCTCCTGCCTGTACCTATGGGCATTCACGGAACCATTATCAAACACATCGAGCGGTGTGCGGGTATCTTGCATGTGCGAATGAATGTGCGAAAATGCTTTCCATCTCTTAATTTTGTCCAGCAGTGTAAATAGAAACTATGGCATGAGAATGCATGCGATGCTTATATTTATTTTTTGACATTTATTTGTAATAAAAATAAAATAGAAGATGTATATATTGTACTTCTAAGCCTTATGTTGAGTATTTTGATAAAAAAAAAAACTATTTTCCATTATCTATTGTTCACCAGGGAAGTTTAAGCGAAACTTAGTTGAAAAAGTGAAAAATTTAATCATAACACAGAAATATTTTTCATTGTTTTCCAAAGTATGTTTCTTTGTTTCAGAGGTGTAAATGAAAGTTTTTTTACTTTCAATTAAAGAAAAGGTGTTTCACCCTTTCAAAAAAGGTTTCTGTGAAAATATTGGAAATTTCATTGCATTTTTTTAATGTTTCTGGATTCTTCCGAGCTACACTGTAATAAAATTATGGATCAAATTCCGGTAAAAAGTATCGGCACTTAGGGTACCGGTACTTTTTGCCGTAAGAACTATTTTTACAGGAACATGTTACGGAAAAAATAATCTGATATGCCATAATTTTTACCGTAATAATTACCGTAAAATCACTCTAATTAGATAAATATTACTGTGAAGATTACTTTATAATATTTAACGGATGGATTTTCCGATAAAATGGATTTTACAGATCATACACCCAAAGTGCCTGTACTTATATCGTTCGCAATTTTTTTACAGTCCACATATTATAGCTCGATGCTCAACTGTGCTTTCTAAAGTAATTTGACAAATATTGAAAAAAGATAGATAAATATGTATAACTTCTCACTAAACAAACATGCTCAAATATTTTCACATCAAATAATTACTTTTTTTCTGTGTTACTTATTCCCGATTTTAACTAAAGACAAGTTTTAAAATGAAAATATACAAGAAAATAAAAATTAATTATTAAATACAGTTACTAAAATCACAGGAGTAACGTGAGGGGGGAGGGGCACACTTCTTGTTCTTAGAAAACGGCTCGCTCATTTTAAGTTTTATATACAAGTGCATATTTATTTTTCATTTGCATGTAAATTCATATATAAATGTATGCACAAAATTTAAAATAGACTAACAGTTTTCCATAAACAAAAAGTGTACCCCTTTCACGGCACGCCTATGACTAACATTCAAATTTAAATAAATAAGAAATGATATTTAAAAAGGGCTAAAAAGATGATTCAAACGTTATCACAAAAAATAAGTTATCACGATTACATGCATACCACAGATTTAAAAAAAAAACTTTTATTCATCTTTATTTTTAATATATAACTTTCTAGACATATATCTAAACTAATTACCTAAGTATGAACGTGCTTACAAATATCTGTCTAATCTTCAAATACATACAACAGAACCTTTAAAGAAGTACTTCAAAAAGAGATAAACAAGTTGTTCAAATATTCTGAACAGCAACAAAAAATTGTGAATAAATCGCATGTTGAATAAAAAAAAATAAAAAAAATAGATGTCTGTTGTCTAGAAATGATATGATGCAAATGAATGAAAATTCTCTGGAAAAGCCGATTCATGTTTTTAAACGATTGCAAATCACTGAGAAAAATAATTCAATTTCGAAAATATAGGTTACTACTTTTCAGAAAAAATCGAATTAAAACAACAAAGGAAAAAGTCATTCAACAGTATTCTCAGAAAACAATTATGAAATTAGAACCTTTTCGGTAAAGTAGAACAAAATTCTTGTAAGTTGTATTAAAGAATATTTTTTGGAAATAACATGGGAATAATTATAATAAATAACTATTAAATTAATAAAATATATACAATAAAAAGTGTTAAAATATTTTCCATAGCAAATTATTTAATCTCATTTTCTTACTTAAAAATGGGATGCAAGTGGTTTATGATGATGATTGATTGATTTTGTTGAAATTAATTTTAATAAAATAAAGATTAAATTGTTTTCTGTTTTTAAGATGATTATGTTAACTATATCATATAAATATCATAATGAAATTATTCTAACTTCGCTGAGGGGATGATTCTGTCATGATTCATTTATTCTGTTATCCTGTATTAAATAAAAAATATATATTATGTATTAAGATGAAATATACTATTTACATTGCTGATCATTACATTATTTGATCAACCGAAAGAATTTTCTTGATTACATTTTTTTTAAAACGTCATTTGCAGACGATTTTATAAAAAATAACCATCGATGCTCATTTATTGTTCTAAATCATATTATTTTGACCAAAACATATGGTTATATTGTTAAAACATTATTAAGATGAGTTTGAGTAGATAGAGGAAAAAATCACCGAGTCATTTATGTTTAAAAATTCATTTGTACCTTTAAAAATTCAATCTGTCCTTTAGTTTATTATTTCTCTGATGGATCTTTGGCTTCTCTTTTTAAATTAAATAAAGTAACACGTTCAGTTTTTTAAATGTAATTTTGACTTTTTCTAAAATAATGTTTTTAATATTTGTTATATACTTTTAGTTTTTTTCTATATTGGAACCCAATTTCTTTCAGACTTTCTATAGTACGTATAATATGATGATTAAATAAATACTAATAAAATTAAATATCAACTTGCAAATTAATCTAATTTTATTCTTATTCTATATAAAGGATAGAACTAAGAAAAGTAGAAAGGCGGGTTGATGATTTCTATTACAATAAAGTACTGTCATATATCTAGTAAAGTATTATTACTAGAAATTTCTATCAATATTTATCATTGTTGGAATTATGCATGAGGACAGAAAAATTGCATTTTTTCTTTAATTACGATATTTCGATTTATTATTTTGTCAAATACTTTCTATTGTACACATACTAGAACAATTAAATTAAATTAAATTTGCAAATCTATCTATTTCCTTAATTCTGTGAGTAAAACAGAATTCATGAATTTTAACGGGATTTAAGAAGAAGAAAAAAAGAAACACATTTAACATACTACTTTACAATTGTTTAATTTAATAAAGCGTATTGTGTATTTTTAAAGTTATATGAAATCTGTTTTGTTTCGAAGTTAAATAACTTAATTTATTTATTTAAAAAAGAAAAAAAATTGGTGCTATGAAATTTCAGCAAAAACATATTGTTATATTGTTAAAAAAATTATTATTGTTAAAATATGATTACTTACATTATTCACCGGGTGTTTAGGAACAATTGAAAGCATTTTCTTGACTACATATCTTTAAAAGTCATAGAACATTTTGCAAACGATTTTATTGAAAATAACCATCTATAAGTTTAATGCTGATTTTCAATGGTCAAAAAATGGCTTTTTGCCAAAACATATGATTATATTGTTTAAAAAAATTCTTATTGCAATAAATATATTTATTTACATTACTCACCATGCGTTTAGGAAAAATTGAAAGAATTTTCTCGGCTAAGTTTCTTTTAAAAATCGGAGAACGTGTTGCGAACGATTTTCGATTTTATAAAAATAACCATCGATAATTTGATTTCTGATTTGTAGTTGTAAACTCATATCCTTTTAAGTTTTTTGAACTTGATTCCCACAAGCAATGCGCGTTCTTTTGAGATCCAGAATGAGTTCTTAGTAATAAATATCGACTCACCTACAGTAGACACCTGTTCATAAATAAATATAAGAACTAATAAACTTCATTGCGACATCATGACCGTACCATGTTGCTTTATTCTTTCAAAGGAAGAATTATTATTAACTTAATAGTTTTCACAATTATTAAAAAAAATTATGAGTTCTATGCATACACTTATAATTCACGCACATTAAAAATAACACGCAATGATTCACGATGGAAAAAATGAAATAGCCTTAAAATTCCACTTGTTTTTGGAGTAAAGTGAATCGATTTGATTCATTTTTTAATATTGTTTAGAAAATTGAATGCCTGTAATAGAATACCTCATAAAATTCGGTCAATCCAAAGTTTGTCAATTCAAAATTACGGTATGAGGTATGGGGAAGGTAATTTCCTGTATGTTTGGTTGATAAATTCGAAGCAAAAAGTAAATAGTGGCAGCTCTATGAGCAGTTGGACTCCGATTAACGAACCTCTATTTATAGAATTTTGTGATTTAACGTTTTTCTTTTCTCCGATTAAAAGGAATGCTAAACCACTATTTAACGAATTTAGAATTAATTATTATAAATTATTCCCGAATTTGGAATAAATTATTTCAACAGCTGAAAAAAAAATAGTTTTAGTCTTTTATAAAGGAAATTAATTTTTTTAAAATGCTATTAAGTTAGTTTATAATGTTACAGAAGAGGTTTGTCTTTGTTTATTTATCTATGTTCTGCCCAGAAATCAATTTCCAATATGACAAAAAAAAAATCGAAGTTGTGCTTTTTTTCGGCAGATTGAACAAGAATGCTTAATTTACTAGACCTTTTGCAAAAAATAATAACAGAAATTTTTTTTAATCAAAAATATATGAAAAATGCTTTTAAAAGCGGCATTTTTAGTACAAACTTAAAGAATTTAAGCAATCAAAATTCGTAGTAAATTTGGTTGCTGATTGAAAACTATACAATTTTTATTTATTTATTTATTTGTATGCATGTACAGGGAAAAACATAATAGTCATTAACGATAATTTCTAATAAAACAATACAAAATTTTGTTATTATGTTTACAATTATGCTTGTTTCATACTATTATGCAAATATAACTGTAATTAGGGCATAAATCTTCCTCAGGTTGAGCAATGACCTTGATTGATTTGGTACGTGTAGTAAACGTCGCACTTGTTTTGGATTCATCCTTGATGATGATCCAAAGACAATACTTGTTTGTACTTGATGAAAATATAACATGAGCACACTACACAACCACAAGATCGGAGATAACTTCGACTAATTAACGATTGCAAATATCATGCAAATTTCAAATGTCTGAACTAACTTTGATACACATCCGATATTTTCAGAAGAAAAGTTATCCTTACTGTCGATGGGTGTAATATAAAATCGGGGAACACGAATAAAATTCATTTTTTATGAATGTTTAAAATAAAATTTAAAATCCCTTTTGCATTTAATAAAACTCCAGGAAGAAAGGTTCTCAAAAATGCATTTATAATACAGTCAGACTTCTATTTAACGAACTTCTTTTTTGCGAATTTCTCTATTTTGCGATTTTTTTCGAGGAAACAAGAACATTTTGGAAATTTCTTCGCAAAATAACTTCCAAATAGCGAATTGAATTTTCCATGCAACGAACTTTTCTTTAAGATACACTTTCCCTATTTCCCAAAATATTTCAGGACATTTCAAACTTGTTAACGCATTTTATGGGGGAAATTCAACGACTTTTTCATGTAAAAAACTTTTTGTCGGGATTTAGCGACTTCGTTAAATAGAGGTCGGACTGTAATACAAACTCTATTTATTTTATTGATATATTAAAAAAAAAATTAAAACTTTACGCTTGACTGCATTTTCACTTTCGAATTCATTGCACTGTTCTGATAGAAGACAGAACTAACCCAACTACTAAAATAATTCAGTCAAACCTCGTTATAGTGAACATGGTTTATTGTAAACTCCCGGATATAGTGAACGGAATGTTCGCTCCCGTTGCTATTTGCTAAACTTAAGGAGGGGAAGGAAAATAAGTTATTTTTCTTAAATTTCTGTAGCTGAAAATGACTCTTCTATTGGCTAGGTCATAGGTTCTCAGACTGGGTGCTATAAAATAGAACTTTCTGTTTTAATTTTGAAATATATTTTACGTAGCTCTACTAAAAAAATACAGGTGATTGATTGCACCTTGACCTGATAACAAACATAAACCACATTATTGCACTTTTATTTATGATTCGTAAGAAAAGTATTTAATTTGAGCTGCAAAATTATATTTCGATGTTTATTTTATGTACATATGAGCTATTTTCATCAAAATTTGCATGAAAAAAAGTTTCATTATAAATGTTTTGGTCATTATTTTCAATGACTATTAAAGGTGATTTATAAAAGTTGAATCCTAACAAAAATATAAAAAGACTTAAAATGGGACAAAAAGCATTATTTATATTACTTGTATTATATTATTTTTTATTTTATTATTATTATTTTTTTGAAGATTACATTGAAATTTTCTTTCTCTTGCAAAGTGGGCGGAGATCCATAAAAGTTTGGGAACTTCTTGGCCTTGGGACTTGAAGGTATCAGTGTGACCCTTAAGGGAAAAAGTTTGGTGACCCCTAATATATATCAACGATTTCTGTGACTAATACTGTCATTATTTCAATCGATCATGTTACCACAAAATGTTTCAACCCATCTTTTAATGAAAATGCATTAGGTAAAGTATTTCATGCGTTAGAAACTTTATGCATACAAACTGTTAAAACTATTTAGCGATGAGTAATAAAGGTGAAAGGTGTAGTATAAACCATGCAATTGCGAGGTGTGGTTTGTTCCTTGCTCATCAAAAAAAAAAAAGACTATGAGTCACTTTTGAGGTTGAAGTCTGAAAAAAACCCTCCTTCAAAACAGTTAGTATTATCATTACTTAGTTTATACCTTTTAGCTTTCACTTTTCAAACTTTAAAGAAAAAAAAGTTAACGGGCTTTCTTTTGCTCATTGTACTTATGATAATTATAATTAAGGTGTAATTTGATATTATTACCCGCGTCGCATTTGCAAATAGTAATGACATCTTAGCGCTAATTCACTACACTAAGCAGCCTTAGTTTTTAAAATAAGAACCTTAAAGAAATGTTTTCCTAAATATTATTCAGTTTACTTAAATGAAGTTTACATTTTTTTGATTAAAATAATGGGATCTACAGTCCCAGAGATTTCACAGTGATTTTAGGTCTCACTTTAAAGCATTTTTTTTCCCTTCCTTTTTTATAACCTCGTTTAATTTTTTATCGGGAGTACGGATTATCATTTCAGTTTGGCGCAATATAGTCGATTCCGGCTCAAGTGTCATTTATCTCTTAAGTTCAATCAAACCCAATTAAACAGTGTCTGAAAATTTTTCTCAATTTTTGATGATAAATTTATTAAACCAAATTTAACAATCTAATGCAACGTTTGTATCAGATTTTCTGAAATATTGATATTCACCCAGCTTTATTTTAGAGATGTTTTGGCATATGAGACTCACTCAGCTTTATTTAGAGATGTTTTGGGACACGAGATTCACTCAGCTTTATTTAGAGATGTTTTGAGATACAAAATTCACTCAGTTTTATTCAAATTAAAAACGAAAGATCACATGAAACAATATATTAGAATTAGCATTAATGATGTGCTCGAGTCAGCAAAAATTTTATTGATTCCGAAACAGCATACAACCTGAATCTTCCTAATTGTACTACTAATAAAACTTTATTTTAATATTTCTTCGACCCAAGTAGATAGACGAAAAAAAATCGAGTTATTTCTGTAAAACATTTCCAATTTTAAAAAATATAATCTACATATTAGTAAGGATTTTGCGTTCTTCAGTGAATTCGTGAGCAGAAACGTCTATTAAGTGGTTTGTTTATGGATAAGGTGAAGTGTAAGGCGGAGGCTTAACACTTCGCCAGTTCAGTATTTACTATAAAATTTACGTTGTGAATTCAAAACATTCTTATCCTAATTTTTCTTCGTATTCACTTGAGAACATGTTGAACTGGATTCATACAGGGTTGCAGTGAAGATTGCTAAAATTCATTTTGAAGAAAGCTAAAATTCTAACATAAATTTCTATCAGAAAAAAAAAATTTAGTTCAAATCTTTTTATTGCTAGTTGTTACGATTTTACTTTCTGATTGCATTACTGAAAACTAGCGTTAGATTTTAAAACTGATAAAAAACGTGTATGATCCCAATTTTTAAAATTATTATTTCTCCTACTTTTTCCTTATTATGATTGGGGGAGGGGTGAACCATCAGGGGAGTAGTAGAGACGGAACGCATTGGTTTTAAGTGAGACTGAACGTGATTCCAGAGTTTTAATGAACATATTAATTTTCACTCTACAGTCTAAAATTTTTTTGTTGTTGTTTTACTTATTTACTTTTCCCCCCATATAATCTGGTCGTAATACTAACTGATTAAACACTAACTTTTTTGATGTGCTAGATTAACACAATTATCCAATTGAAAAATTAGCCACCTATATAACCTTACATTTCTATTTTTAAACTGTGATAATGATATTTTATTTCCTTAGAGCTGTTTTTAAGAATAGCAGTTGATAAAAAAAGAAAGCAACCACTGGGTGTGGAAATTTTTTAAAATTGTTTAAAGCAGTTCGATTCACGAAAAAAAAAGTAAAAAATAAATAAGCAAATAAAATTATTTAGAATTGTTTTTTGATAAATGGAGAGAGAAATTTAGAAGAGAGGCGAAAAATTTAGAAAGTGAGACGAAAATTTTGAAGTGATACAGCTCTGTGATAGTTGACTGCTCCAGACCCTCATGAAAATACTTCATTAGTGAATTTAAGAACATTTCGGCAAGAATTCAAAGGGCGATAGTTGAAGCCTGAAACTGGAAATTTCTCGCAAAATGCAGCGAAGTTGCAGGTCTGAGTGCTAGCTCAGTATACACATAAGGACCCGGGAGGAACTAATTCAACATGTGTAAAATGATTTGTGCTTTCGTACGATAAAGAGGACGGCATGCCGAAACGGATTATGGTTAAATGAATAGTGAAAACATTGAATGGAACACTGTGATAAACCAATCTTTTTGCGTAATGCATGACAAAACAAAGAAGAAATCTCACTTTGGAAAAATAGATAATTTTAACAAACATTCAATGAAAAAAACACCTTTAAGGGCTTTAAAAAAACGAAATGAATTTTAAAACGCTATACATAGCGTGATTGCACAACCTTTCTTTAGAATACAACTAAACTGTAAAGTATGTCAAACATTCAATTTGCTGAAATAATTGAGATGAATAATCATTTATTAGATGAATAATCATTATGAATTAGATGAATAATCATTTATTTTATTTTTTCGTAAATGAGATTTTGTATAATCTGAGTGAATGAGAATTAGCACCATTTTGAATTAGCAGCTATATAATATTTTACACAGATATATTAAGTGTACTAATAAAAATAAACAATGATAGAAATGCTTAATGCCTATTTTCTTTTATTATTTATTTAAAAAAAAATCCTACACTTGCTATTTTTAATATTCTTTTGTCATTAAAATAAATAAAAATTTCTTTCATAAACTGTGTTTTTGTAATAAAATTTAAGGTGATCCTATTACTTTTTTTATTTTTAAAACACTATTATTTACAAAAGAAATCCTTAAAATATTTGACAGATCTTGAGCTTAGAGGGGCAAAAATAAATGAGGATGCTCAAAATGCCTAATAAATTTTAATAATAATTTTCTAAATATTTTTTTTTAGAATATAAACAATAAAAGTAAAATCAAGTAATTTTATAAGATTTCCTAACACAAAAGATTTTATTTTATATAAAATATCAAATGTAATTTTAAAAAACATTTTTTTCAATTCATAAAACTAATCCAAAAACTAATGTAACTAATTTAAATTATTCATTTTCAAATAGTTTTATATCAGGTATTTCACCAAAAGGTTCAAGATTGTTTTAAATTTTTCAAGCTTAACACCAATAAAAACATAGAACAGGGTTCTTGCACAAAAATTGAATTATATTAAAGATATGAAATGTTTTGTGGCTGAATACCGAATAAGTAGCAAGCAGCCAGTTTAACCTCTTCACTACTGAAGTATAACAGAATATTGCAAAATTATATTTTACAGGTCCAAATTTCTATTCTACTGGTATAATAATTATACTGCCGGGGGGGGGGGGAATAATTTTACATATCTCAGGTTTCAATGAAATAAAAGAAAATAAATATTTCAAATGTTAAATTACAAAGTAGGAACAAACATGCATATTGTTATATTATGGTCTATTTAAATACAACGATGAATAGATTAAATAATAATTTAGGAAAAAAAAAGTTTTTTTCCTAAGAAATACTGCATATAATCTCAGTTTTAAAACTATTTTAATTTTGCAAACCATGCAAAATAAATAATTATTGAAAAGAATAGAAGATTAGTTATTAAAAAAATATTTAATTCCTGGGGTAAAATTTCAAAATTATGAGAAAAAAACACGAAGTTATTAAATATCTGTATGTACCTTAACAGAAAACAATTAAAATACTATAAAAATACTATTAAATCAATATAATCTCTCTAAATAGACATATCGTGTATAGATTTCATAATACTATGAAATTTCTCTTGACTGTTACGCTGTCATAAATTACGCCATACGATACCAAGGTACACCTGCATGTTGACTGTATTATTTTTAAATATTAAGTAAGTATAATTTTAAAAGCTTCAAACAAATCACAGAACTACTAAGTCAAAAGAAAAATATTATTTTCAGAATAACTAAATTACATGCTAATATTTAAAATAACTATCGTTTTCAAGCATGTGGATTCTGTGTCATTCTTCGAAAATCACTTCTGCTTATGTGGAGTTCTACACAAATAACTTACATTTTCTGCATCTCTTGGAATCCCCAGAAGGCTTATACGTCCACGAATGTTTCAGTGAGGATACATATGCATAAATTTTCTTATAGTGTGTCTTTAGAAGCTAAGAAGCAATGGTCCATGTGCGTGGACGGAGGTAAATGGTAATTTGTTGCATCCTTAGAAACAATATTATCTAAAATGTGCATGAGATTGTTTACTTAACAGATTGTTTGTTTGTAGAGATTTATTTTTATTTTTTAAAGATCATTCCATAAAATTCAATTAAAATTTAAACAACATAAAGTTCATATGTATAATTTCTAAGGATTTTATATTCGCAAATTTTGCTGCTTGTATGTTTTAGATTAAGCTGATATAAAAATAATCTCAGTCCGACTCTGCTGAGGTTGCATACAAATTTGGATTTATGAAGATATCATTGCAGATTCACAATGTAAATTCTGTTACTGGGTTAACACACATGACCAACATGTGCGGCTTTCTGAATTTTTCAAAACACATCTAATCGAATTTCAATCTGTTGTGCTAAAAAAGAAATTTATTATAAAAATAACTACTAGAAGCATTTCTTGAAACTATTTATTACAAAACAATAAAGTAGGTATTGTGCAAATAACTTCTTTGGAAACGAGTTTACTTTGGTCCTAACATATCACCTGGTTGAACCCATTTATCGAATTGTTCTGATGTTAAATATCCTAATTTGATTGCTGTTTCCTTTAACGTTGCCCCTTCCTTGTGAGCAGTTTTTGCTATTTTGGCAGCTTTATCGTAACCTATGTGTGGATTCAATGCAGTCACTAACATCAAAGATTCATTCAGCAGTTGGCTGATGCGATCTCTGAAATTTTAGAAAACAAACGTTAGTTATGCAGAATTTTAAACAAGATTGCAATTTTTTAAAAATAATTATTCGCGATTCGATTAATAAGAAATTTTTAAAGAGCTCGTACTAAATGGAACTAAACAGATTCTAATAATTTTCTTCTGTAATCTTAGTTTGATATATCAGAGATTTAAATCTATCCAAAATTCAATAAAATTCACTTCAGCAATTTATCACTGTAGTGATAAGTTAAAAAAAATTAATAGTGATACATTATTTCCGGTAGCTGTTGATTAAGTTGATTTTAGCCAGTTTAATAATTTTATCCTAATTATAAATATAATTATTTAATTTTATTAAGACAATAACAGGGTTGCCACTCAAATCTGGAAAAAAAATTCCCTGTGTTTTCCCTGTACATATTATGAGGAAGCAACAATTACTGTGCTGTTGTGTCAGCTATATTGGGTTAACTATATTTATCAGTTTTAATTGCTGGAAAAACAGCTGAACATACTTAAATAATGCTATAGTAAATTAAATAGTTTGGTATAGCTGAAATATCGTGGTTAAATATTACATAGATTACGTTTTGAGTGGTCACTATTTTTTAAAAGATAAAAATGAGAAACGAAATTCCCTGTATTTTCCCAGTTTGTAAAGAAAAAATCAAAATTCCCTGCATTTTCTCTGCTATTTAAGGTGATTTTTAAATTCCCTGCATTTTTCAGGTTTTTCCCTGTTCTCCCTGTGGAGTGGCAACCCTGAATAATTTTTTTAAAACTTAAAATGAAAAAAAATCTATATTTTAAAGCACTAAATATCGTGCAATGTAAGCACTTGTAATGGGAATGTAAGATCTTGATATGATGCATTTTCAATGTTTTAATAAAAGCAGAATTTATTTTTTATGACAATGTCTTATTACTCAATGATTTAAAAGTCAATTTATCATTAAATATTATTTAAATAACAATTCAAATGTACATAGTTAAATACAAATCAAATTTATATATATTTTGCTTATTTTTAAAAATACATTTTTAATTTTCCTTTTAATTTCTAAACTTTCCTATACCAAAACAATTTAAAACAGTATCCTTTTTACGTAAAGAGAAACCACTACTTACTTATTTGGAATAATTCCTTTAACACAATTATTAGTAAAAGAGACAGAGCTGTCAGCAATTAGCCGCACAGAACGCAACACATTTGCAACCATCATAGGTTTAAACACATTCAATTCAAAATGACCATTACTGCCCCCAACTGTAGTTGCAACATGATTTCCCATAACTTGTGCTGCAACCATTGTAATGGCTTCACACTGGGTTGGGTTGACTTTGCCTAAAATAAAAATGCTTTTTTTATTCGAAAATCATAACTTTTATTAACATCACAAAAATAATGATAATATTTTTGAGACAAATTCTAAAAGTTCACAACATATTTTTTTGATTCTCCAATATGAATGGAAAAAAATTTCTTTTAAAATTTAGTTTATCAATTAACTTGAAAATTTGGAAAAGCTTTGAAAACTGTACATCCTTGTTTGTTCTCTTTTTTTTTTAAAGTGTATGATTTAGTCATAAAAATAATTACCTATTAAAAGTTTCTTTTTTTTGTGAGTAAACTTGAATTCAGATTTGACCAGTAACCGGATTTAATTAGAATTTTTCTTTTTCTTGAGCTTCTCATGATGTTCCTGTTCTACTCCATATGTACTATATAACGTGCGTGTGATTTTTCTGAAACAATTGTACTGTCCCCCACCTTCTTAAAAGATTCTAGCACAAGACACCGGCATCGATGATAATGATGTTTGTAAACTGCATCAAAACAGTTAAATGCTTCTGATTTTCTTTATTTGTTCTTTTTTGGTTAATTTGTTTAAAATTCTTGATAACTTTTAAAATGAATTTATAAAGCTAAATTAATGAAGGTGCAATGACATTAACATACCTGGCATTATGCTGCTACCCGGCTCATTTTCTGGAAGGATTAGTTCTCCTAAACCGCATCTAGGTCCTGAACCAAGGAATCTGATATCATTGGCAATTTTCATTAAACTACAAGCTACAACATTGAGTGCACCAGACATTTCAACCATAGCATCATGAGCAGCAAGGGCTTCAAATTTATTTGGAGCAGATACAAATGGTAATCCTAAAAACAAAATTGATTAGTTAATTTTAATGGTAATAAAGAAATACAAAACCATATGCTACTGGAATAAACTAAAAACAAATGCATATGCAAAAAAGTGTGTTACAAGGCTTATAAATTCTTTTTCCTTAACCTAATGTATGAAATTAAAACAAAAACCGTTTTACTTATAATGTTAAATATCTTCCTTCAATAACTCGCCTCTTTGTGGCTGTACATTGATATTGTCTTAAACATTATTGCCTTGAATGATAACATAGACAAAGTCATATATAACTTTGTCCCTCTTCGTTCTCACTCATAGAACTTTGTATTTTCCCTCTAGATTAATTTCGTACAGAGAAATGAAAAAAATTTCCATGACCCATTTAGAATATATAATTTAAGGAAGTAAAAAATCCAATCAAGATGGTGTGCAATTTTTTATTAAAGCATTCATTAGGCCTATGACCCAAACATAAGTTTTTAAAAAAAGCATTAATTATATTTGTTTTTTTAAAAAAGTTTAAGAGTCTCTGTTACCTTGGAATAAATTCATAATTTTTTTTACTTAACTATCCAATATAATACAATGTAACATATAATATAATACAATGTCGGCATTCAGGAAAACTATTAATCTTTGAATCAAAAATAAGCACTTTTTAAAAACTTTTCAAGCACTTTACAAAACTTTTCAAGCACTCAAAAAATTCATATTGAATCAATGATATTATGAAAAACAAAAACTTTTTACGAACAGTTTTAGCATTAAAAAAAAAACTCAAAAAGAAACGGACGTAAATCGAAACAATCAGTACTTTCCCACATAACCGAGTGAATTCAACTTGACTCTGAACTCAGAACAAAAGTACCCTTACCCCCTACATCAAAAAAATTTGTTAGAAGTAAAATAAAATAAACAAGAATAAAATTATAAATTAAAAAGAAAAACATTTAATAAGGATCTGACTCTATCCGAATTGGAGCACTCGGGTTTCAGTTTCGAGTGTGCGCGCATGCGCAAGTCATAACGTGGTTACGACATGAAGTCCGTGTGAATGATTACGTAGCAAACACCCCATTTTTCACGAAATGCAGGGGATCCGCCAGATATCACTGAAGGAAAACATTTTTTTTTAAAAAAAGCACTTTTTAAAAACGCCAGCTGAAAAAAGCACCTTTAAAAGCTTTTAAAAACGAAATCTCCCAAAAAGCACCTTTAAGTACTTTTTACAAACGCTACGCACCCTGTATTAAGTTTAAAGATAAAGATAAGTTCTGTTCAGTATTTTTATTTAGATCTTTACTTTTTCTATAAAATATACTTTATTTGCTCTGGTAAAAATTTTTATTGCTGTTCAGTGTTTAATTTAATACAATTTTAAGTTTAAGAGTGCAATCCTAACATAATTTAAGTGAGGGGCAGTATTGTAGTGCTAAATTATTTTTTTTTACAGGAATGCAGGCTATCCCATTATGAGTATGAAGGTTTTTAAAATTATCAAAGAACATTAGCAAAGTTAGTTTTCAATTTGCTAGTATTAGGAGCAGATTTATACTAGCATTCTTTTATAGAAAGAAATTAAAATAAGTAAAGAGTTCACTATAATTCTGGGAGCACGTTTAGCCTCACTTAAAAGCATCAGAACCATGTACCTGCACATTCTGGCGCCACCACACCTGAGTGTAGGATGACCAGTAACCAAAATATAAATCTCTGATAGTTTCAAATAAAGAAACTACATATTTGACAAGCATGTTCCATTGCATAGCAAACCGTGCATAAAACCATGTAACCAATAGAGCAATATTCACATAAATTTAGGTATTTACGAAATTGCAAGATAAATAAGGAAACTATATATTTAATCAAAAAAACAAAAAATGCAAAAGAAAATTAACATACATTTTTAGTACAAAAATAATTAAATAAACATATTGATAATAGAGCTAGCATGTTGGATGATTAAATTTTTTATAACTAGTAATTGATTGCTATAAATGTTTACGATATGATATGTTGGTAAAGGATTAAATATTTGGATGAAAATAACACATTTGAATTAATTTAAAATATATAATAGATTATTATAGAATTTTAAATTAATTAATATTTTTTTAACTTTAAAACATAGAATGGGGTGGTATATAGATGTTAAAAAATAAAAAACAAAATATGTCTCTTTAAAAAAAAGTAGCTTTAAAAAAAAGTAGCTTTGAAATACCTGTTATCTCAGCAACTTTAGCAGAAACCTTTTCAGCAAATCCAATTCTGGTGTTCAAACCGGTTCCAACAGCTGTACCTCCTTTATAGAAAATAGAATTTATTTATAAAATATCTAAAAACAAGGAAACTTACATAACAAAAAATAATTATCATTTCTAAAATAAACATTAAAAGGGCTCCATTTCAGCTAATTCTAGTGGCTAGATCACAAAAATTATTATCAGATTTTTTGCACTGCACAAGAGCAAAAATTAATGGTTTTCCCTCGGCAAAATGCCCTTGTTACATGCAGGATTAAGTTATCAATAAAATCAGAATTTAATAGACAAGAATAAGATCATGATTGTTTACTCTCTTAACATTAAACTAATGCATGAAACTGCACAGTAATTTTACTTTTATATTCCATATTCTAACAGTATTGAAAAGTAATCTTCACTATTTTTAACAGAAAACTAATAAAAATTACAAACTTTTTTCAAATACTAAGATTTAAAAAATTTAATAGAAAAAATTTAAAAAAGACAGGAAGGGATTAAAGAATCTTCAAGTACGGAAACAGTTAAAGGTATCACTTCTTACCAATAGCGAGGTAATACACCCTGGGAAGAGAAGCCTTTATCCGCTGAATACCGTATTCTATTTGAGTTGTATAAGCACTAAATTCTTGACCAAGGGACAAAGGAACAGCATCCTAGAGAATAAGCGATGCTTTTCATTGGAAACATAAATGCTCAATATAAAAAAGTTTCTCTGAAGAATTTCAGATAAGGGGTAACTTAAAAATTACATAAGAATATTTTTAGTGATTTTTGAAATAGCGTTTTAATGTGATGAGTATTTATTTTGCGGATTTTACACTATGGCTAAAAATATTTTAACACTTCAGGGACTTAATCACTGAAGAATATCAAACCTCAACTGTCAATGCATATCCAATCATGTAGCATATTTCAATCATTTAGGCATAATGAAAAAAAAATATTTTTAACAAACAATAAAAGTAATTATGCAAAAAATGAAACATTATTTAAATTTTTCATTAAAACATTTAATTACTTTAGCATACATAATATTAATAATAATATAAATACACAATATTTGTATACTATGGTAGTGAGATTTTGAGCTATAAAAGAGAAAAATAAAACTTGTGGCAGGGAGAACGATCAAACTTTTCCCCCGAGAGGGAAAAACTAACAAGAACTGTTTGCTTTCTTTTTAGATTAGTATAAGTTGCGCTAGCTTGTTAAAAATTTTCAGAGAAAGTAAAACACATTCAATTATTCTATAAATATTAAATCTACACAACATTATTTACTAAATAAAATGAAAACACTTATTAAAGACTAAAAAGAAAATCTATGGACACCAAGTCTAAGTTTGAAATTTTACTAGTTTTGTTGTATTGTTTCCTTAAATATTTTGTAACAAAAAATGCAAAACATAGTTTTACCATGGGTTAATAACATTAAATGACTAAAAAATTAGTTTTTTTCATTATACTTGAGTGTGAGTTCGTCCAATTTTCACGATGTCTGCAAACTCATGTTCTTTAGCTTTCAAAGCATCTAGAAGTTGCCTTAGAGAAGGCAACAATGCAAGTTCTACTTCCATCGCTACCGCTATATGCATTGCGGTTGGATAAGTGTCATTGGAACTCTAAATGAAAAAAAGAACAGAAAACTTATTTTTTAAAGTGAAACTCATAATTGCACAAAATTTAAAATTAAACGTTAAAAGCATATTACTTTTTATTAATCTTAATCAAATAACAATATCCATCTCTCTCTCTCTATATATATATATATATGCATGCACACGATATATACAGGAAAGTTTTAAAATGTGAACTAGTGTAGTATTTACTGAGCATTAAGTGATTTTGGCCAAGAGATTTAGCAAATTAAGAAAATGATAAAAATAAAATAAAATATTTTTGTCCCTTTCCATTTCCTATATCAATAAAGTAAAATAAATCCTGGTATTTAGAACAACCTCTAATACTATTTGCCCGAAATACTGACGTTCCAAGTAATTTTTTAACAAAGTGTTAATTGATGATTTTCACATAATGTCAAGCATACATGTATAGTTAATGAGTTCAGAAAATATAGTTTTACGTTAGTTCCAACCCAGGAGAAGGACAAACAAAAAATTTCAGATTTCTTTTTAATAAATTAATTGGGGTTTTGATCTCTACTAAAAAAATTACAATTAAGTTTCAAATTGTAGTTATGTATGTAACAAAACATAATTAAATTTATATGGATTGAAATTTTAGTTTTCATGGGAAATTTCCTGTCTCAGATAAAGCAATGTTCAGGTATTTATAATGCTTTTTACCATTGATAAATCAATGAATTAAATATGTGAATAGTCATGAATAAAGAACTTGATTCATATATTCCTTAAGATATAGACTAGGGCCTTTATTCTGATAACAAGCTTAAGTCAAAGCAATTACTTAGTCTAACTTTAGCAAGAGTTAATGCTTTATAGTTACCATCAATAAATACACATAAGGGCGACCTTGGTGCTGAAATACAAAGTGAGGTAAAACAACGTTTGAGATTATTTATATTTTTTGTGCTCATAAACGTTGTTTTACCTTACTTTGTAGTTACCATCAATATTCAGAAATAAGTTGATACTTATTTCTGAACCTTTGATATTTAGGTACATTGATGATTGTGATCTATTATAATATATAATAACTATCTATTGGCCAAATTGTATCAATATATCACTTGATATTATTAAAATGACAAAGAAAACAAGAAATTTATTACTACTATCATCAGAAATTTTTTCACAAAAAACTCAATAGTGAAAAAAATGGAATGAATTATTTTAAAGTATTGCAGTTTTTTTTAAGTATAAATTATATTTAAAATATCCAAATTAGTACATTTTAATTAAACTTTTTACTAATTAACTATAACTTTTGTTTACTTAAAAAAAAAGATTTAAAATAAAGTGTTATTTTAGTTGAGGTTTTTTTTTTTTTCTTTTTTTTTTTTAAATTTAAAATTACACACTGTAAAATAAATATTCTTTAAATATGAGTAGAACTACATATTTGTTTTTATACAGATAACAGAATAAATTCAAATAAAGATTTTCCCAGTGTATTGTGGATGTATAAAATTAAATCAATTATTTACACAATTATAGATGATAAATATTTTTCACTGTTAAGCAATCAAAGGAAGTAGTAAAATAATGGAAAATAAAAATATAAAATTAAAAATAAATTTAATAAGAAAACATATAGAACAAAGCTACTCAGTTCATAGAATTTTACAGCTAAAACTTTACTACATAGATTAAGCAAACTATGTATTACTATTGTTGACTCATAATCATAAAATGAAATTTCTCTAAGCAATTGAGATGCTAAGGCATGCTTAAAGATGACTTATTACATAGCAAAAAAATTAATTTCCTCCTTAATTAAAATGGAAGTTTGATTTTTTTCCCCTTTTAAATCTAATAATTGTCTCGAACACACTTTTTGTACACATAGAAAATACATATATAATTTAGGAAGTTTAATTAAGATCTCATGTTAATAACTAGTATTTTAATATTAGATTAAAAATTCAAAAATCTAGAAATGAAATAATATAATAAAAAAATATATATAATCTAAGAAGTTTAATTAAGCTTTTTGTTAATGACCAGTGTTTTTATTATGAGGCTATGCACCTAATTATTAGTATGTTTAACGCTTTCAGAATGTTTATTTGATTATTCTCATAATGTAACAAATATTTAGAGATATTTAGAAATATTAAGAGATATCTAGAAAACGAGACTTTGAAAAAAAAAAAACATTTTTGATAGGAAAATTATTTGTTTGAAATTGTCTAAGGGACTACAATGAGGTGGTTCCATTTCACCACCAGTCCTGTCTATGCAACTACAACAAACATAAAAAGGAGAAATTGTGATCAGATTTAGATGGTTTTTAAACTTTCTAACTCACATATGTTAATACTTCAAACATCATTACTTCCAGCAATAATTGTAAAAAAAAGTCATTCCTTGATATTTTACAGGTTTGGAATATCATACTACAAATTCATTGATATTCCATTTTAAATACATGAATAAGTTGATAAGATTCTAACAGCTAAAATATCAAATTTCCGATGCATTTTGAAACTTTTAATAGCAATTAGATATTAATGTTATATTTTAATCATAAAAATTGCTTTAAGAAAGTAGTTATGAATTGTTTTCAGCTATTAAAACAAAAACAACGTTTTATATATCACTTACTTGACTTTTATTTACATGATCATTAGGATGAACCGGATCTTTGCTACCTAACTGACCTCCAAGAATTTCTATAGCTCTATTTGCAATCACTTCATTAACATTCATATTAGTTTGAGTTCCAGAACCAGTTTGCCAAATAACTAAAGGAAAATGATCTACCAGTTTACCATCAATGACCTAGAAAGAAGAATTTTACACATAATTATATCTATAAATATAAGCCAGAAAATTCGATTGATGACTAAATAGCTCGATTACAAATAATTACATTATAATTAGCAACGCAATTTTGAATAGCATTTTTGAATTTTTAAAAAAATATTGTAGGTACCTTTTGAACATTCTCACCCAACTAGGTGGCATAATATTTTTACAGTGTTCTCCCTAAGCGTTTTTACAAAGGCCACCCACCCTGCCTGCCCTTTGATCTCTATAAATGCATCCTCTTTGTCCGTTAAAAAAAAAAAGAAGAAAACACCATCCCTTAAAAACACTGTCTTTTTATTCAAATTCCATTTTTACAAAAAATTAATTAACTTTTAAAATAATTACAAGCAAAAATTATAAGTTAATTCTCTAATAATAAGTTAACTCTCTGTTAATAAGTTTAATTCTGATTACTATTAAAAATATTTACTTTGCCAAGATTATTCTCAACTGGTTACCTTTTTATAAGATTTTCTTTTTCCAAGGGGGTAAATTATTAATTTTTTTAAGTGATTTTCAATTTGAAAATTTTTTAATTAAATATCTTTTCTGAAAAAAATTTACTTTTAAGTATTTAATTCATAATAATTTTCGGGATAATCTATACAAAAAATCTTTTAAGCTGTTTATCAAAAAAAAAATTTTTTAGTTTACTTTAAAAAAAAAAAAATAAATGTAGGCCTTTAGAGTAATGATGAGAGAACAATACTTCTTAAAGTATACACATAAAATAGCATAAGATGGCAACTTAGTTGTTGAAGATCAAATTCCCTTATTACATGATATTACACATTTTGATAAATTTTTATGCTGTTAAATGAGAGCCATTTCAAAACTCAAAGTGCCCTCTTCTGTGAAGAAGCACCTTGCTCTTTTTTATTCCTAGGGAGAACCTGTCTTTACAAGAAAAAAAGACTGATACTCATTTAAATAACATTCAATATTTAAAGATTCAAGATTTAAAAATGTAGATAATAACAGCAATGATTATTAAAAAAAAATACTGGCACTTCAAATGGCTTTAACTTCCAAAAAGAAAAATATGTATGTGGAAAAAAAAATCTAATACTCAGTCAACATTCAAACTTTGTAATAAAACGTAAATTTTTGGAGCTTCAAAACTGTTAGGACATTCAATGATTTAGTTAAGTATCAAAAATTGAGATATTTACTCACTTCATCAGCAGCTTGGCATATTGCATCGGCAATTCTAGAATCCAACCCAAATTCCTTGTTAACGTCTGCAGCAGCTTTCTTTAGAATGCCAAATGCTTTTATAATCGGTGGCTAAAATTTAAAATATGCATCAATGAAACATTTTATAAATATTTATAAAGTATAGAATTTGTGGAGAAGACAATCTGTGGTAGAAGAGTTGCATAAAATGGTTATAGATTGTGCTGTTAGAAATTATAAAAATATTAATATAGTATTTCTGTACAAAATGGAACATTAAAAAAATTTAATGAAATAAAATTTAAAATATGCTCCTTTTTCTTTCTTATGCCACTTATAAAAAATATATTAATTAAAATTTAATGTGATACAGACAAAACATGAGCCTGCTAAGCTATTTAAATTGGATGACTTAGTAAGCACAATAAGTCAAATTCTAGACTTAATTTTATATCATTCGAAAAATTTAAAAATATTATTTTTGTTAATTTTTATTATTATTATTATTTCTTAAGATATGTATCAGAAGGCATAAAGAAATTTTAAGCATAAAAAAAGCTAAGAATTCTTTGAATTTCTAATTAACATTAATTAAAATTTAGATGAAATAAAAAAAAGCCTTCAACAATTTCATATAATTCTTATGAAAGTCTACAGATAAACAGCCTTTCTTATATAGATATAAAATTATGCATAGCCTCGACAGATTATATTTTCTATATAATTATATAGCTTCATAAAGCTAATATAATATTGCTAGTTTAGTTTCTAATATATAGTTTCTTATTCCCAAGAAAATCATTTATACAAGTATTTAACATTTTTGAGCATCCAAAACAAAAATATCCATTGAGAAAAAAATAATTTAACACAGAAGTTGAAAGAAATTTTTAGATTAAAAATTTTTTTTTCAATTTCATGCAAAACATATCAGACAGTGTTTTCACTACAGCACGAGAACGCGAGAATCTCACATATTTTTTTCTTTTCTCGCATTAAAAAATGATTACCGCGAGAAATTCGAGCATTCTTTAAATCAATCTCAAAATTCGCCAATTTCTCGCATTTTGGAAAAAGCTTTGAATTACGCTATTTAGAATAAAATCCGTTTCACTTTTCTTCCTGGATCTGTCATTATTTTCAACATCTGCTCCATTATCTAGCTGCCCTATTTACCAGTATTGTTCAGAAACTTTTCGAACAACAGAACACAACCACGGAACCCCTTTCAGAACACATTTCTCTGCAACCACGTGTTTACCGTAGGTAAGGTTTCTTCATGTAAGACGTTCAAATTTTTTATGCACTTATGTAAGATGGACAAATACCTTGTAAAGGCAAAATCTTTTATGATGATGCACCAAAAATATTCAATGCTTTAAAAAATAGAAGACGTCAAAAATGTATTATAATTAAAGAAATGAATTTTTTTTAAGAGTTTTTGTGTTTTTTTAGTTTTTAGAAATCTCACTTTACTTTTTGAAATCTCACCCTGTTATTGAGAAAGGGTGAGAAATTCTCACCCATTTTTTTTCTATGATGAAAACACTGTATCAGATAACACTTGAAATCTCTTTTTCATGAAGAAAATGTAAAATTACCTTTCTAAATTCGTATCCTAGATAGTCTTTTGCAGTTTAATCTACAAATAAATTAAGTTGATTTTTAGATACCACCTTTAACTTTTTATAACTGGAACAGTAGCATCCTATGCTCGCCTCTTTACAAGCATTAGTTTGGGAAAATGCATAAATTTTTTGAAGTTCCAAATTAAGTATTCTAGAGTGAACTCATGCAAAAGCATCCATTTTCATATTGGATCATAACATCATTGACAGATAAAGATTAAAAATAATATTTGCTATTTCAACCTTTTTGGCAACTAAATAATAAAAAATGTAATAAAGAAGGTTTAAAAATCACCCTGAGAAGGTCGAAAACCACTTTAAACAATCAAGATGGAAACTAAGCCTTTCTTAACTATAATGCAAGATACTGATAGTATCAAAGGGCAATGGCTGCAAGTCCCTCACATGCTTTGAGGTTGATTAAGCAAAATAGCATTAGATCAATTTAATGAAAGAAAATAGCATCTTTTAATTTGTTGATTCAACATATAATTTATTTTAATGTCCTAAAATAGTTTGTTCTCAACAATGATTTTGAAGTTTGTCATTTTTTGTTAACTTTTTTAAAACTTGCTTAGAGTTTTTGTTGGCGATATTCAATAGCTTGAAAAATGTTAAGCAAATAAAATAATGCACAAAAATTGATTAATTTGGGACATAGATCTAATTTGACAAAATGTGTCAGTTGTATTTTAGAAAAGGATATTACAATTTTAAACTAGAATAGTATAATAAAAACTATATTTTATAGTCTGATTCACTTTAATTAATTTCAAGCAATTAGAAATCAGTTATAAAATCACTGAAAAAACTTTCAAAACCTTACAGGCATTCGTTCAGATTCACCTCCGATGTTAAAATTCATCATAGATCTCATTGTTTGAGCTCCATAATATTTTTCAGCAGGAACATTTAATTCACCAAAAGTATCAAATTCTTTTCTTGTTTTCCCCTGAAAAAAAAGCAATTTTTAAGTATTTTAAAAAATTATTAGTTTACAAACTTTTAAGTATAAATTATGAGTAGTCAGAAAAAGACTGAATAAACAATCATGCAAATTAGAATTACAACATATCTGTAAAATTATTTTGAACAATTTAATTTTTTAGGTTCTTAGATACAGTAAATTTTCCTTTTGAACTTGAAACTTCGAATTTTTTTTACCCGATGTAAAGCATGTCACATGTGACGTATGCAATTACACTCACACTATTAAATAAAATAATGCTTCAATATCAAGTTAAAAAGAAAAGAGATCTGTGTTGTTACCTACATTAGGAGACAGCAATGCAGGGGCACATAAAACAAAATCATAGAAATGGATCAACTCGAAGAGTTGGAAAAACATTTCTCATTAATTTAAATAAAACTTAATTCATATTTGCTTTGTTTCAATAGCATAGGTATATTTAGTTTAAATATAACTTAATATCATATTTATAATTAATTAAATATAACTTAATTCACGTTTGCCTAAATTTAATTATAATTAATCTTTTGGCAGCAATAATTATCAATTTTACTTAATCAATAAAAAGGTGCAATATAGAGATTCTATTCATTTAAAATTCAGTTTTACAGAGACAAAATTTAATAACTGGAAGAGACATAATGGCATTTATTACACACAGATGTGAATTTTTTTTTCACTTGAGTTACTGATTAGACACTATTTTTCTGACCAACTTCCTTATTCACATTTATTATTAAACTGTTTTTAGTCAGTGAAAACTTTCATAAATTTTAAAATCTTGTGTAGTACTTATAATTAGATAACTTCCCTATCATTGTCAACACATAATTTAATGATGTATACATAATTCATGGCATACAATATATAACTTTCAAAAATAAATAAATTTTAGTATGATTTAATCTTATATTGCATCTATCACCTTAATAGTATACACCTTAATAATGGTATGAAATTATAAAGATTAATAAAACCAGGTTAGAGTGAAAAACAGTAAAATTTTCCAATCATAATGTGTTAACAGCTTTTTTTTATATTTAAAGCATAAATTCAGGGTCTATTAAATAAATAACATTAAATTTATAAACAAGCATACAACAAAACATTTTGTTTAGACTACACAGATGTGACCACACATTGTTATCTAAGTAGTTAAAATCCCCATAAGAAATAAATGGTTTGTCTTTAATATGATAATGCTAAAAATATATATTAAAATAGTATAAGCCGGTACTTTAAAATATTTATTAACTTACAGAAGCCATATTATATGAACTGATAGAAAGAGGCCGACACAACCCTAATCTGATTTCTGAGGAGTGATCAGCTATTTGCCGAAGCAAAATGCGCGAAATTGATCGAGATAACATTTTATAAGACATTATTTTAAATACTACTGAAGAAATTACGAAACTTTTATTTTATCGACCTTTAAAAGACTTTATTTTTGTTTGGTTTCTGTTTTGCACTTTCGTCACGGATTCGATCAAAAGAAATTATTTATTGTTTATATAGTTTTTTCATGCGAAGTAACGTAAATTAGTTCAAAATATTTTGGAAACTTTCGTTTATTGATTTATATCGAAATAAGGAGAAATTAAAATAATAAATAGGAGAAATTAAAATTTAATACAAGTCCAATATTCAATTTGAATTGAAGTGAGTAAAAGCCGGCTCAGAATGAAAACAATTATAAGCAAAACAAAAAAACTGAATAAAACTTATCTTTTCAAATACATTATTGGTATTGACACGGAATGAATTAATAGTTGTTCATTGTATTGTGATAATACTTTTACACACATTTGATGCTTTCACACTTAAGGAAAACTAATATATTTCTCTCTTTACGATTTTGCAGTACTATTTCATCGAGTGTTAGTTCTAAAATTGGTATGAAATTAATTTACTCATTGCTTCAAAATCGGGGAAATATTTTTGTGTCTGTTAATTATTTCTTTGTAAATACATTGTGATGAAAAGAAATAACGCTATCTTTTTACTTTTTTGGGTTATTTTGTTTTCATTTGCTGGACATCTCTTTTTTTTCCCCAGGAGAGTAATTTTTTTATATCTTTGATAATTAATATTACGATGTAATTTTTTTACTTCCCAATTTATACTTATTAAAATAAAAATAACTGAAAATTTCTCCCAATTAATGTGATTTTTCATACAATACAAATAAAAACTAATGTTGTTTTTATTATCATGTCTGTATCAGTACTAAATGCTTAAAAAATTATTAAAATGATTAAAAAATTTTAAATAGTGGAAATATTGGTAGAAAAGTTGGCTTTTTTAACTAAACTTAACGGAAAATATTTTGCCCAGATTTAAAAATTTCTCCCAAAACCAAATCTTAAACCATCACAGTTTATTACTCTAATTTCAGCAAGAAAAAACCTAGTAGATCTGTCATAAGCGTGTACCCATACGTGTTCTAATTTGTATTTAAAGTCAATCGAATTTTGATTATGACTGCATTCAAGTTAAATATTAGTTTGACTGCAACTTCATAATAACACTGGAATATGTTTCTTTTTCAGCGGGAAAAATGAATGCAGTCTGTCGTAAATCAGCTGTTTACCCTGTTGAGCGGTTTACATTGCCAGATGAAAAAGTATTATGGAAACAGCCATACCCAGACTATACTCCACCTGCATATTCTGCTCCATATTTAAATACAGCACCATGGGCTGATCCTGATATTTCTGAGTGGGTATATTATTATTATTTTCTTTTTTTAACTATATAAATTGATAATTTTTAAGTTTCTTGTTATTGCAGATAATTTTTTATTCTTCAATATGAAATTAACAAATGCATGTTTTTCTGATCTTTTATATTCTAAGAAAAATGTGCCAGGTTAGTTTTTTTATTTTCTATACTACTTTTCACAAATATGCATTTTGTTTAAATTTTTCAAATTTTATCGAAATTCTGAAAATGCAAAGGTAAGTGACAACTTAGTATGTTTGTAAATTTCCTCTTCACGTTCAATTTAAAAAATGTCAAAGGTAGAGATTTTACTGACAGAGATCATATTTTTTTAAAACTGTTTATTCTCTAATTTTTAGGAGAAATTCTCGAAGCAATTCTGAAATATTTAGTTTATGTGTTTACATACTAGTAATTAAGGGTATTTTGCTTCTGTCAATCCAAGAAAATGTTTTTTTTGTTTATTTTTAAGAACTTATGCAGATCAAATTTGTCACCTTTACAGAAAAAAAGGTATTGTTATCTTTAACAAACATATTTAAAGATTTATTTGATGGACAAAAAAATTCAATAAGATTTTCTAATAACAATAATTTACATTTTCATTGATTAATGCAACTTTTTCCCAATTTAGAAAGTATTGTTCATGGTTTGATTATTGATTCCAATAAGTAATAATGCAAGAAACACATTATTTAATGAACACATAATATAAAAGTACAGCAGGCACTATATATAGCTTCCTAATTTCCCCAGGTACACCTTTTCATGGTGAGTTAGAAAGCTTTATATAGTAGTCATAGTGTCTCCCCAATATATAGTAATATCTGTGCATATCTTTTTGAAACTAAAAATCAACTTTTTGTTGAATTTTTTGCCAATTTTTTTATTTCATTTTGAAAAAAAAATAATGAAAATATTTAGATTTTCAATTATTTAGATTGCTTTAAAATTATTCTCAGAAGTAGACAATTGAGTAAATCATGCACAAAAATATGCACCGCGAAAAACATTTGGATTAGGCCCTGACTTGTTTCTTTGAATATTTTATATGAGATCTTCCTATTCTAAGTAAACTAATGGTTTCTATCTGAAGATTTTAATTTTTATATAATCTGGGACCTGGCAAGTTTAATTTTATAAGGAATCGATTGAGAAACTAAAAATTGCAGCAGTTAAGTAAGGTAATGGTAAATGCTTGTACTTAAGTAAGTGAAAAAGAGAAGCTCAATTGAATTACAAACATTATCTGTAAAATGTAAGATTATTTTATTGAATATTTTTTCTTAAACCAAAAAGTGTAAAAAAAATTTGCTTAGTTTAATTTTTTTAAATTTCTTTATAGGACTGAATTTTTATTTAAAAAAATCATTAAAATCAACAAGTTGTAAGAAATCCTAAATTTTCAATAAAAAGTTTTAATGAATTCAAGGAAAGTCTTATTCTTTTAGACCATTTTTGCTGCAAAAAAAAATTTACCTTTGTAGCCCCAACAAAGGACCCACCTACCATTATTTGGAAATCCAATATATTTTTTAAGTATTTGATTAAATAATGAAACTTTTCCTTCCATCAATTTTTTTTATCTTCGATTTTGTTAGCTTAGTCAAACCTTGATCCATCATTCCTGCATTTTCCATTGTCTTGTTTTAATGATCCTGACACAAATGTTATTCTTATAATGTTAATAATACCCATTTAGATAGTTCTTGAAACTTTCGCATTCTTGTCCTTATCGTTCAAAAAAAATTGAAATTAGTTTGTTTTGAGAAGAAAATCAACTATTGCTGGTGCTAATATGAAGGAGAAAATCAGGATTTGTTACAGTTTGGAGAAAATACCTCAAACAGCACTTTTGATGTTTATACATTAGTCAATGAAAATGTTAAAATTTATGGCATTGATTCAAGAAAGGGTTGAAGAAGTGCTGAGTGATACCAATAAAAACAGCATAGTGGAAAATCAATCAGTACCAACATTTGTGTTACAAATCTTTAAAAAAATGAGGAATGTATTCAGAGGAACTTTCAGAAAATAAACAATAATCTGTTGTTAATGTCAAAAATTCATCGTTTGTGCTATAAGCAAAAGAATGTGTTCAAACTAAAATTTCCATAATTTTCTCAGTTAAAATGTTTTATACTTATTGTAAATTTATTAAGTCCATCAGTTCTTTATTATTTTCATACATTTTCAAGTCATTATTTAATATTTTATGTCACCCCGCATTACTTGTTTTACAGTATCTATTGTTTCTAATGAATGGTCACATACTAAATGATTTATCAAAGTTCTACTATACTTTAATTAGCAAATAATTATCTGGTGACTCTTATTTGTAACAAGAAATTGTTTTATATAACATAAATATTTTATTTGAAAGAAGTCCGTCTGTCTTCTAATTATATCAACTTATTTATAGATAAGTTTTAGTTGTTAATCAAAATAATGTATGGAATTTGAGTGCAATGTCATTTTTTAGCTCTAATTTCAAACCTAAATGGAATGCAGAAGACAATGGGATTGATCGAAGAAGCTTTGATAATGACTTAGTTATTCCTTATGATGTTGTTGATGGATATCCTCTAAATCCTAATGGTAGAACAGGTTTAAAAGGGAGAGGAAGATTAGGCAGGTGGGGACCAAATCATGCTGGAGATGCTATTGTATCCAGGTTAGAAATTTTACACTTATATCTTGCTAATTGTATTGAAATTGCAAATGCCGTAAATGATTTGCTTTTTTTTAATATTGATACATTCATTTTGTTTTTATGTAATAAATAATGTTTAATTAAATGAAATTTAAAAAGTTTACCTTGTTATATACGTAGAAAGTTTCTGAATAATATAATTTTAAGAAGTTTGCCCTACTAAGCTTATTCTCTATAAATGCTATTATTTGCATATTTTATTTTTTTTTAATTAATTTCTTATGCATTAAATTTCAGCAAGATTTTTTTTCTTTGCTAAGTATGTTATATATTTAGTATATTTTGAACCATCCTCTGAAACAATATTTTACCTATGAATCTGAATCGGAGTCTAATATTTCTCACTTTTTTTTTAGAAATTATATTATTGTAATTTAAAACAATATTTATTTTTTTAAGAAGCTTGATTCTTTGTTCAGGTGGAAAACTAAGAATGGCCAAAAGGAACTTTCTAGCACTGGAAAACCTGTTCTACAATTTATTGCAATTCTGAGAAAAGACTGTGGACAATGGGCTATTCCTGGGGTAATTCTGGCATTTATTTAATTATATGCCTTTCCTAATTTTCAGGCTTAAAATTCATTTTCAACTTATTTTGTTTGCTCTTAAACTTGCTTGTTATTTTTAACAAAAGTTTTTCTCAGGTTCATTACTACAAAAAAATTATGCATTTTATAAATCTTAGCTTTTTAAAGTAAAACTTTTTATGCTAATGAACTTTATGAATCTGAATCTATGATCTAAACCAGGATTCCCTAACCATAAGGTTGTGGCAAATTATCTTTGTGAATGTACTTTTATTTTATTATGTGTGAGAATGTTTCATATTGAACTATTTTATGAATATAGCGTATAAAATTCAAAACCCCATACAAGTTAAGAAAGAATTTCCACTATGATTGCTATTCCACTGTAATTGCACTGGTTGCTAAAAATAAATTGTTAAAAGATAGAAATGCTGGGAAAATAGAATTTAAAAAAGTTATATAGTAATTATGCTGAAAATAATTTTGAAAAATACATTTATTTGTTAAGCTAATTAATTCAAATTGTATGTGTTCATACTCATTGTTCAATTCATTATATTAGATGATCTACTTGTTAGATTATATAGAATGTATGTTGATATTAGATATTTTGAGATGGTCAGTTTATTTATATATTTGGATGGGAGGGGTTATCTTGTATTTTAATGTTTTTCCTTTTTACAACTTTAAATAACACATTTTTAAAAATTTATATTTTTCAAACAAAAAAGAAAAAAAATGTCTAAAGAAAAAGCATGCTTTGTTATATTGTCAAAATCTAAATTCTAGAGAGTTCAGAATTGTATTGAGAGTTCTAAGAAATATAACTTATATGCTTAAAGTAAATCAATAAATTTATTATAGCACCATTATGATGAATTTTTTCTGATCTGTCAGATTCTCGCTGATACATTTTGTTAATTTATCATTTTTATCTTAACATTTGGAAAAAAAGAAAGAAAAGAAAACATTTTTTGGGAATTATCACAGATATTTCTAGTTATTATTAATGTGAAAATTTTCTAAGTAAATCAATGTATCATATAATAAAGTATATCATATAAACTCAAATGATCTATTTACAGGGATTTGTTGACCCTAAAGAAGCTTCATCATCTGCAGTTTTACGAGAACTATTTGAAGAAGCTATAGATATGAAAAAGTTATCTAATGAGGTGCAAGAGGCCTTAAGAAGTTTTTTCAAGTGTGGAAAGCAGGTATTATTTTTATAACGGAAATTGTTTTTAATATTACTGGACTTAGTACAAAACAGTAATTAGTTTTATTTTAATTTTAATGTCCAAAGTAATTACTGATTATAATTTAGTCTTGTAAAAGTTATTTTTTTTTTCAAAAATTTACCAATACTTTCAATTAACTTTTATTGAGAATTTTTTACTTTCATAAAATTTTTGCTGTATTCATATAACATAATAAAATTTTGCTATAAGCCTTGAAACTGGGAATTTTTGTTTATTACAATCACTTAAGATAATAGTGATTGCAAAGATTTTATGATATACTTGAGTAGCCTGCAAACACACATTGCTTATCTGATAAGAAGGAAAGATTTGAAATCTAAGGTAATTTTCTCATAATTAGAGAGTTATTTTTACCTTGCTAAACTGAGGCTATTAAATTAACTATAGTCATTTCTATTAGTTCCCAATTATATTTCTTAATTAACAAATTGACTGCCTCCTCAAAATTTCATTTGGAAACAAAATGACTACTACTATTAAAATTGGCTGCTTTCTGAAATCAAATCTGCAAAAACAGAATCATTATAATATATAAAGCATGTTAAAACTATTCTGTAATAAACTCATTATTGCTGCATTTTAAAATCAAAGTTTTTGTAGTTATATGTTTCAGGATCATATTTGTATTTAATTTTGCCTTCAATATTTTTAATTTTTTATATTTAGCATAAAGTTAAATGCTAGCTTCTTTCAAATGAGAAACATTGGATTATTTTTGGAAAATTGGAGGAACAGAATCGAAATGATGCAGAAAGTGCAAAGGAGTTGTATTAAAACTATTGATAAAGAAAAGGAAATATTGCATGCTCTTCTTATTCAATGAAATAAGCCATAAAACTAGGAGATATTTATTTATAATGAGATATTTATTATAAATGTTTGTTGAATCAGTTTTTATTGAAATATGATACTAAATGTAAATTTATGCAAATTTTAGGTTTACAAAGGTTATGTTGATGATCCCAGAAACACAGATAATGCATGGATTGAAACTACGGCTATAAATTTTCATGATGATTCAGGAAGTAATACAGAAAATATTATATTAGATGCTCGTGATGATGCAGTTGATGCTGCATGGATTGACATTGTTCCAGAAATGTCAATTTATCCTCCTCATTATGCTTTAATTGAGTGCCTGAAAAAAATTCATGAAAGCTCTCTTTGACATTGTTTTCTGATATATCTGTGATAATAAGTTATATACTCTTTTTGTGATTTAACATCGCTAATTAATTTTTTAAATCATTAAAGAACTTGTTAATTATAAATTCTAAACATTCATGCCTATGAACATTATACATTGTTACTTTTTTTATAGAATATGTATTAAATTTGTTTATTCCATTGTATTACAAATTTGTAAATAAATTTTTCATGATACATTTTTTAAAATATTGTTTAATTTGTTTTGATCTTCAGTTTGCTTACTAAATCCAATAAAGGCAAATGTTTGTAATATGAAACAAAGGTAATCGATCAAGAGGAAGTTTAAATTGATAGCTGAAAATTTGCTATACTAGCATAGTTTATCTTATAAAAAATTATACTTTAAAAATAAAATGCTTAAAAATTCTATCTTCAAAAAAGATGAAAACTCTGTGAAGATGAACGTGCCAAAAATCTTGAACTTAATTTTGTTATCAATTATTTCTGTACAAATTTAAAAGTTTGGTAAATTTATCTCGATTTAATGCAAAAAATCCACGAGTGCAATCCTCATTATTTTTTATAATTCAGAACAATGAAATATCTGGCTGTTCTGCACTTTTCCTTTTGTATTCAAGTCTCTGGTTTGTTTGAGATTTTAATGTGAAAGGAAAAGTAAACAGTGTAAAAACATGTATGGGGAAGAAGCAAAAGCAAACTTTTATACTCCAAAAAAATTTTGTTTTCAAACAGTTGATTCTTTGGGCGTTAGTTCCAGCTGTTTTTTAATCTTTTTGCTGGTGATTTGCCTGGATTAAAAATCCAAATCTTCTTATGTTATTCAATGAAAAAGTAATGCATACCATAGAAATTTTAGTACAACACTCAGCACTTGGAGAGTTAAGAAGTATATGGTATTATGAATTCTCTTAATTTCTCTTCACAATGAAAAAATGGTCTCATTAAACAGTTGACTTGTGACTGCAACACTATCCACCTCTTCGCGCTGTTGCTACTCAGTCTCGATCACACACAACATTGGTCTGTATACACTTGACTGCTAATAACACAAGAGCGATCACGACCGTGAACTCAATACAGCTCTCAGGATCAGCACCCAAAAGTACAGTGATCTTAATGCAGTTCTCCCGGATTCTCACAAAAACAGCAATGAATCAAGTAGTGGTACATCGTTCATCGAATTCTATCACAGATAAAATTCAGGTGGGAGAGTACAGCAGTGTGTCTACCACTACAAATGTAATTCCTATTCACTTGTATAAAAGGCGTGTTAACGCGATTCCATGTTGGGGTACCTTTTCATAGATGAAGGGTGACATCGTTGATAGCAACTCGCCCACAGCGTACATAGATTTAGGTGCAAGTGCGTTCTATCTTAGCTTTACCATAAAAAATTTAAAATTATAATGTTAAACAAAAAACGGTGATGAAGAGATATGTATTCATTAATTTTATTTTAATTTGTTATTTTCCAATGCCCACCTGGTGAATGACCTTTCTGGGAAGTGATCAGGCATCTGAAGAGTAGATTTCTTGGCCATTTTTTCAGGAGCATTATGTTCCGCAGTGGACTGATCGTTAAGACACGGTTCCCAGCAGATCACCGAAGTCAAGCATCACTGGCTGTTGTCAATTTGCGGGTGGGTGACCACTAGGATCAGCCTGCGTAGGGACCGAGGGTGTGTGGTATTGGTCCTCGTTAAACTGTTCTACCGTAAAGTGCTCGACTTCGCTTGCAGGTCGTCGGGCTACCGAAGCGGGGGTGCCATTCCCTCTGCAGAGGATCAAAATTATGTCTTCGGATCATCCTCAGGGGTGTTTCTCAGACCATTGCCAATAGCCCATTGTGCAGCTCTAGTGCGACGTAAAATGAAGTACAACAACAGGAGCATCATACTAGATGGGCCAACGTTGCTCTCACAGTAAGGACAGTAATAAATATCCTTTTATAAATATGAAAATGAATTCAACTGGTTCTCGATTGGTGATTGAAATGGTCTACAGGTAGCGTAGGGCAGAACTCTCTACCTATGGCAACATTTCATCAGTAGCGTGAGAGAGTCATAGAGCTCGTAAGTACGTTAGTTTCTGTCTTGATCTTCAAGCAGATTAAAAACTTTTAAGTTAGGCAACTATATGGAACTGTTAACTACATTAAATGTACTAGTTCTAAAAGAAAGCGTCGTGGAATTAAAAAAAATATTTTTGAGAATTGAATACGGACTGGAACCGGTTTACTCTCCAGATGGCGTATTCGAGCCTTGTGCTCATAAATTAAAAAAATTAATAAAAAATATTTAAAAAAAAAACATTTTTTATGGTGAATACGCCCTTTTCCACACAGCCGTATACATGATACAAAAGATATTTATACATGCGAAATACGTGCTCGTAAAATCTGAGGAATAAAAATTCCTGTAGTTGGTCGCTGAGCAGTATCATAGGTACAGGGTTCAGGAGAAAATTTCCTTCCTCTTCAGACCTATGTCTAAATTGAGGAAGTAAATGACACAAAATTGTGATGGCATGTGTTTGTATCATACTGCGGGAAAGCTCAGACAGTCGCCAATCGCCCATTGTGCAGCTCTCAGGAGACATAAATAAAGTACTTACTTACCTGCATAACATTGTACATAGCACTTAGATTACGCAGATGCACATCTAGTGCAAAGGTACTTGAATGTTAGGATGTGTATCATTATTTAAGTTTTTGTTCTTGTTAATTTACGTCGCACTAGAGTTGCACAATGGGCTATTGGCGACGGTCTGGGAAACATCCCGGAGGATGATCCGAAGACATGCCATCACAATTTTGATCCTCTGCGGAGGGGATGACACCCTCGCTTCGGTAGTCCGACGACCTGCGCGCGAAGTCGAGCACTTTACGGTAGCACAGTTTCGCGAGCACCAATACCGCACACCCTCGGTCCCTACGCAGACTGATCCAAATGGTCACCCACCCGCACACTGACCGCAGACAGTGATGCTTGACTTCGGTGATCTGTTGGGAACCGTGTCTTAACGATCAGTCCACTGCGGGACTCATTATTTAAGTGAAGTCCTTATTAATATAACAGTAAAATTTTAATAAATCTTTACATTCTTTACGTCATATCGCCGTATCGCACATTTGATGTTTTCCGTTGATATTTTCTGAAACCTTGTTGACGTTTAAATTTTGTTTTTAAAGTTAAAGTTAATGTTTGTGGTAGTTGCCATTATTCCATTAAAAATACTAGGATAATAGTGCTAACTGTAATTTTAACATTGCACACTGACTTTTCGCAAGTAATCGTCAATCTGTATTTGAAACGAAAACAATGGTGAGCTGAAATATATATTCTTATTTATTTATAAATTATTGTACTAATTAGATTTTTATTTTAAATGTATGTGTTTTTCTCGAAATCAACCTATTTTAAAGCTTAAGAATTTTGTTATAATTCCCTAATTATTGGGTAGTAATTGTTGTATGACCAATGTCATGAATTGTTTCGATAAAATTAGGCTTCTACTTAAATAGATTGAAGTACATGTATTATATTTCATTATGCAATAAAATTTCCACTGAACTGAATCTTTCAAGCTTTTTACAAGCTTAAAGGCTATAATTAACCTAGAAATAATTTACAATTGAGGTTTATACTTTCCTCACATTAACTTCTACAACCCCGATGTACTAACATTCTTTTCTACTTGTTTTTAGGGAAAGAATATTTATTTATTGGTTTTTAAAGGCAATAAAATATATATAATTTTTGTGTTCTACTTCGGACATGTACGATTTGTTATGGATAGTGAGTTAATCATAGTGTAAGATAAATTCTTCAGTTTGAGCTGGGCGTAGAATAATCAAGTTTCTATCGGCTTTTGGTTATAAAACTTAATGTTTAGTCAGAACAGAATTATGCAATTTTTAAAGTTACCTGGGGGAGATTTCTGTATCCTGATCTGTAGCAGAATAATTGCTAAGTCTTGGCAGCTTCCGGGCAGTGGCCCGCGAAAAACTAAAAAAAACATCACAGAAAGGGACCAACTCGAACTGTATAACTCGTAGCCACCCTCGGACAAAGGGGATATTTCGGTAGCGTGATCTGTCGCGCCAACTGCAATTGCCAAGGTGCCAAATATTTTAAACTTGCAAATTTAAAAAAAAACAAAACTTGTAGATGTTTGGCTATGAGTTATACCTTTCGAGTTGGTTCCTTTCTGTGATTTTTTTTTTAGTTTCTCGCAGGCCGCTGCTTGGAAGTTTCCAAGATTTGTTGATTATTCTGCCACAGGTCACGATACGGAATTCTCCTCAGAATGGAGTTGTGCATAACTTACCATGTTTTTTTCATCTTTAAAAGGCAGAGCTTTAAAAAAAAAAAGCTACATTAAGTAGTGTCTTCATACAAATTAATACTCTAAACGAGGCTGTTTTCATTCGATAAATGATTAATTGATAGCCCTGAAACAATATAGTGAGGAGACATTTAAATTTTTCTTAACATTATTTGAAGATTTAGTAATTGATAACAATACAATTCACAAAAACATAATAATAGTGGTGTTTTTCACCTAAATGTTTCTCCTGAGCAATTAAAATTTTTATTAAATTATTGGCCTGATTATTTATTTTTAATTACTTTCTTAGTGTTTTTAGTTTCTGTATTATGTTCTGAAGTTTTTTCTTTCTTTCTTTTTGCAGATTTAGAACTTAAAAATCTCACTTATAATTTCTCTCGCTTGAAATTATTAAAATATAAATTCGTTCAGGCTTATGTTTGTTAAATAAATTGAAAAAAGGCTCAAATGCAATTTATCAATTACATATTAGCTTTTTGATCTATGTGTTCATATTTACAGAAATTAGCCGTTCAACTCTTAAGTTCTTTTGTAGAATGACACCTTTTATTGGTTCTTTAGCATACAAAACTAATTATTGAAAAACAGAACTAATGTTTTCATGTTAATGTGTATAATTTACCTAAAATGGTTAGTTGATTATACATTTTTTTCCATTTTTAGGGTCAAAGTCAATCATCTGGTGGCCCTGGGGGCAGTGGAAGTGGAGGAGATAAAAAAGATGATAAAGTATGATTTTAAAAAAATTAAATATGATTAGTTACAAATATTTATCCTTTTACTTCTATTAATTTGAACAATGATCTTTTTTGTATTATGTAACTTGCTATACATATTTTTATTTAATATCACCCATGTAAAGTAATTTTGATATTCTTTCTTTTTATTTGTCGAATAAATTTATTGAGAAATTTCATTACCAATATAATAAAATATCATAGTTAAACATGTGGTAAATTAAAATGATTGTAGATTCCCTCTTAATCACTTAGCTATGGCTGTAAGATGTTAATTTCTATTATGTTTAAAAATTGAGAATTCACAAGGACTTATTATGCATTCTTTTTGATGATATGTTATTGAACTCCCTTATCTTTTTGTTAGGTTTTTAACTTTAAATTTACACATTCAAATATTTGTCTATTATATGAACTTACCCATAATGGAAGAATTCAAAGATGAAGAGAAATCTATTTTAATAACGCATTTATAATTGGTAAATAAATTCCACAGCTTTTAGAAGTAATAATAAATAAATTTAGACATGATTACTGCAAAAAATTACTTAATAAGCATGCCAATTAAGTAAAAATTGACAAAATATAAAGTTTCTGGGATCTGGAACCAATTTTTAAGTTATCAATTGTTATATTCCTTCGTTTCGTTCCTTTTTTTGTTTCTTTTTTTAAATGAAAAATAAGAAATAATAATACTGTAAATGACAAATTGATGTTTCTACAATTAATTGCAATTTATACAGGGTGATTCTAAAAAGATGGGCAAAATTTAGGGAACTGATAGTACACACCCAAGCAAGCAATTTTTATAAAAGAATGCATGGGCAAAAACAAAATGCGAAAATGCTAGAGGGCGTCAAAGTTTATGTTCTTATATGAGGCAAAAACACAAGTACGATGAAGTTAAGTTATAAAAGCAAATTTAATGGCATGTGATTACAATAAGTGTTCAAAACAGTGGCCGGCAGCGGCTATGCACGCAGTACAACGGCAAAGAAAAGATAGGCGAACATTCTGAAACACACCAGGCATATCATGAACTTTCCCTGCAGCGGCCGAAAGCTTGGCGACAAGTAACGCAGCGCAGTAACTTGCAACAGGAATGGAAATTTCACGTTTGCACCAAACAACTTTCCAAATGCGCCAGCACCTTTGCGTTTTGTTTTCGACTATGCATTCTTTGATAATAATTGTTTGCTTGTGTGTGTACTATCACTTCCTAAAATTTTGCCCATCTTTTTAGAATCACCCTGTATATATATTTTTAGTATTAAACTATGCCAAAAAGCAAAGTGCAATGCAATTTCTTAAAAACTGGTTCTAGTATTTGACTTTAGTTAAAATTCATATTTTAATTAGATAGATATTTTACATATAGTTATTAAAAAAAATTTTTTTTGGACCATTTTTTACTATTAAAAAAATATTAGTCTGCCCATAAGCAAGGTGAGAAAGCATTGGACAAGTGTTTCATACTTCTAGTTTTCATTGTTGTTTTCTTGCTTTCAATTACTATTTGTTTAATTATGTTATCATTCTAGAAAAAGAAGAAGTATGAACCTCCTGTACCGACCAGGGTTGGTAAGAAGAAGAAGAGACAAAAGGGACCAGAAGCAGCTAGTAAACTACCATTAGGTAAGGAATTGTTTTTATAATCTAGCTCATGATTATTTTATAACACTGGAAGGAAAAAGTATTGTATCATGGGTCATATTAGGATAAATTTGAGTCTATTTATAGAATGTGAGTTAAAATGGATTACTCCCAAAATATTTCTTTGCAAAACATGTGCTCTTTTCAATATTTTCCTTTTTAGAAATGTATCTTTCACAAAACTCAGGGTTTCAAGTGCTGCATATATAGTGGGAAAAGATTAGACTAGTACATTACTGTGTAAACATGGTTTATTAACCTGAATTCACATCAAATTAGAGCCAAACTGTTCTTTCGTAAAACAGTCGACTTGCAAATATACTACTATTTTTCTCTTTCAATTTATTCTGAACGTAAGTAAAAAATAATGTGAGACAAATTTTTTCCAAATCCACTGTAATAATATTTTTTAAAAAAAAAATGTAAGTTGATTCTCCCTATAGCATTGTAGCCATTCGTCAAGAATAAATAATCAGCAAGAGTCCGTGTAATGAGCCATGTAATAAGCACATAAGATTATAAGAATGTCATTTCTTTCTCCTAGAGAAAAAATTCTGCTACTTAAAAAAAATTCAAATTCCAGTTTATTTATTCACTAATAAAATAAGACGTTTCTTATTTTCTATAACTTAGAAAAATACCTCCTTTTCAATAACAGAAAATCTGATAATTTCTGACAAACATAATTTTCAATATTATCGAAAATAGAATTGTAACAGAATCTTAATCTGCGGCCAAACACAATTTTTGTGAGCCTGATAAGTGAAGAAGAACAGAATGTGAATTTTATGACATACGTATAAATATCAAATGGCAAAGCTATTTTTGATAATATAATGTTGATTAAAACTTCTTGTCGAGATGTATTAATTATAAATTAACCAGATCTTCCTGAATTTCTTTTTATATCTGGTTCCCTAAATGAATTTATTGCAACACAACTCTTACTTTTTCAAACTATCATTACCCAAATCACTCTCAGGATGTAGCTCGTATGCCTCAGGCAAAATCTGGAAAACTCAGGATATAAAAATTGGTTTTACTCATGTAAAATAAAAATGTTCCCTCAAAACAAAGGAAATTTTTTTTTTTGCAGAAATGTTTTTTATTTGAATTCTTTACATGCAAAATTTGTAGTTTTCCAACGCAAATGTAATAAAAGATCATTTCTGTTGAAGCAATTTTTTATTGGGAGAGAGTTTTTATTAAAACATAGTATAACATTTATTTACTATAATGCTTGAATAATTTTCTTTAAGATGCAATTGTTACTTTTGAAGATTTTGATAAATTTTTCTATAAGGGAAAATTTTTTGTTTTTTCCAACGGTTGAGACAGTTAATGATAAACTGCCTTTTGTTTGAAATTTCTTAAAATGTTGGGAATTATTTTTTCTCTTAGAATTTGAGTCCTAAGTTTATGCATGTAAAAGTAAAGGGTGTATTGTTTGATGGAATCTGACTATGTTTAGTAATGATTTTTGATCTGTTCTAAGTGAGAACTCAATGGGAGCAATGATTTCAAAAAATTACCTGATTTCAAAGCGATTCGTTCTTTTCTTAAATTGGTGAGGAAATATCAGAAAAATTACTATGCATTATTTCCGAATTCTGTTAAATATAAAATAAAATGTTAATTTATGTACTCAACTATGCTCAAAAATCTAAATTTACAAGCATTATGCTTCTATGAATATAAGATTATTTGCTGCAACCTGCTCCAGAAATCAAATTTATTTGCTTCAAAGTGATTATGCTGCTCTTTCATCACTGTGCATAAAAAAAATTTTTTATGATGCAATTGTCAGTTTGAGAATTTTGATTCATCCTTCTAACAATGAGAATTTAATTTTTTTAAGATCAGTGGGCAGTTAATCATTGTCTTTTGTTTAAAATTCTTTAAAATGCTGGAGAATTTATTTCAACTTAGAGTTTGATTCCTAAATTTATAAGTGTAAAGGTTTATCATAGTATAGTATCAATGCAATCCGATAATGTTTAGGGTTGATTTTGATCTGGTCTGGTTTATTTGATCTTTTATTTTATTGATAAAATATAAATGTTATTGATATTTTTGTCCACCTATACCAGGTTCTTGTTTCTTTGAAGTCTCTTAGGTTGCAGAATGTATTATTTTTAAGAATTGTTTCTCCGGATAGTCAGAAAAAAATTAAGTAAATTTTTTCTTTAGAATAACAGTAAGAACTCAACTGAAAAAATGATTTTAAAGAACTACCTGATTTCAAAGCAAGTTGTAATTTTCTTGATTTGAATTACAGTGGTGAAAAATTATCAGCAAATCTGAAGCAGTTGTAGAAAATCTGAATTTTAAGTTTATGAAGATCAGTTCTCTTTAAGAGTTAATGACTCATAGAATGCATATTTTATAAAACAATATGGGGAAGAGTGTTATGCACCTCTAAAAAAGTCATTTAATAGTCCCATGTTAAATGTGTTTTCACTTTGATATAGTTACTCCACATACCAGATGTCGCTTAAAGTTATTGAAGCTTGAACGCATTAAGGATTATTTACTTATGGAGGAAGAGTTTCTGAGAAACCAGGAACGTTTGAAACCTCAAGAAGAAAAACATGAGGTATAAGTATAAAGGATGAAAATATTGATTTCTTTTAGGAATATGATATGATAAGTTTACAATTATTTTTTAAAAAGTTTGATTTATTTAAATTTGTATTTATTGTTATTATTATTTTTTTGTTAATAGAGAATTTTCACACATTACTTTTTGACACATGTTAATGTTAGTTCTTCTTTCGTAAGGTTAATATTACTTTGGAAGTAAAATGCTTCTACCATACCATAGAAAATACAGCTTTTTTAATATTGTAAGAAATTTCTCCTATTTTATTAAAAACAAGGAATCTTGTTGATTAACTTTCTCTACTTGTTATATTATATTTTCATTTGTTATGTTTAAATTTTTTATTTAAAAATTCGGAGTTAATGTAATTAGATATTACAGTACAGTGGTCTTATACTTTTTTGTTTCATAACCTTATTACCTAAATGTCATAAGTATTTCTGTAAATTAAACAAGTGAAGATGTTTTTATGAACCATTTTATTAAAATGGCTATGAATTAGATTTCTTAATAAAGATCTATACTATCATATTTTACAGAACTGTATACCTTTTTATCCTAATCCTGCAAAAAAGGAAAGAAATATCTAATTTGAAATTAATTATGTATATTATTAATATCATATATTAATGCTTTCTTGGAATTCAGCTGAAATTTTAATTGCATATAAGTCAGAGTCGAGCTCTCAGGAAAGTTATAACTCAACATTTCAAATACTGACACCACAGCTTCAGTTATTGGGCCATAATTCTTGCTTGCATGCATACATTGTTTCTTTTATAGTCATATATAAACAATTTAAAATACTACTAACCTAAAATATACTTAAATATTATCTGTTTTTTTTTTGTTTATTTGTAGTAATTTTCATTAAGTATTACCTTAGTTATTTAAAAATACAGATATTGTAAAAAAAATTTACTGTGATTTGTGGAAAAGTGTAAATGTTATGAAAGGGAATTTACAAAAAGTTTCTCGTTTTTCAAATTATCATTGAGGCATTCAATTTAATCTGCATAATCTGTAGACAATCACACTTTAACTAATAGCTGGAAAAAAAGTTTTCATATCAATTTTTCTATATTTATTAAAATAAAACAGAAATTTAGAATTGGAAATGACCTTAAGGAAATAAATCTTTGATGTAGTTGATGAGTCTACATCAAGTAGTATGATAATGTCATAAGTATGACTTTTCAGCTGTTTTTATAATTTTAAGCAATAAGTTGCCTATTTCATATATAGTAGAGTCCAGATTATAATTAATGTAGACCCAGACGTATTCAGGTTAAGCAAAAATTTTAAATAAAACAAATAATTTAGATTTAAATGCCTATTTTAAAAACCCAAATTATTCATACCACATCCTAGATTCATATTGTCATTAAAGAGTTAGTTCTTAAAGTCAATTGTCTTTTTTTTTAAGCTGTTTAGGCATTTTCGTGCTGTAATGTTTTGCTATTTTTTAAAAGTAACAGGGTTACTGATGTCACTTCTTCCTGTTTGATATATTCAACAACTGATTGCTTTTAGTCCATCTGTATGGGAGATTTGCATAAGTCTGTTTTCATCAGTACTATCTTCATCATCATTGCTAGATTCATTTTCTTTATTGATGATTATAAGAATTACGATCATCATTGATGATCCTGATCCTTATAAGGGTGATGTTGGATATTGTGTTCATTGGTGTTTGGGAACTAAATTTTTTTTAATTTTTTTTTAGTAGTTATGAAAATAGAGAATGTAGAACAAAAAAATCCTTTAAAATTTAAGTTTCATAATTGACCACCTTTTTTCAAAAAAAAAAACCATTTAAAATATGATACACTGGTTGGAATCGTGACAGCTGAAAAGTCAAGCAACTACTTTATTTATTAACTTCTATAAATTATTTGTGAGTAATGCACAATTGTGGATTGTTATATTTTTATTGTAAATTATGTTTATTATTATGAAATTCTTTAAGACGCTGCTAATCAAACTTTAATATTATAACTATTCTTATCTTAGTATTTTATTATTAACATTAGGAAGAAAGATCTAAAGTTGATGATTTGCGAGGAACACCGATGTCTGTTGGAACATTGGAAGAGATAATTGATGATAATCATGCAATTGTATCTACTTCAGTTGGCAGTGAACATTATGTTAGCATATTATCTTTTGTTGACAAAGATCAATTGGAGCCTGGCTGCTCGGTTTTGCTGAATCACAAAGTAAAATAACAGTTTTTATGTTAAAAATTTTTTTGTAGAATTTAAATTTAGTGTTTTGCTCATCTTGTTGAGTATTGGCATTTTTTTAAGTGAAATTAATTTTGGCATGACTTTAGGTTGTTAAAAAGAGAGATTGGTTTAACATATAAAAACCTGTTGATTTTAAACTTTTTTGTTTTGTTTTAGGAATTTTTTATAGAGAGGCCAATTGTCCAATAAACAAACAAAACCTGAAATTCCATGAGAAATTCAGAATAAATTTTTGCTTATTTTTCATCTGAGTATTTAGATTGGCTTAGTCACCGAGTCACTTACATCGGCAGATTTAATATTTTCTGGTGGGGTAGCTTTGAGCTGGTGATTCTTGTGTTTTTCATTGTTGAAAACTGGCATTTGGAACACAGTTTTCAGTTGCACCCACCTCTGTATATCCCACTTCAGTCTCTGTTCTGTAATAACTCCCATTTTCAGAGGGACCAGAAATTAAAATTTCATAGTCAGAAATACTGTCTTATGTTTGAGTTATAAAAATTACAGTTTTTAAGAATTTTCATAATCTTTTAAAATAAGCTTCCCTCCTAACTTCCCAGTGTTATAAAATTATTTTGGTGTTTGCCACCAATATTGGAAAATTTTTTATTTTTATGGTACGACCATACATAATATCATTAATATCAAGTATATTGAATTAGCATGTAAAAACACCTTGAAATTGTGCTAATTTGAATTTTATTAATGTGTTATTGTTATTTTAATTCAGATTACAGATAGCTTATTTTGAAAGTTGGCACTTATGCATCTTGTTGTATTAAAACTAATAGAAAAATATGTACTTAATTCCAAGTGCTCTGATTGAAATGAGTTGATTTCTCGTATAAAAAGTTTCTTTTTGAAATTTGACTGCTGCGTAATGTAATATCCTAAAAAACAGATTCTTTTTTTTTACAAAATCAACACTGAAATTTAAGGTATCCCTAAAGTGCCCTGTGTTCTCCTACAGTTGTTGGTTTAAGTGCCTAAATTTTTGTGCTTTAATTTTGTTCATGCTTTTTAACTTCATATTGGATCAAATGATTGTTCATCTATTCTATAAATAATTTTATTGCCCTCTAATTTTATTTGATTAATTTTATCTTCATTAACTAGATCTGTATGCTATTTTTTGCATTGTGTTATTTAATACTGATTCACACTTTTTGTCACTTAAATAAATTCAAACATGTCATAAAATTATTTACTTTATAGTGTAATCTAATTTGTATATAACAGCAATTTTTTTAGATTTTGTCATCTTACTGCTTTAATGAACAAAAAGAGTAGACTTTAGCCTTCATCTATTTAAACTATTGATTAAATTTGTAATGCTAAATTTGTTAATTTTTTCTACTGCATGATGTTAGTTAATGAGTATTCAGAAAGTAGGAAGTCCATGAGGGAGAGCCAAGTATTTTAGTACAATGTCGTTAAAATAACAGAATTAATGACAGAAGCCATTGAGTTTGTAGGGCAGACCAACTGGTTTTTGAGGGTGGCTAGTATTTAAATAAAGTCAATTTACATTTAATACCAATATTGCTATTCCATGCATTTTTAATACTTATTTAAACTTTAGGTCCATGCTGTGGTTGGTGTATTATCAGATGACACTGATCCGATGGTTACTGTTATGAAATTAGAAAAAGCACCACAAGAAACATATGCAGATATTGGTGGTCTTGACCAGCAGATTCAAGAAATAAAGGTAAGATATTTTAATATGATATACCAAATTTATTTTTTCTTTGCTTTTCAAAGCAGTTGTTGATTAAGCAATAAAAATCAATGAGAAACTTTTGTGCTACCTTAATGTATTCTTTCATTTTAATATAGCCAATTTTGTTTTGTACAGGCTAAGCTCTTAAGTCATTAAGACCTATAATCGACTCAACTTACTTATTCATATTAATATTTACAAAGATTTTTAAAAAGTTATTTTGCAACAAAACATAATCAAAGCATTTGCTTACTCAATAGTTGTGATTTTCGGTTCCTTAAAATATTTCTAATATTTAATGTACATGATGATATTATTTTTCATGAACATCAAAACTGATGACATTACGCCACTCTATTTTTTTATGAATTGATAGATATAATTTTAATTCAAAACTTCGTATAATCTGTGAAATAATTAAAATATTAAGAGATTTTTTAGGAGAAAAAAATTTTTGCAATGTATGATGAAGAAATTATTTACCGGGCATGCCTTCTGGAGTCAACTTTAATGACCATAAAAAAAATTAAATAACAGTAAATCATAAATTTATTGTTTTTTAATAAAGAAACAAATATTGTTAGTTAAATAAAGAAGCAAACACAACGTTGGAAAATTAATGCATTGGCAACTTAGCACTACAAAAAAATACCAAAGTCTTACCATATTTATTTTGTGAGTTCTTTCATGGATTTTGTGCATGATTTCATGAATAAATGAATTGAAATTGAATTTTCTTTGGAGGCCATATTGCCTACACATAAAATCATTTACAAACAAGTAAAATAAACAAAAAATAACGAAAAGAATTTTTATTAATTGAAAAGATTGTTTTGCATCTGTTGGGGGAAAAAAGTCAAATTATTTAAAACACCTTCTTTAGAATTAATTTCCAACAATTCTTTTAGTATTGCATTCATTTTTAGTTGTATAGTTTATCATTAGTATTTATAAATATTCTCTTTTCTTTATTAATTAATAAGTTAGTTTTTACTATTTTTCTATGTATCATTATATCGATAAATATAGTATGTGTGTAATATGATGTGAATAACATTCGTTTTCTATATTCCTTAAATATCAATTAGAATTAATTAAAGTATTGTTTTTTTTTGTGTGTGTGTGTTTAACTGGTGTTTTTAATGTTTACAAGAAAACTGTTTATACATTTTTTAGGAATCTGTTGAGTTGCCCCTGACACATCCAGAATATTATGAAGAAATGGGAATTAAACCCCCTAAAGGTGTAATACTGTATGGACCTCCTGGCACAGGTGATTAAAATTGATTTTAAAAATTTACAATAATACTTAGATACTATAACGTTTGTACGTAGCGTTATTTTATTTTAAATAGTTTTCATGATTTTGTTTTAAAAATTAAAAAAAAACAGTGGGTTGTGTTATAAATATTCCGTTTTGATTGTTAATAAAGCTTAATATTTATCAAAAATTTATTCTCAACATTTATTATCTTCCAAAACTGAATAATCAAATAGGGAAATAATCTTTATTTTTTTTTTCTCTTCCTTCTGGTTATGAAAATATCAGAATGTTTGAGAATGCAAAAAAATGAGTAAAAAAAATGAAAACAAAAGAGTTCATTTTCATCTTTTACTTTCACTTTTTTTTTTACTTTAACACTTTTAAAATAGGCAATTAAACAAAAAAAATTTAATGATAAAAATTAGTATGTTTTATACTTTTTTTACTACATATTTTACCACACTATTTTTATCCAGAAGATTATTTAAAACATTTGATTGTGACAGAATAATATCACCTGTGTGCAGTAAATTTAAGACATGCAGTTTACTTTTTAAATGTATTTACTGATCTCTAACCACTCTTTATTCACTTTACTGTCTTTTGTGACATATATATTTATCAGATCAAACGAGAATTTTTTTAATATTTATTAACGAGACCTTCCGAAAAGTACTAAAATAGTATCTTCAAAATAACACCCTAACAAATTCATCCCCTCCGTAGAGGATCAAAATTGTGATGGCATGTCTTCGGATCATCCTCCGGGATGTTTCCCAGACCGTCGCCAATAGCCCATTGTGCAGCTCTAGTGCGACGTAAATTAACAACAACAACATCAAAATAACACATAATAAAATAAGTTCAAACAGAAAAAGGTTATTATAAAATTCAAAATTCGATTATATCGTTTTATTATAAAGTAAATTTTATTCAACAAGTAGAAAGAATATTAAAACATGTATTTTCACACATTTTTTTTCAGCTCAAAATTTTTTTCATATGTGTTATAATTTAACAATGTTCTGATTATTGATCTATCTGAAGCTTAAAATAAATTGTCAAGAACTATGCTATGAACATAAGTTAACTTTGTATTGTATATGTGTATTATTAAGAATTATGTTAAAATAAATAGTTTAAAAAGTTATAAAATCTGTTTTTTCTTTTCTTCAATCAGCAGTGTGTGTTTCAGTTTTTATGCTAACAAAGGTTTCAACCGATTTATTTAAAATAAACTTTATTTTTTCATAGGTAAGACATTACTTGCCAAAGCCGTTGCCAATCAAACTTCTGCCACATTTTTAAGAGTTGTGGGATCTGAGTTAATCCAGAAATACTTGGTAAGTATTTTTCCTCTTCTTTTCTCTTTGTGTGTACTGTAGAGCCTAAGTACCGGAATTGTTCTATATCGACGTCCAAGGGTCGTCTACTACCAAAAAGCAGTCCATGTTGGCAAAAGATAAAAGTTCAGGTGCTTATGAGTAAATGGGTAATGGATTTATGATGTAAATGGAAGCCCCCAATAGTTGGTTTCTCCTACATCTATATGCAGTAGAAATTCTTGTCCCCCTGCTTGGTCAAAACAGACATGGCCTGTTTTACAGATTTGCTTATGTAATTTATTGTGATTATTTTGCAATTACAAGGCGGTAGTCTAAATTTGATTTCAATGGAGTCAATTATTGCAGTTTTCCTTTCTGAATTAAGCTAATAAAGCTAAATGTGGAACGTGATGTTTCCCAATTTTCTAATTTGTCACTCATTGACAAAGTGACAGAAAGATGCAGCATTTAATAAATGCCTTTCCATAAAGGTTTTAAAACTACCTTAGATAGTTTTTTAGTTATGGTAATTATACAGTAGATAATCAATATAGTGGCAGCAACAAAATAGTTGACCGATACGAAAACTATACCGATACCTCCACGCACATCGAGATTGGAGAGTATAAATTTGAAAAGGTGAGCTCTTTCACCTACCTTGGCTCTGAAATCAACTCCGAAAACTCAATTTCCACAGAAGTAAGGAAGAGAGTAACTGCAGCCAACAAGTGCTTTTATGGCATAAGAAAATTCCTTAAATCTGACAACATTAAAAGAGACACCAAGTTGCTAATATATAAAAGCCTAATAAGATCAGTTCTCACTTACGCATCTGAAACCTGGACCTTGTCCCAAGCTGATGAGAGGACCATCGCTGCTTTCGAGAGGAAGATACTCCGGTCCATTTTTGGTGGTGTGTGTGACAAGGGAGTGTGGAGAAGGAGAACTAACTCTGAACTCTACAGGATATTCAGAGAACCGGACATTCTGATGTACCATAAGATTCAGCGCATGAAATGGGCCGGACACATTGTAAGAATGAATGATGACAGAACAACTAAAAGAATCTTTTTGGCAAGGCCAACTGGAGCTAGAAAGAGAGGCAGACCCCGACTGAGATGGGCGGATTGCCTCCAAAGGGACTTTGCCACAATCAAGGTCAGAGACTGGAAAGCCGTGGCATGCAGAAGAAAGGACTGGTGCAGTCTTCTTGAGAAAGCCAGGGTCCACCGAGGACTGTCGAGCTACTGATGATGATGATGAACAAAATAGTTGTCGTATTGCAAGAGGAATTGATCAGAATAAAGCAAATGAAGAACTTGAATGGCAATTTTTTGAAATTGATATCTGTAATTTTGGTCACAAAATTGTGGAATATAGATTTTAATTGCTTTGCCATTTTCATACTTGGTAAAAAAAGTGTCTCATCACAGTTGCCTATCTCTTAACATCACTGACCACAAATATTTGTAATTAAGTCTAATAAATTGATGCCAAACATTGAACATTTATTATTAAATCAAAAGCATCAGGTTCATATCTTTCACTATCAGCATTTATTTTTTGCTTAGTTATTTTATTACTGGCTGTTATTTTGCTTAGTTATTTATAATTTTGGCACAGGCTAAATTTTATTTGGTGAATTTTAATTAGAATCCATAATAATTGCTATAAAGTTTTTTTTTTTAATGTTTATTACAATATGGTTAAAAGTATTTTCTTGTGAGTAACACTTTACCATCTGTCAAAAACAGATTTGAAGTTGATGAATTATTAAAAATTTAATATTAGGTATGCAAGGGTTCGCTCTAAACTGTAAAGTGTGGCAAGTGTTCCACAAAACAAAATGTTTGGGGTTCCAGAGACTTATTTTTCTTTTTATTTATTTATTTTGAGTGTTTCTAATAATTTTGCCTACCAATTACAGTAAATTAATTATTGTTAACGTTTACATCTCCTTTGTTTGATTGTTTAAAAGAATCTCATTTTTATGCACAATGAATCTTATTATTTAAAACCTTTAATTATATCTATTTAAGTTTACATAAAAAAATTTTTATCACCTTTAGTTACATTATAAACAAATTCACATGTTTTGTAAATGTTTCTTTCAGGGTGACGGTCCAAAGCTTGTTCGAGAATTATTTAGAGTTGCAGAAGAACATGCTCCCTCTATTGTGTTCATTGATGAAATTGACGCTGTTGGTACTAAAAGGTAATTTTATTTTTCTGTGAGGCTTTTTTTAAAAAAAATCTAATTCTGAATTTACATTATTTATGAATTTCTCATATTATAAATTTGTTAAATCAATGAGCCCTTTAATTTATGTTATCAATGTAAAAAATTGTAAACAAAAGTGAGGTAGAAAATGTTACATTGTACTGAATTGGATACTTTCTGTAGTTTCTTTTTGTTTTAATGGTATTGGAAATAAAGTGAAAATTAAATACAGGATATCCGCGCACCTAGAAAGTCATGAATTTCAGTATTGAACAAAATTTGTCATGAAATGTCATGATTTTAACTATTTTTTTAAGAAAATCATAAAAAGTCATGGATTTAGGTTGCCGAAAAATCTAATTTTTAAAATGGAATTCGCCCCCTCCTCCCAATTTCATGGTGTTCCGAATATCTGAATTTGTAACAAAGTCCCCACTCACAGTCTTATTTGATTAAAATATAAAATGTTTCTATCATGTTCTTTAAAAGTTATGGTGTTCTTTCAAAACATGAAAGAAAAAACATTTCTAGAGCGAATCATCTATTAAACTTCTGTGATTTCAGAATTTTTGTTATTTATTTTTATTTTATCAATTTAAGATTCTAGCTGAAGCAAGCCAGTTATTGGCGAATTTTTTTATTCCGTAATGAGAACAGAAGTATGAAATGAGAACAGAAAAATCAGGAGTATTTCTTTCCTTTCTGATGAACCAGAAAAGTATCTTAAGAATGTAATTCTGCAGAAAAAAAGAAATAAAAATTACTTGCTTTTGTATAATTTTCAGCTATTTTATTGCTTCAACTTTTTTTTTACTCTGTTTTTAAAATTTAAAATCTATAAATATGAAGATGCAGAGTATAACAGTATTGGTTATACCTGTCATTTCAATAAATGTTATTATAATGCTTTTTTTAATTTATCGTTATGTTTTTGTCGGAGAAATTAGTAACTTCGTTAAGTTGTGAAAAATTCTTGGAATTAATCATGAAAAGTCATGAATTTGAAAATCTAAAATGTAGCACATACCCTGTAAATAATGCTTTTAACTGATGTCAAACTTTTCAAAGCTGTTAAAAATTGTTTACAGTCATAACTTTGTGTTCGCCCATTTTCAAAGAAGTATTGTTAAAAAATGCAAAACTAAAAATAATTATCAGATTAGACCTATGTTCCTCAAAAATTTCATTCATGGTATAACATGTAAATTTTTAGGTTTGATTTTTTTTAAATCTTTTTTTTTTATTTTTTAGATATGATTCAAACTCTGGTGGTGAAAGAGAAATTCAGCGAACAATGTTAGAATTGTTGAATCAGTTGGATGGTTTTGATTCAAGGGGTGATGTGAAGGTATATTTGCTTCTAATTTTTCTTTTAAGTTCATCTCAAAAAGTTTTAAACTTGTAACATTCAACATTTTGAAACAAAATTGCAATATTTAATTATTACAAGATTAAAGAGTGCAATTTCAGGTCAGTAGAGTGCAGGTCAGGTGGTCAGTAGAGTGCCATTTGTCTGAATACTGTTTAATCTAATTGTTCTATAAACCAAATTGATCCAGAACTCTTGTTTGTTTAGAAATTACAATAATCTATATTTTTATTTAAATATGAAATACTTTATATGGGAAATCTTTTAATTAAATATATTTATTGAATATACCTTATTTTTAATTAAACTTTCCTATGAAATCTTTTTGTTCATACACTAGATGTTTACATCTTTTTACTAAAGTATTTTCAGTTGATTTGGTTTGTTTTGTAAATAAAGCTATTAATCTGCAAAATTCTATTATGTGCTTTTGTTTCAAAATATTTATTTGAATTATTAGCTATCAGCTAGAATTTATCTTATCTTTAGAATTTTTTTCCACTAATTTTTCATTTTTTTATTTATTAAAGGTTATTATTTTTTTGCAAACGTGTTGCGTGAATATTGTTAGCATGCTTTGAAGTTGGTATGATTGTTTTGTTTAAATGTCATGTAAATCTAGAATATTGTTACAGATATACACCGTATTGCAGAACATGGAAATCCCACTCAAGATAATTTCATTATGATGATTATCAACTAAGACCATGGTTTCTAATTTAATACACAGTATTGACTGGCACAGAATGTGGCAGATAACCTCATCCATTTGCAATAAGGAATCAAAAGTTAATCATTTTGAAAAAAATTGAGTATTGGACTCATTGATGCACAATCTAATAAAAACATACAACTTAATAAAGAATGTTTGTTTAAAATTATGTAAATATACAATAAGATATAACTGCTACCTCAAACCGAGTGTGGTGGATAGAAACAACAAATATCAATATGGTGTCAAAAACTAATTGATAGAAATGATGATGGTGTGACTTATAATCTAATAAAAATATTTAACTTAATGAAAGTGTAATTTAAAGTTAAACGTTAAAGATTGAAATATATGTGTTTAAAAACACTGCACAATGTTGAAAGAAAATAATTTGAATAAATGGAGTTTACAAAACCACGCTAATGCCATATTTATCACCAAAAGAGTGAAATTCTAAATTCTATTTAATATTTTTTATAATAATTTTTCAACTTGAGTATCATGCATATATGTATATTACATTAAATTGCTTATTAATTCTTATCAATTTTTAAATAATAAGTTCAATAAAGTCACATTTTCTTCATTCTTTAATAAAAAATTTCTTTTCTGTGTTCTGTAATAGTTAAAATCTAAATATTGTATTAATATTTTCTACATATTAAATGAATTATGAACTAAATGTATGTTCAATTTTATTCATAGGTTGTGATGGCAACTAATCGAATAGAAACCCTTGATCCTGCTCTTATCAGGCCTGGCCGTATNGAAAAATCAGTTATCCGGAATAGCGATGGTCCCGACCATTCCGGACAATCGGTTCCCTACTGTATTACATTAAATTTGTTATTAATTCTTATCAATTTTTTAATTATAAGTTCAATAAAGTCACATATTCTTCATTCTTTAATAAAAAATTTCTTTTCTGTGTTCTGTAATAGTTAAAATCTAAATATTGTATTAATATTTTCTACATATTAAATGAATTATGAACTAAATGTATGTTCAATTTTATTCATAGGTTGTGATGGCAACTAATCGAATAGAAACCCTTGATCCTGCTCTTATCAGGCCTGGCCGTATTGATAGAAAAATTGAATTCCCTTTGCCAGATGAGAAGACTAAAAGAAGGATTTTCCTCATTCACACTGCCCGAATGACATTAGCAGAGGATGTAAATATTGATGATTTAGTTATGGCAAAAGATGATTTGTCTGGAGCAGATATCAAGGTAAGCTTAGTTGTCAAGAGGTCCTTTCGCTACCAACAATACTCAACTTAATCCTCTTTGTTTAATTTTCACAATTAAATTGAGGATGGATATTAGGCAGTGTCTTTTGATGCATCTAAAATACAAGACTGCCTCCCAATCACAATTCGAAATAATAAAACATACAATTACTTGTTTTTAGATTTTGATAACCATCTTTGTTTTTATGCAATTAATGCCATCCAAGTTGATTTTCATTTGTTTAAACTGTAATAAAATTAGATTTTAAGAAATCTAAAAACTGTGAAATGCGTAGTTTTAAATTACTTACTTAAAACTACAAATTTTGTCATTTTATTGCTAAAAGTTTTGAGGAAAAATTGTTTATATTATTAATAAAAATGGTATAAATAGTTCAATTAGTTGTGATGGTACTGTGGAAATTTAGGCTGATTGCTGAAAAGCAAGGAAAATTTCTATTGGACTAGATTTTTCTCTGCACATAAACAAATATTTAATAAAAAGTAATAAGCTGGCAGATGATAATTGTATTTTTTAAAAAAAATACATCTCATATACATATATATTTGTCTAATTGTCTTATTAATTTGTTAGTCAGTCGAATTTGTTCGTGTAAAATTAGTTTCTTTTGTAACAAATTCTTTTCTGTATTAACTCATGATTGAACATGTAAGTAAGATACTGCTTTTTGAAATGTACTAAAAAACAAAATGTGAAAAAGTTCACTAGATAAGACAAATCACAATAAAATCTTGTATGTAATGAAAATGATTGCATTTGTTAAAAAAAAAATTATTTTCTTGTTATAGGCTATTTGTACAGAAGCTGGGTTGATGGCTCTGAGAGAGAGGCGTATGAAAGTAACTAATGAAGACTTCAGAAAATCTAAAGAGAATGTTCTGTATCGTAAAAAAGAAGGAACTCCCGAGGGCTTATATTTATAAATTTTGTAGGATTTCTCTTCACTTGTTTTTTTTTTTATAACTTCCATTATTGAAATAAATTCATTGACTGTCTTTTTTTGAGCCTTTTTGTGATTCATAAGCTTACAAATCATGTTGAATTTTCAATATTTAGAGTAACACTGTCAACTAAGAATTGAATGAAACCTGTAATTGAATGACTAATTAATCATCATTAGCTAAAAGTGTTCTAAGAATGTTTCTTTTATGGTTTAAAAAACAAAAAGTTTCTAAAATACACTTAATAAAATATAAGTTTTTTTGATTAAGAAGTTATTTTTTTCATTTGACAAAAGAAAAACTCTATACAAAGCTAACAAATAAACAAGTACTGAACAAAATTAATTTAATCATAATTGCCGACTGATAGAATTTTTTTTTTTTTACAAAGTCTTGTGCCGTATATATACCTACAAACAATTAGTGGTTAAAATTGAGAATGACTGTTTTAACTGAAAAATTAAGAGTAATATGAGAATAAAGTCAAGAACTTTTTTTTTTGAAAAAAAGACATGCATACAATTCAAACGTTTAACATTTTAATAACTTTTGATCTAAGATGTAATCCTAATGGTTTAAAAGGATAACTTTAAAAATAATAATTAATCAGTGCAGGAACTAAAACATAGGCAAAAACATATATTTTCTTTGAATAAACATAGATGAGTAAGTTAACATTTATGCATTATTTTTTCTACCACTGTCGGCATATTGGCAACCACTGAACGTTCTTTGGGTAATAATGCTGCTCATTGGCAGCATCCCTGAAGCATTTTTTGTATACTGGGTAGTAGATTTCTTATAGTAAACTCATTCTTTCATTGCGATTGCAAAACAGATATTAATTTATTTTGAGGCTAGTACTAAAGTTGCTACCAAATATGTATGTATTTGTAATGTCTCTTTTGAAACCATTTCTAAGCAAAGGTCATACTTTTTACCTGGACAACTAGATTTCCAATCCCTCATTGTTTATCTTTCTCCGGGAAAAAGGTATGAATGCTTGTGGCATTATGCAAAGTTGACGAAAAGCTCTGTATAGGTTAAACATAAGTTAACTGAAAGGTATAAGTGATAATTTGAGAAAAGGAGAGCAGTATTGCACGAGTCGGATGGAAAAGAATTTTATATGCTTTTCACTATCCCAATTTCAGAAGTACCTAATATAAGTCAAGAAAAAAAATGAGTTTATTTTAAAGCCAAAATGCATAAAAGACAATAACTCTTATGGGTATAATTACTTAATCTGACATGGTGATAAGTACTATCAATGCAACTTTCAAAACTTGTGGTCAAAATAAGTGGTTATAGCAGATATTTTATCTGCTTCAATGACATGCGTGTGGAACACTTTCTGCCTATATACGGACACCACAAAAGGAAAATCTTGTTGAAATTTCAGTTTAGGAAAACAAGAATCTTTAATTTCATCAGTACAGTATATCGGGCAGTAATTATCCCATAATGCTCACATGTAGACATTTTTCTTCCATACACCATTCAGTTTGTATAACGTTTTTAAAAAGTGCTTTTTTTTTAATTTCCATTTTTTAATAGATGTTTAAATTTCTAATAATAAAATGCTTTTCAAATTGAACATTTTTCATTTGGTACTAATTACTCTTCTGCACAAAATTATTGGAATTTTTTTTTTTTAATTTTTTCCGCTCATGCACAGTATGAAAGTATAACTTTAATAGCTAGTATCCTGTTTTCAATGTTTAGCCAACTTTTTTCAAATTTTATAATTTTGTTATTAATTAAAAATTTCTAAATTTTTATTTTTATTGAATATTTTTAAAGGCATAGCAAAAACCCTGCAGAGAAAAAAAAAAGGTAGTTCTTATATAAATCTTTGTATCTCTATAAATATTTAAGCTAGGCTTACGAAATTATTTGCAATTTAATGCATATAATAACAAAAATAAATCAAGACAAGTTACAAGTTAATTGCTGTATTTTCTGACAATCAGTGTCCAAAAACACTTTTTTTGCTCGTAATTTAGTGCCTGTCCATTTAATCTCTGAAAACTTGATTGATAAGTATGAGAAATCACACGAACAAAACACCTTTAAAGTTATAAATTAACTTTCTAAATGTTCTTTGAGAAATTTTTTTAAGAAAAGTTATAAGTGTGTCTTCAATTATAGTAGTGTAGGGTATATATGAAAAACTTAAAACAATCGGTAATAAAATGCATAAGGGAGCATACCTCGATTATAATTATTTTATATAAAAAAAAGTGCTTAAAATTTTTTTAGTGCTTCAAAAATGCTTTAAAGGTGCTTATTTTAATAAAAACAAATTTTGGCTAAGCACCCTGCTATTGGTGGGGGGAAAAATCGAAAATGATAAGCTTTGTTTGCGACTGGTGATGAGAGTTCATGCATCAGTTTGAACAATATGTAGACTTGTGCATTTTCCCTTGTTTTGAAAGCTATTCCACTAATAGTTTTTTAATTTATTATGTTGCACTATTAGTTTTGTGATTTATTTTAATTTTGTGATATGGGAACATATTTATATTAATGTCATTTATTTTAATTAATGTGCTGTGAAGAAAGAGATATGATTTTAAAGCGTCAAGCCTGACTTTTTCTCGGATCCGTGAGATGAGATTCCATTGAAATCCGCTTTCAACTGCGAATTGGTTTCTGTTACAACAATGTAGTAAAACCATTTCAGAAATGTTATTTGAACACCTTAAATGCCTAATCAGTCACTGATGATTTCTACAGTCTGAAAGAAAAGTTTAGTGTCATTCAAGCTTGAGATTTCTATGATTGCCGCAAAACAGGTTTTCACAGTTTATGCTGCCATATAGTTCAAGTACTCTTGAAGCTTATAATTTGGCTGCAGAAAGATGCTTATAGTTTACCAGAATTTCATTTACAAATTATTAAAAATAAATATCACAGTAAAAATTTATATTGAATAATGGAAAAATAAATATCTGTACTTGTTTATTAAGTTTCAGTTAATTTAGTAAGATAAGATATTTTTGTGATGATCACAGTCATTCTGCCCTAAGTCATTCATCCAATTCTCATAAGAATAATTCCAAATGAAATGTATACACCTATATTTGTTATGGAATTTCACTACATAGTTTTTAGCTTTTTAATAATGGGAATGTGTTAACAAATACAAATTATACTTTAAAGGGTTTGAAAATCCCTTTTCACTACATTTAAAAAAATTTTAAAATATATTTTAAGAAATTTTTAAAGAAAAACGAAAAGTTATTAAAATTAAGGGCATTATATTATCAGTGATGGCCGTCAGATACTTAAGTGCCAATTAATACTTTCTTTAAACTTGCTCTCCCCTTTATAGCAAATTAATGAACGAATGTATATAAAATTTCTTCGAAATGCTATAAACACAATAAATAACATTAAGGAAACTCAACAAAATGAAGTTAGGTACTTAATGTCAATTCTGCAATAAAATCCAGTATCAGGACTTGAGAAAGATCCATAGTAAATACCGCAATGTTTTGTTTTTTAGTGTCAAAGTAAAAATAGTGTCAAAGTACGTTAAAAAAAAACTACAGGTTGTTCGTAGAGATCATAGATTGTTAATTATTGTTTTTTTCCCTCTCCTTCTGATGCAAATTTCTGTTCGAGAGCTGGTAAGTCCTTTAAAACTTATTCTAGATCTATTCGCTACTTTGAGTAATTTAACATAGTTTTAAACAAGAGTGTTAAGATATCAAAAAATCTCCGATATTCAATTATCTCAAAAGTTAATTGGTAACAGATAGCAGCAAACACCCTGCAGAGAGAAAGATCCACTATTTCACGATCAATCGAAAATCGAGCCAAACCTATGAAAATGATCATTATATTGGTCAAATAAATTGACAACAGATAAAATTTAAAGGATATTTCAAAGTTATTGCAAACTGGTAAACATAAAATTTTTCAGAATTGATTAACATTAAAATGCATATAAATTGTGCTTGTATCTTATAATTGAAGGATAGAATATTTATTATTTTTTTTCATCTCACTTTCTGCTCTTTTACAATATTCACCTTTACAAATTATTGAGAAAATAATTAGAAAATTAAATATAAATTTAAGAATGAAATGAAATTAAAAAACTAGGAAATGAGTAATGTATTAAATGGCACAAGTGAAAAGCCTTACATCAAAACCCAGAAAAAAATCTGTCTAAAAATATTCTATTTGATAAAGATTAATGGAGCTCCCCCTATAACTACAGAAAATTTTCAAATATAAATTTTTTTTTTTATAACAATAAGTATTTATAATATTCTAATGTTACTAAGTATTAAAATATATGTTCTTAAATTTCAATACAAAATCAGCTTAACTAATAATGAATCTAGTACGATTTTTTCATTTTAAGAGATTAGTTGAAGATTTTTTTTCGAATTTGATTTTTATTTTTCTGCCACAGCATAGAACAATATGTTAACGGTTAAAGAAACATATAGATTGGAAAGTTTTGAGATACCGTGTAAGGAAGGCTTCATGGGTTGTAATGCCAAAGAATAAATAATAGTAAGCTATCTTTATTGAGTAGTGGATTAGAAATTTAAACTAAAGATAATAAAAATATTTACTTTATCTTCAGTACTTGAAATAATTGTAACTAAATAGATTTTGTTCCTTGTATTTTACTCAAAATACTATATAGTTAATAAAAGTTGTGAGTGTGAAATACCATTTTTTTAAGCAATAGAAAATATATCAGATTTATAATCAATATTAATATAAATTTAAGTCCCATAGTGAACTGATCATAAGACACAGTTCAAAGTCAAGCATCACTGGCAGCGGTCAGTGAGTTAATGGGTGACCACTGTGATTGAGCTGTAAAGGGACAGATGGTGCAAGGAATCGGTTCTCTTTCATCTGTTCTACCATAAAGTACAGGAAGAAACTAGATGAAATGGAAAAAACTAAAATTAACAATAATTAATAAATTCAAATTAAAAACAAAATTTTATATAGTGCAATACTACCAGTTTTTTTAGATTTGTTGGAGACACTGGTCAGTTTATATCTATATAATATATGTATATATCCAGTAGAAAATTTAAAGTCAATCTATAGCAGAATCTTCATTACGTCAAATTTGGATGACAGTGTGATTTGGATGATTATGTGACCCTAAGACAGAGACTATTATTGCAACCATGTGTACAGCAAATTAGCATAGATAAGGTAGGAAAAAAATTAGACACAAATGTTGAAAACTTATTATTTTGATTAAAAGTTTTGTACATTTTTAAATTAATGGAATAATTAAAAGTTAAAAAATTGATTTAATCCCTAATATCAACACCAGTATTCACCCATTTAAATTTCTTAATTTTCAAAATTCCAGTTCATTTCTGCATACCTGGGAAGTCTGAAAAAATGATTAATTTAATAAAAACATAATAGAGACTCAATCATCAAAAGTCTATGGTACTTTAAATAGTGAAAATATTTAATTAAGAAAAACACAGAATTATCAATTATACATTAGTTTTTTAGATAATTGAATTCCCTTTTCACTGTAAATAATAATTATAGATATCTGGAGAGGCTCTGAAGATAGCCCTGTAAAAATTGCCACTTTCAAGAACCCTCAGGGGTCCCGCTCTAGAGGTAGACCACCTACTCGATGGCTCAACGACCTCAAACTTAAGAACTGGAGGGGAGTTGCCATGGACAGAGGGAGCTGGAGAAGGCGTGCTGTTGAGGCAGCCAAGGCCTGCAAAGGGCTGTTGCGCTCCTGAAGAAGAAGAAGATATGCTGCAATTGGATTATAACTAACAAAGGGTACCTTTTATCCAAAGCTACCAGGGTTATGGGGTATCTTAGGGATCACTTTGGCTCCTCCCGTCACTCCAGGTATAAGGTTTTATATACAGTCAAACTCTGCTATAGTGAACACGGTTTATAGTGAACTCTCGGATATAGCGAACGAAATGTTCGGTCCCTTGAAGGTTCACTATAGCGGGGTTTGACTGTATATACATTCCTATAAGGTTAATACATAAATAATTAAATAAGCACTTAAATTGTATTAAATTATAAAAAGTCAAAAATACCCAATACTTTTAATAAGTAATTTTTGATTTACTGAGCAACAAAAAAAAAAAAAGAGGGGTGAATTCTCTCCAATCACCTTTCTAGTATTGAAGTTAATTATTTGGAAATTTTGGAAGTCATCACTTTTCGTTTGCTTATAATCTCCTGATTGGCAAACAAGTTTTTTAAGGGATCTGAAACAAAGTATAATTGAGTAAGTTCAGGAATAATACATGATAGTTCTGTTTTTCCCATCAGTAATTTTTAGGCTTGTTTTTTTTAAATCTCAGATGACAGCTACTCTTCAAATGCTGTGATAAAATTTTTTTTATACATATCCATTTATACATTAGAGAATAAGTTTTATTTTAGTTACAAAATTTATTTTTTAAAATAAAATTTTTAATATTTCAACACGATTTTCAGCTTAAATATTAAACTTTAATGCTGTTTCCCATTTATTAAATTTTTTTTAATTTATTATTTCTTTAAAAATAAAAATTCAGTCATTTGTTAATAAAAGTTTGCAGTTAAAAATTCTTCATTTAGATTTATAAATCATTATTAACTTATAGTTTTATAATTAGTTATGAAATAATGAAATGTTTATTAAAAATATTCTGATATAAGCACACACACCTTAAGCATACTATCTTTTTCAGTAATTAACTATATTTGGTTATAAAAATTAGTATGCTTCCTGTGAATACAAATAATGCTTTGTATAATTAGTAGTATGATATAATATGTAATTTGGTTACGATATCGTAAATTTTTTTTTAATATAGAATAAAATTGTAATCTTTTATGTAAAACATTGAAAGAAACTACTGTAGTTTAAATCCATTAAATACATTTTTCTTTCCATATTTTGATTTTTTTTTTAATAGTCACTTACTTAAAAAATGAATTATAAAATGACTTAGAAATAATTCTATATAATTTAAACTAGATTTCAATTATAACATGTTTAAAATTTTAATTTAATGCTTGAGTTTTATTAAAAATATTTTCTTCCACTTGGGTTTTGGTTTAAGGAAACCCAGTTCTTCCGAAGCAGTTTTTATTCTAAGGCTTTTTCCATTATGGAAGAAACTTACCATACCTACTACCATAACAACCACATTGCTAAATAGGTAGCCCTTGTGCCTAATTTTTCATCCTTTCATTTTCATTGCAAAAAAAAAAAAAAAAAAAAAAAGCATTTAAAATTACTAATTTTAATTTCTTCATGCTTTAGAATAGTTTTCTTTTTTAAATTAAAAAGACAGTGAACTATATTATTTTTAATGCTATGTGTCGAACAGAATTTTATTTAAAATCGAAATGTAACAAAGCAATTTTAACTATAAAAATAATGAAAAGTGTTTTACAAATCTGAATATACAACAAATTTTTAATACTTTATATCAGACTAAAATTCTAAAACTAGTGTATCATAATTATATACAATAAAAATCATAATAACTTGAGCACTTAAATAAATCATATTTATAAAGACGTGAGTAATAATTGGCTGATTGCACTTAAAGAGAAAAGATTTAATAATTTGATCACTAAATTGAATAAAAACTTATAAAATTTCATTGAGTTTAAAACTAGTAATGTAAATTGCCTAATAAATAATGTATAAATAAGATCATGATTGAACCTCAGTTTAGAAATGATTCATTAATTTGATCCGTTAATTTGTTTCTATTAATAAAATATATCATGATTAAATATCAAGTAAGAAATGAGTTATTTTATAGCAAAGGTAATAGTTAAAACGTACATTAATATTAGATTCAAAGCTAATAACAATTTAAAAATTTTGATTTAAAGATGCATTGAAATGGTTGAAGTTCTAATTCTTTCAAACATGAAATTAGTAATGATGTAATAATTTATGAGTCAAAAGAGCCATCTTAGAACAAAAGCAGTGATCACAAATGTCACAATCTACAACATTTTCACGAACCGCTGGCGAATTCTCCGAATTACGTAACTCAGTAAAATCAATCTTACAATAGTTACACTGAATAGCTGATTTCTTATGAAATTCAACATGACTTACAAGTTCTTCAATGTTTGCATTTGTGTAAGAACATTCAGAACACATATGAAGAACCTGCCTCCATGGTTCTTTTTTATTTATAGAATCAGATCCCTTTGATTGTTTTTTCCTTCTGACAGTAGCTTTTCTCTTAGCTGCTGATTTACGTTTTGCAACATCGTTACTCAATTTAGGTCGATATACATCAGATACATCTGTGTGGTCTGACTGTATCAGTGATCTTCCAGAGCTATGAGATGGGCCAGGAACCGGAGATATAGACACATCATCAATGGTCACAATTTCCTGTTTAATATCTGGAGGGCTATTGGGTGTTAATAAATTAGAATCTGGTGTCGAAATAATGGTTTGTTCGGGGATATCTGAACTTATTATTGACTCCCCAGAAGTTTCTATACCACTCACAGGTGGGAGTTGTGCATGTTCTGTATTATTTTGATTAACAAAAGATTCATTTTCTACAATTAACGTTTGTTCTAATAGATTTGAAGGCTCTATTTCTAAATCATTAACATCATCAGTTGTTTTAGAATCTCGGAAGACTGATGGACAAGATTTCTTGGGTGAATTTTTTTTCGATGAATGTAATGAAACCATAAATAGTGAGCTTGGGCCCCCACCTGATCGAATATCACTAGTAATATCTATTATTTCACTCTCAAATAATTCCTCTATATCAGGCGATGCTCTTGCTTTCATTTTTGGAGCAACTCCTTCATCATCACTAGGACATAAATCCATAAGGGGTCGTTTCTGACGCGTTTTCCTTTTCTTGCGTTGCATAGGTGATCTGGTGGTATTTTCAGTTGATTGTGTGATTGAAGGCGTTATAGGTGTTGACAAAGTCGCTTTTTCTGTATGTTTTTGCTTCTCGAGTCCTAAAGCATGTCTATTTTCTGCTGTGACTTTTTCCAAACCTTTTACTTTCAGTGTTTCAGCTGTTAAAAGAAATGATAAGAGTTGATCTTGAGAAATATTCACCTCTCCACTATATACAAACTTGATGACAGCTTGGAGGTCACAATATTTTATGTCTTTCAATATGACGATAGGGTGCTTACTGGGATTTTCCGAAAATAGTCGTTTAAAAAAAGGACTGCAAGCAGAGAGCACAATTTTATGTGCTTTGAGACTCAACCCATCACAGGCTAGTGTAACATCCACAAATAATTCCGTGGATAATAAATTTTCGAAAACTTCAAGCAAATTACTCGTGTGGTTATTCCATTTTAAACATATTTTTTTAGCCATTGTAGCACAGAAAATTATAGTAAAATAGTTCAGCTTTGATTTAATTGTACGTGAATCCCCACTTCAAGCAGTACTTTGTTTACATTAACCGAAATTTAAATTTTCGTGCGCTTTTAGCTGTCTATTTCTGTAAGGCAAAAGGTGTGATTTGAATAAAACCCGAATTTCCAACGCATTAACAGCGTTTACATTAATGCGTTAACTGATGAGCAGCGAGTTTTCTCAAATTCCATTGTTTCTTTTTTTAATTTCATGTATGGGATAAAACTAAAACTTGGGTTAGAAAAGTACGCTGATTGGCAAGTTTTTCATAGGTAATTGTATTTCACCATCATGGGCGTTGCTAGTGTCCAATTTTTAAGGGCAAAATTAAAATATATTGTAAAATGCCTGTAAAAAGATTAGTCCCGCAGTGGATTGATCATACGGTTCCCAGTAGAACACCGAAGTCAAACATCACCGACTGCTGTCAGAAAGCAGATGGGTGACCATATGATCATCCTGCGTAGGGACCGAGGATGTACGGTGGGCTATGAAAGCAGAGGAGCCATCCCCTCTGCAGAGGATCGAAATTGCGATGGCATATTTTCGGATCATCCTCAAGGGTGATTCCCAGACTATTCCCAATAACCCATTGCGCAGCTCTAGTGAGACGTAAATAAAATACCTTCCTACCAAAAGGATTAATTATTTTTATAACTTGGATGAATTTAACCTATGTTTACCAGTTAGGTTCCAGTTCCATTTACGAATTCATATTAGTGAATTTTTCGCATGGAGTTAAATATATATAAAGATACACACTTCAGTACTGAGTAATTTTATAATGTTGTTGAAAACCTAAAATAACTTTTAATCTAGTGATCAGACTTATCAGTGGCGTGCAGACGAGAGAAAGAAGGCGCATTATCTAGCCATTTATCTAGCGAAAGGTGGCATCCAGTGAGCCTTAAAACATGAAACATTATTTTTTTATGAAATAAAATTTTTAAGTAAGTGATACTTGCCTCAAGAATATTATGTAGAGAATAAAATATAATTTTCAAATAAATTTAATTTTGAAACTTGTGGTGATTAAAAAAAAAAAATTTTTTTTAGAACATTTTACTTTAAATCATAAATTTTTTACTTATACCTTACAGCGTTTTTTGCTGACATTTGTGCAAGAAATGGATTCAAAAACGTGCTTATTTTGCAGTATATCTTAAAATAATGAAGCGAAATATTTTTTTTTTAAATCTTTGCTTCACTCAAATAAATTTATTCAAATTTTACACTATATGAGTATAGTAAGTATGCAACTGCTTCATATAGATTAGCATAATGTAGGAAGTAAACCAATTCAACAACATTGGTTTACTTCCTACAGGATATGGCACAAAACAATAGTGCCAATTTTTACTCATATGATAAGGTACAGGTATCAGAAAAAATATTAATGATAAATGCATTTATTGAGAAAAGAATGAAATGAAAAATTAATTTAATGTTTAATTTCAAAAAATATGTTACGCGTAGATGCATGACAATATCTGCCACTGTTTTTTTTATTTTTTATATAAAGTAACAGACCATTAATTTTTTTTTTTTAAAATTGAAGATTGATTCTTTTTTAGTGTGCGTGTTCATCAGAAAAACTGGCAGACATAGATACTTATTATTCCAGGAGCTACCAAAAACATATAAAATAGGATTTAAAGACAATTGATTTTCTCATAAACTGCATACTAAACCAAAATCATACTAGGTGAATGGTTATACTATCAATTAAAGAGAAAAAAAAATCCTAACTTTTATCAATGAAAATTATAATTACAAAATTTTATAATAATTTAACACAGTGACAAACATAACAGAAATGAAAATAATAAAGTAATTTAACTTTGAGAATGAATAGATGAAATTTTTAGAATTTAAAATAATTTAACTAAATAATTTCATGGTTACGACAAATCATATAAATTAGAATGGAGCACGGCTTCTGATAAATTGCATCAACAAGTTTTTAGGATGCTCCAGTTCAAAGTCGAGATAGTAGTTTTTAATTATGTTTCATAATTTTTTTTCAATATTCTAACGTAAATGAAATATTCCTCGTCCTTAAATTGTTATTTTTCTTTCTTATAAGAGTGAATAATAGCCTAAAATGGAGAAATTGAAGTTCATACCCTATGCATATAAATGACTCTATATCTCCCCTTAATATTATCCTATATTTTTCAAACTGGACCAGATATTATAATATACTATAGAATTGCAGCAAGGAAATAATTATAGACAAATCAAGTGGCACAAGGGGGGGATATAGTTCCATTGGAAAAGCGAGGGAAAATACTTAAAGGTTAATATAAGAGGCAGAGCCGTGTGTGGCATGGCCATTTGTGTTACGTGATAGGAAGCAACAAATTAGTAAATTAGCAGACAAAAGACTCCGGGGTTCAAACTCGGTTAAGGATCAAAATTTCAAAAATTATATTTCATAATTTTTTTTAAATATTGTATAGTAAACTTCGTAACAGCTTTTTCGTGGTAATGTACAACTCTATAAAATATTTTGCAAAAAGTAAAGTAGTTAGCAATCCTGTTGTGCTTATAGTAACATTTATTATGATAAATTAAGCTGCTCAAGTTATTCTCAAACAGTGGCCTAAATAAGTTGCAAAAACATAAACACAATATTTCATAAAGGCAAAATATATTAACCGGTAAAAACCCAAAATTTATTACAAAATTTTGTTTGTCAATTTAGTAGCAAGTTAGTAACTGGTTAGAGTAAATGGTGCACATTATATGTTTTGATTACCCAAAATATTTAAAGCTATTCAGCAAGATAGGTATTTTTTTGTAGGACAAAAAACTATAATATTTTCAAATAACAAAACATTTCAAAAACTTACAGGATTATTAAAGAAAAAATACTTAAGAGATTCAAACAGTATAATAAATCATTTAATAATAATCATTATAAACCGAACTTTTAAAAAATAATTTGAACTAATATATAACACCAATGCATTTCAAAAATAATGAATTTCATATTAATTTCTCTCATTTTCAAGGAAATGTTGCACATATATACATATTTTTGAGCAGTAAAAAAATATTTTTATTATATTTATAAATACAAGTATACATTTATCAAGCATGCTCATATATTATTATATACACCATCTAAGTATCATGTTTCAGATGATTAAAAAATTATACTGTAGAAAAATTCGAAATTATGTTACTTTTTACAATATTTCACTATAAAAAATGTACATTTAAAACTTTATTAAAATAATGTTGAAAATTTAATATGAAAATTTAGCTTATTTTTTTACGAATAAGCAAATTTACAATGCTGGTCAAAAATATAGACTATGTTGAATCTTTTTCTGTAACCTGAAGTTCAATACGTTGAATCTACAAGATCCTAAAAATCAAATCTTATCAGAGTAATTTTTTTAAATCCTGAATTCAGTATGTTGAATGTACATATTATAGCCTCCTGGAGACCAAAAGTATTTTTTTTTCTATATAAATTTTTTATTTATATAAAATTTTTATTTCAAATTCTGTATAAAATATAAATTTTGTACACGTTTCTAATAAAGGTCAAATTTGTAGAGCAGCTTCATATTTAGATAACATATAATGCAGAAATTTTACAGATAAAAAAAATGACAAACTCGCCTTTTTCCTTCAAAACTTAAGGTCATGGCCAATGTCATTATACTTTCAAATTGTTCAGGAAAGCATTTTTGGAAATTTTTTCATAGAATATTTCTATTTATTAAGCTGTTATCAAGAGTAATTTCTGGATACAATACTATGGAACAGTTCAAAATGAAAACGACTTTATTAGAAAAAGTGTGGCTTGTCACTGTATAATCTCAGGCCTTCAATTATAATGAATCACTTGTCTCGTTTCTTTTATTATCACTTTTTATTTCCCTGAGTGGTATCTTGTATTATAGCAATTATAAACTATATATTAAGTAAATATGTATAATTTTTCTTTCTTCACATAGTTTATCACATTCTATGTGAAAAAGATGTCACGAGAATGGTCTCATATCATCATCTTGTTTTCTCAAGATGGTATGAGAAATTATAAACTAAAAAACTATCTATTCATTCAATTAATTGATCTTCCTTGATATTTACTAAACCTTAGTGGCAATCAAAGGTCATAGTTTCATCTCATTTATAAAATTAATATCGAGATTGAAGTATCAAACCTCTTTTTCAATGGTAGAGACTTATCATTGGTTTAGGAAAAAAGAGTTCACTATTTATCATTATTGAAAATTTAAGTAAGTTTCATTATTACCATACAAAAGAAATTATGTAATAACTGTTATAAATAATAAAGATTCCTAATTTTTTAACAACTATTCTGTTGTAGCTAATCTTTGTCTAATTCCAATATCACTTGACGAAGATTTTTCAGCTACTGAAGAAGGTTCTTGACTTTCATAGCTAGAACTAGACTCACCTATTAAAGAGGAATTTTAAAATTACTACATATTTATTAAAATAAACTAATGTGTTTAAAATTAATAAAGAAATAATGAATAATTTTATTATTCTCCTGGTTTAATGAAAACACGATTTTGTTTAAATAAAAACATAATTAGTTACAAAAATGTAAATTTTTTTTCTCTTTAACATTTGCAGTCAAGAGGAGTTTATTATGTATTTGTACAAAATTTGTTTCTATGATTTTAAAATGTGATGAGACATCAAACAAAGTTCACTTGAAATTGCAATTATTAAAAATTGTTCAAAGATTGAAAATTAAAAGAAAAATTGTAAATTAAAAATCGCAAATTAATCACTATGACTAAAGCAGTACAATCAAATAGTAGTTTCAATTTAAAAGTTGTGTGTTTGAAATAGAATAAACAAAACGTATAAAAGCACACATAATGTTAAATAAAACAGACATAAGAATAATTCACCTATACAATCGATAAACTCTCCCTTCTGAATATTTCAAATATTCATTTCAGAGCATTCAATTGATTCTAAACTGTATTTATTCAACAAAAAATAACTAAATAAATAAGTAAATAAATAAAATATAAATTATTAACAGCACTAAATAACAAATTTTTTTTAACCACTGAATAATTATTTATTTACTTATTTAGATTACTACCTATATATTGTTTGTTTCATGGAGTTAATCGATTTGGCAAATTGAAAATAAAGAAATACCTCTTTTAATGACAAAACACAAAATAAAACCGAGAAATACAGGAAAATAAGAAACAAATAGCAAAGGTAAAAAATTGACAAAGAGGGTAAGGAGAACAAAGAAAAAGAGTTTTACGTGAGGAACAAAATGCATAAATTTAGTAGTTTACATTTTAAACAAACAAGTTTACCTTAAATCACCTCAGCAGGTTTAAGAGATTCTTAGCTGCTTAAGAAAATTGAGCAGAGAGCTTGAATTTTAAAATTTTATAGTTGAAAAAATTTTCTGTTACGTTTATTGTTAGTTATAGTTTTTTAAAGTTCACAATTTAAAATAAACAATTATGATACAAAGTTTTTCAAAGAAAATATGACTTGTTAAAGTTTAAAAATTACGAACTCCACACAAATTTTATAATAACTAGGTTTCAAAAGAAATTGGTAAAATTTTAGCATGACATACAGATTGATTGCTAGACAAAACATTTTTGAGACATAATATTAGTCTAATTCCGATCAAACCAACATACAATTTTTTTTAAAAACTCGAATTTTTACAAATGTGCAATTTTACTATATGCACATCCCCATTTAAATAATTGGGGAGATGATGAAATAAACAGCTTTTTTTCTAAAATGGTAAATTAGTTAAACAATTCTGCACAAAATAATTGACTTTGAGAAAAAAAAGATTTTTTGCAAGAAAACATCTATAGAGAGAAATACAAAAACAATTAATAAGCTTTTTTTCCTTCCTCTGATGTATGCTTGAAAACTAAGGTAAAAATTACACTGATACATGAAGTAAGATAAATAGGATTTGTTAAAATGAATGCCCCAATTTCATAGGTATAATAGGTAACATATACTAAATGTATTCATTAAAAATTTACATACATGCTATGGCAATACAAACAAATTTGAATAGTCACCAATAGATGGTGCTGAAAGTCCAATTGATATCAGCATTTCAGTGAAAACAATACAGGTTAAAAACCAATGTCTTTTAAGTTGGTGGGACAATAATTATAAACATTTTGTGCACTTGAGTTTCAAGCTATCATGTTTACTGTCACTGTTCAGCCCCTGTTCCTGACAAAATATGGACAAAAAACACCAGATCATAACGCAATTTATCATTGGCCCCGGATATAAGGCAATTCATTTTGAATAGTCACCAAAAGATGGTGCTGAAAGTCCAATTGATATCAGCATTTCAGTGAAAACCAAACAGGTTAAAAACCAATGTTTTGTAAGTCGGTGGGACAACAATTAAAAACATTTTGTGTGCTTGAATTTCAAGCTATCAAGTTTATTGTCACTGTTCAGCCCCAGTTCCTGACAAAATATGGACAAACAGCACCAGATCATAAGGCAATTCATCATTGATATCCAAAATTTTAAGAGACAGGCTGCATTTACATAGGAAAATCAACAGATCATCTTTCTATAGTAGAAGACGCAATCGAGCAATTTGAATACAGCTATATGAAAAACCCTTATATCAAGGTGAACAAGAACTAGGAGTAGCTAAGAAAGCTTTGTGTAGAGTTAAGAGGCATTTACAAATGAGATTGTATCATTTGCAGTTGGTGCAATATCTGAAAACTGAAGATCTGTCACATCAGTTGTCTTTTTGTGAGACACTACTCTAGAGGGTGAAAAATTTTCGGAAAATTTAGTGTTCAGTAATAAATTAACCTTTCACATTTCTGGATTTGCAAATGATTATAATATGAGAATTTTGGGTTTCAAACATCTACATGTGCCATTTTAATATCCGGATGATTTCCTTATCAACATGATTCTATGATATTAATCATGGGGAACATGATCCTCCTAAGGTCAATGTGTTTGTGCAATATTCCTACACATGATTCTTCCTTTTTTTCAGAAACTACTGTGATGGGGGGCAATGTAGCTCCAATTGCTCAAATTATGGATTCTGCCACAACTACAAGAGGATATGCCAAGCTCTAATCAGCATCAGGATGGTCCACCATCACAGTTTATGATTGAAGTGCAGAGCCATCTCAATAAACGTTACTACAACTACGGATTGGTTTTAAATTAAACTTGTATTGGCAACTACAATACCAAGATTTCACCCTTGAAAATTTTTCTTGATAGGAATTTGTATAAGAATGCGTGTATGCAAAACAACTATGACTGCTTTAAAAGTATGTATCATTGCAACCATCAAAATAGAGATGTTGCTCAAAGTTTGGCGAGAATTATATTTCAAACTTGATGCATGTCTCATAACATTAGGAGGGCAAATCAAACATTTGTGAGAAGTACATTCGAAACTTGCTAATATTACTTTTGCTTGCATATACATTTTTAATAAATACATTTATTAGATTTTGCCTGATCTACTAATGAAATTGGGGCATCCATTTTGACTTACCTTGTATAACATACAGAATAAAAAGCATGGTTCAGAGAAAAATGAGACAAATTTAAAAAAGGTAAATAAGTTTAAGATTTTTGTAAAACTTCATTGCATAAATAATGCATACAAATTGTTTCAAATTAAATCTTTTTCCTTATCTTTTTGACCAATGATATTCATACAATAAATATACATCCTGCTGTTCTTAAAGCTCTATCTTAACATTTTTCTTTAAACTGTTAGAATTTTTTTTAAAAAAAGAATTTTAATTACTTCTGTGAGGAGATAATGTTAAGACTTCAGCTGGCACAGTTGAGGGATCTGTCCTTTCAATACCTCCACCTGAAGATTCTGTAAAAAAAATTAATACCGCAATTTGTATAAAAAAATATTCAAATATATAATAGATAGTAAATAGACAGAGATGCCAACTTGCTCCGGACAGCAAATATATATTTAAAAGTGGCAGTTTATCAATTGTGTTTTTTGGTTTAATAAATTCAATTTAGTAGATTTTTATCCACCACTATTTCTAAATAATTCGTTGGTTTATACAATTGACCACTTTATAATTGTTATGTCATGCTATACCTTTTTAAAAGCAAGCAAAAATAGTCTAATATTTGCAAAATTCACTTGTAGTTATTTACCGTTTTTTTAATTATTTTTGCGTGTCCGGAGCAGTTGGCATCTCTGAATAGATAGCTAAATAAAAAATAATTTCAAAGTAAAGTAATAAACAATCTTAACTAATTTTATAAATAAAATAAATTAATAAAATAATGAAGAAAGGAAAAACATAAAATCTCATTACAGACCTAATTTTTTAAAAAAGAATCAGATAAACGTTTATGCTGCATAGTTAATTCCAAATTACTAATCAAAAATTTCAAATTCATGCGACATAGCAGGATTTAATTTATCAAGCCTAATGCAAAGATTCAAAATTATAAAGATAATAAATAATTCAGAAAAAAAGCAACTGACGTCACATTTAAATGACATTTCTTTTTCCCCTCAAACCTATTTAAAAATTAATTATTTTTATCTTTTTCCTGTTCTTACCTTAGATGAATTTAAATTGATGATGATTCATGAAAAATTTTCTTCCCTTGTCTGAAATATTGAGGGAAATGCTATAAAGAGAGGGGGCATATATTATCTCAATCGCCAATGACTCCCATGAAGTCATTCTAGCTAAATGTTTAAGTATAATAAATATAACAAATTAAATTAAAGAGATTTTTAAAAATGACTTGATAATACTTTAAAAAAGCTTTATTTTGGCTCATTTGACTATGTCAAGAATGTAATACAGTAAATGATAGAAACTTATGTCATAAAATAAGAAACAATCAGCACACATATTGATATTAATTAGCTTTATGGTAAAAACGAGTGTATTATAATTTTGCTCATTATTGTGCTATTGTATACTCTAACCTCTGTTTCCTCATTTTATTATTTTTTTGTACGTATGGCTTTCCATTATCTAAAATATATTTTTTTCAGTTTAAATTAATTGAAGCATCTGCATACATACAAAAAACATACAAGCAGATTGAACAAAATGAGAAATTTGTGCATTGAGAAGAAATTTCCACACAAATTGCCAAAAACGTTTGGCCAAGTAAAGTATAAATTCGCAAAATCGGGTGAAGGAAAAAAATAGACCCATCTTAACCTATGCAATAGTCAGTTAATAAAATTTGAATATGCAATTTTTAATAATATATCTCATTATTTACTTAACTTTTCAAAAAATTTGATAAAGTGTCTGAATAAAGTTAAAAAAAATTATTGACATTTTATAATATATATTTTACTTAGGAACGTTTTAAATTTAAAAGGTTTCAGAAAAAAATCAAATTAAAATTCTCATTTTCAAATTAACTAAATTTCTTAAACGAGAACCCTAAACTCAGTTCAAAGACCACAATTAAAGTATATTAGCAATACATTTTCTATGCGTCTAAATTAAATTCATTTGAATGCTCATATTGATATTTACTTTCAGTTTCCATTTTCTTCTGTCGCATGGCTCTTCGAATTTCTTCAACAGATTCTCGCTCACTTGCATGGATTTGTTGTATTCCATTAGTTTCTGAGCCATTCATTTCATGACGTATCCATATAAATACTGCAACAGTAGTCACAAAAAAGAAATTAGATCCAACACCAATCACTAGTGACAAAACTGGCCAGTAATACATCATATATCTATTAAATGAGATGTAACATTAGCATTAAAATGGATGAATCATATTGCTTATTGTAGTTTTTTATTTGTGTTTAGAACATAGCAGAATCTATTTTTTTAATATCAAAATTAAATACATAAAAAAAGAAAACTCTTATCATAGTTTAAAATTGTATCAACAGAGAACAGTAATAATAGTTGATCTAAGGACCTGAACCATGCAGCAGTTTTACATGGAGATATACCGAGCTAATCGATAAGGGTGGTCATTGGCTTTTCCAAATAGAATTTGCTGATTACTTATAATAAAAAGAGGAAGTAGAAGTTAAAGGGTTATTTTTAACTGCATACGCATTTACGATAAATTTTGTTTTGTATATAAAAGTAAAAATTCAATTGCTTGTAAGATTGGTGGGTAAAAATGTACTTGCAAGTTAAACATGATAATAGGATTGGAATTGATATTTATTAATAGCACAATTATTATATGAATAGTTTTAAGATAGAAAAATAATTTTAAAAAACAGAACTGCAGACAGCAAATCATCAATTAGCTTTTTATTTTGGACATAGCTCAAAATGCATATAAAATAAAATGAACATGCAGCTGAAAATGAGTATGAAAGAAAATAGCAAAGCTCAAATAACACATGAAAGAACGTGGACAAGCTCAAAATCCTTATTTTAAACAATAGACAAAGCTCAAAATACATATTTAAGAAAAAGGATGTAGCATTTTTTGATATAAAACCTAAATTTCAATCAGATATTTCGCTTTCATTTTTAAATACTATAGAAAGAAAATTATAGAGTAGTGACCGAGACTATATGGGTGGTTGAGTATATTACAGATGTAATTGTTCAGATGATCTCTTTATATTCAGATCTCTAACTGATAAAGTGGTATCTATTAAAAAAACGAAATTTCCACAAGTATTAATGTAAATTTACTCCCATTATTATAAATTTATTAGACCCACGGCAATTTAAAAAACAAACAAACAGTAAACATTTAAAGACTTTTGAAAGCAGACTAAAACAAAGAAATGTACTAAAAAGTTTATGCAANTCTAACTGATAAATTGGTATCTATTTAAAAAACGAAATTTCCACAAGAATTAATGTAAATTTACTCCCATTATTATAAATTTATTAGACCCACGGCAATTTAAAAAACAAACAAACAGTAAACATTTAAAGACTTTTGAAAGCAGACTAAAACAAAGAAATGTACTAAAAAGTTTATGCAAATAAAATTAACTGTCAACCCTTATTCTCTTTAAGGAAGATTTTCCCAAGTGGTAGTAATATGACAACCAAATCCCAATAACAGGCAAGAATATTATATATTATGGTAGAGCTTAAGTGCATTTTATAGAATATCACTATACATTAATATATATACTTAATTAATTGTTTTAACGTAATGATCAAAGTTATTTTGAATCAAATTTATAAATCTAATAAGGAGAGAGAGGAACTTAAATTCTGCTACCACTTTAAAAATAAAATCTCCAGAAAACTGGAAAAGGTTAAAAGCTAAGCAAATAGATGACTTTACATATTATAATAGATATTAATAGACGACTTTACATATTTATTTGGATTCATTCATTAATATAAAAATAAGAATACTCAAAACTCGATTGAAGAATGGAATCAAACACTATGCCCATTTGCTTAAATAGGCATTCTGAATCATGTCCGTTTTCTTCCAAAAGTTTACCAAGGAAATGTAAAAGGAGCAACATAGAAAAAAAAAATGCAAGCATAAAGATGATTTAATGAGCTGAAATCAGTGTCATGAAAAAACAAACAAACCAAAATATAGGAAATAGTTAATGTTTTTCCTCCCTAAAAATATTTTTACATATCATAATTTATATTTTAGAACTGATAAGAGGTCTTCAATAGAATTAATAGTATTTAGAACTGATAATAAGCTTTCATAGTTAAAGACACAACAACTAGTTTTTGGGAGTAAATCTGTTAACTTAAAAACTTTTCTTAAAATGTTTAAATTTTTTGAATCTCAGTACATGTTCTGGGCTCAGAAGAACAAAAAAAAAGTTTTCATCAGAAGGTATTTTCCTCAAAGAACTAGAACTTTTAATAATTTTTTGTTAACTTTAACATGTAAATATAGACAAAAAATAAGATATATAATTTTATTTAGTGGTAAATAACATGCATTCATCATAACCAACTTCAGAACTATCTATTTCAAAAGAAATTCTGATACAAAAGCATGCATTTATAATTACATAAAAAAAGTTGGACATTGATATTGTTCAATATATAAATACACAAACAGTGCAACCCTGGTTTTATGTTGTACGTAATCTGACTTCCTACACAATTTTTTTTTCGGTTCGTGAAAATTGGCTATACCGGCTTTATATGCTTTTCTAACAGATTAAAATCATTCTTTCTCTACAAAGCTCACAAAATCTTTTTCTGAGTTTTCTTTCATTTTTTTAAGAAACTTGATTATTAGTTGTTTGTAAAAAGACATTCGGGGTGTTTCACAATCTTTCTATTCTATTTTCAAATCAAGGTTCTACTGGATAGATATATCGCTCTCTCTCTCTCTCTAAATTTATATAGTATATATGTGACAAACGAAACAACCTCTGTAAGAGAAAACAAAGGCCAATAAATGTCGCTCCCTCCGTAATTAAACTGTTAGTACTATTTTGATGTAAACAAAGAGGGTTAGATGGAAATGTATAAGCAAACCTATATAGTTCAAAAATGAAAGCTTTGTGTGGAAGTTTTTTCTTAAGTATTAAAGGATACGAATCATTCTTATTAGTTTCTCCATTGTCTTAATTGATGGTCATCCTATATATAGATAAATAAATGTATGCCATTGCCATACCTTAAACCAGTAAACTGAGCATGGATTTTGAGAGCACTTGAATAAACTTCAGCTACTTCAGCTTCAATTTCAATGTAAATATAATAAGTAGGATTGTACTGAAAGAAAAGAATAATGCTACTTTACACAAACATTCAATAAGAAATCACCAGAAACAATTATTCGATATATATCAACATAAATTACTCAACTAATTAAACTAATCTTAAATCATAAATATATAAATACTATAAAATTTAAATTTAAAAAAAAAAGGCTGACTAAAAACTGTAAATGTTATTGTCTGAATATAATTTATAAATTAAGAATAAACACCTACTTTAATAAATTATTATCTAAAAATTATTAAAAGAAATCAAGATTTTTCCTTAATAGTGTCATTAATATAGGTTGTATAAATTCTTGATAAAATGTGTTATGAAAAAATAAGGAATATTTTTAATTATAGAATTAATACTCCTACAAAATAAGAATTTTTAAAAAAATAATATGTTAACATTAATATTAAATATTTCACTTACATTCAATATAATACATTAAACTAAAAAGATTATACATCTGGAGTACTTTACTCTGTTTAATGCAAGAATATGCTATGCTTTTTTTTTCTATTCTACAACAAATATGTTTAGAATATTTAAAACAGATTTGACATCTCTAATTTAGATAGAATAAGCTTATTATAAATAAACTAAAACAAATTTGAAAATATCTGAATTATTATAACTCTCTCTACTCAATAGGTCATTTATTAACACAAAAATTATGTAAGAGAACCATAGTTTTAAAACAGACACTTAACAAAAAAAACATACTTCAACAAATTGTTCAAAGAGGGGAATGTGCAGTGTTTGTTTTTCTTCAGTTGAACCAAGCAGCAGAGCTGGCATGTAAAATAATGTGTAGATAACTTTAAATAAAGCTGACCTATATCGCAATATAGCCTGAAAAATAAATATGATTTAAGTTAAATGGAATATATAATTGGCATATGACAAATAATTTTTACACACAAGCATTCGAAAACTGTTAAAAGTTTGCTATAATGCTTTTATTTTATAAAATAGTTATTAGTTTCTCATGCTAACACAGTTCAAATCTTTAAGATTTGTATTAAATAATAATTATAACCTAAATGATTAATAGTTGATACTAGCCAAATCCTAGATTCCTTGTTCATGCTTGGAAAAATGTTACATAGCTTTTCATTATCGTTCTACTTGGTGGTTTAAAACATGAAGATGTGCAATTTTAGGGTCCTTAGACCTTTGAATTGCACTTCTTTCCATTTTTATAATCACTATCATACAGAGCTTCACGTTGCTATTTCAAAAATAAAAAGTAAATTCTTATGTACTAATTGTCACTTTTTTATGTCATTTTATTTTTAACTTATCTTATTTGACCTTTTTCATCACATAATCTACCAATGCTAGGTAAAATTATTTGTAGTGTTAATGATAAGTAGTATTTTTTGTCACAAATAAAATCTACACAACAACACTATATCCATTACTACAGAAACAAAACAAAGCTTTCGTCATAAGCTGCAAACACAGAGAATCAAAAATATTGGAAGAAAAAAAATATTTATGCTGCAACTCACAGGTCTCCTAGATGATTGCAACACTTGTCCAGTTTCTGAAAGCATATCAAGCCTAATCATAAACATACCTGAAATTGAAATTATTTACAATTTAAAAGAAACCAGAAGTTTATTTTTCAAAAGAGTACACAAAAATAAAAATATATTTCTTTAAATTTTAATATCCTTTACTTAAATTTATAAATATAACATACTTTTTATAAAGAAACTTTGAAGATGCTTGAAAATAGACATATACCTAGTACAATATGCCTAGTAATTTGGGGCTTTATTGATTTAAAAAAAAAAGCTATTTAGATAAAACACTGTTCTTTTAAAATATTCTAAGATCAAGGAGGAAGATCAGTTTAGGTTCATGAAATCTGATTCTGAGATCAAACAAATTTCAAAGTGGACAGGATAAATTTTTTTCCAGAATGGCCTACATTGACAGTATAATAGCTCTTGAGAAGAACCAATCATCCATGTTATTAATTTGTCAAAATTTAGCAATCAACAAAATGCGAAAAATGCCAATCCAACTGTCATTTTTGTGAAAATGGATATAAACCATTCTTTCCCTTTGATCATTTATTATCTATATGTAAGATATTCAGGTTAAAATTAAGAAATAATATTCAAACATATCTAAAACACAGTAAACTCAAAATGTGAAATAAATTTTTTATTGCATTAAACTTAAATTACTATCAATGAAAAAGAACACAATTTTCCATATTTACAGTCACAAGAAGGAAAGCTCCAGAAAAATCAAATTAATAATTGTAAATTAAAAATAATGAAAAAAAGTTTAAAAAAAATTTAATTACAAATTAAAAATAATTTACACAAAATGCATTTACATTGTTTTTTCATACCTTATTTATTTTAGAAATGTATTGGCTTTTCAAATAATAAGATTATATTATTATTATATTAAAATAATAATTATTATTATATTAAAATACTTTTGAAATGTTCACTTAAAATTTTGAATCATTCTATAATAACACACTACTCTAAAGATTTCTATTTAACGTTTAAAATAAAGAACTGTTTAAATAATACCTATGTTTAACTTGTTTGGACTCAAAGTTGAAAATTCGAATTGACAACATTTTTATAAAAAATTACAATTGAAATGTAAAATGTGCAGCATAATTTTAAAAATGACATGTTTAAAAGATATTTATGCAGTAAAAATAAGAATTCAAGGATGCAAGTAAGTAAATTTTTTAACGAACTGCCTTATTACAATTCTGTTCATTTGTAAACCAAAATAAAAACCCTCCTTGATACTCATTAAAAAAAGTAATACTTACTCTAATGTCAAAAGCAATGGGACAAGATTAGTCACTATTTACACCATAAAATATTGTATTACAAAAAGTTACAAATCAAATGCCAATTATGGAGCATTTTAAAGGGACACACAAATATAAAGTATTTAAGCAACTAAAACATAGGTTCTGAGATAAAAATTTGCTAAATAGATTTTTGAAGTGCTCAATATTAAAGTCAATTTTTTATATTATGGACTCAATGGAGCCACAAAAAAATTTGTGATGTTAAAAATTGAACATTTTAACTGAGTATTAAATATTTTTTAACAATTTAGTCAGAATAATAACTGTATGGGCATTTTAAAAACTATCTAACATTTATTTACTTTAAAAAGTTTATTTCAAATAATATCAATAATTGCTTTTTATTTGATACAACATTTTTCAAAAGTTTTTCTGTTTTGTTCTATCCTTTCTTGATATAACTCCTGATTACCTCATTTAATATTTCTGATTTTTCCTAATCAACCACATTCTAAAACATTATTCCCATAGTTACCAACTTCTGATAAATATCCGTTTCTTTTGGATTCCTTAAATTAGTAACTTTTTTCTTATTTTATGAGCAGATATTCTTATCTATACATGCAACTTGCATGTCTATTTCATACACAAATTGATGATGCCGGCAATTTCAGTTCAAATATGGTTCTGAAGAAATCTGTTTCTTATAATGGTTTCAAGAAAAGATTCATAAAATTATTCAAGAAATGTTTTTGAGAATTGGAACTTTAGAAAATAATTTAAATTTTTCAGAAATCTAGAAATTTTTACGGTGATTAAAAATCCAGGGTCACTGAGAAATGCAATCGGCTAAATGAAGCTTCTTCTATTAGCAACACATAAAATTCATAGAGAATTCTAATTTTTTGCGATATTGAGAATTTTGCAATTACATTACAATTTTTGTACTAATTTAAAAGCACTTCTGTTTTCAGAAAAATTTACAGCTCAGATGCAAAATGTATGGCAACATGACATCAGTAGAAACTACTTACTTCATAAAAATTTAGGTTTAATCCATATTTGTAAATTAAATCTTTAGAGTGGCCATTAAACCACTACAGTTTTGGTTACTTTTATCCAAAATAAAAACTATTTCTGACTGCTGTTTTTAGAAAAATTAAATTACCTATTATTAAATAAGAATAAATTATTATTAAATAAGAATAAATTTTTATTCAATAAGAATATTTTTTAATAAATAAGAATATATTTTTTAAATTCTAACTATGACACCATGTAAGAATTAAATTTACAAAAATAGGAATTGTTTGACCTTGCTGTAGATTTCTTTCAGATTCCGGCATATCTAACACCAATTCAATAGCATAAGCTTGGCCTCGTGTTAAAAGCTAGAAAAAAGAGGATCAAATAGTTATAAATAAAATGCCTTTATTTTGATAAGATTAAATGAGTTACTATATATAGAAATTTAACAAAAATACAAATGATGAGTATCTGATAATATACTCATCATTTATATTTTATACTCATCATTTATAAATAAAATGACTTTATTTTGATAAGATTAAATGAGTTACTATATATAGAAATTTTACAAAAAATATAAATGATGAGTATCTGATAATATATCATGGAATTTGTTTTCTTACTCCCTTCACCACATAAGTCCAAAAAATAAACAATGCATTTTTACTCAAAACAAGCACATTGCTTTGATTAAACATTACATGAATGAATACATCAACGTTAATATACTTTTCATTAAATTTACATGTGTCCATATACTTTATACTTGTATTCTCATTTTATGTTTCGTACAAATACGTACGCATAATAGTTTTGCAACATTCTTCCAAAACTGTGAATATTTATTTGAAAACCAAATTTTTTTCATTGTTTTACTAAATTTATAATGTTCCCACATAATCATGATGCTGTAACATTCACTTTTGCTTTAATGACAAGGCTAACAAATTCAGTAACAGCTATATAGCAATGATAATCGAAAATTACCACCACTTTTGTGTTCATTAATCTTTAAAAAATTAATTAATTTTTAATTTAATATGAGAAACAGCATTGAAAGCATGCAAATAATAGTTCCAAGAACATACTTTTACATGTAACTCATATTATATGCACTCAACAAATTTTGATACCCACTGCCAAAATTAAATTGGTTGTAAAGTTGAAATATTAAAATTGTAGGAGCATATTAAAGAAATAAAGTTTAGTAAATAGACAAACATATCACTACAGTATGGATAACAACAGGATTAAGGGGCTCAAAACCTCTAAATTAAGATAATTGGAAAAACATTTATTTATATTAAAGACACTTACAGACATAATAATTTTTAAAATATATTTAAAACCATTGCTATTAATTTTATATTTTCTCTAACAATTTTAAAATAGGCTGTTAGAATTTAATAGTAATTTATCAATTTATTTTTAATTAATTTAATTATCAAATTAATTTACTTAATAATACAATTCTGCCACATTCTGAAAAAGAGCTTGATTACTTAATGTCTGAAATTCCTTTTAACTACACTTCGAATTACAACTGTTGCTAAAAAATATGAAACTTAAAATTAACACTTATGACATTTAAACATAAAATTAATATCGTGAGGAAAAAATAACACACACACACACATATATATATAACATTTAATCCCTTTCAAAATGAAACTCTGGTTACAACCCTGATTTTCAAGAAATAACACATATGCGGGCAGATTATAAAAATATTGATACCTGTTATTGTATTTTAAATATTAAATAATTAAGATTTTTATAAAGCAGCTATCATTAAACAAAAACAAGTTTGATGGAGAAAAAAAAAACATCTATAACTACATTTTAAACATTTAATATAATTTTTTCATCATAAAGCATTAAAAAAAGTGAAGATTTTTATATTGGTGATAAAAAAATAGAAAATTTTTTGAAAGTTTTGATGATTACTGGGCACTAGCAATAGAGAAATTAAAAAAGCATAAAAAAATGGGGCCAATTAAAAGATTAAAACTTCTGACCGCATCTAAGAAAGCAAGTACATTTTTTATTCATTCCAAAGTTCAAAAGCAAGACAGTAGTATTCGACATCTCACTAATTTCAATTGGCACGAATAAAAACTAATTTTTAAATGTCCAAAAATTATAACTAAAATAATTACATAGATCAGAAATTAGAATGAGTAATTTACAAAAGCAATCTTTCATAACATACTTCATAATCATTATTCTGAGTCAACGAAACATTTGCATAAGGATTCTGGCAATGCTGACCTTTTGTACACTTGATGCTAAAAAAAAGGAAAAAAGAGAAATTTTATAGGAATAACTAAACATCAAACTTAAGAGTTATATACACTATAACCTCTTTAACATAAATATGTTTAACTAGTTTTTTTTAAATATGAACTTATTTTTGATTGATCAAAAATTTGTTTTTGTATATAGTGCTCCTAAGCTTCTATAATGTGAACACACTTATGGTGAAATATTATTCAAGTTGAATTCAAAGCTCATTACCCATGAAAAAAAAAGTTTTATAATGAACAAAAAAAAATTTTTTTTTCTCTGATAGGATATAAAAATAAAAAAAAAACTAATGATTCAGATTATTATAACAATAAGAGTAGGTATTTCTGAAAAATATTCGGTAGCATTATAGCAAATATTGCAGGTCATAGTTTAAGTGTCAATTATTTCTCTGTTACAGACATCAAATGAAAAAGTTTAAAGTTGGTTATAGTCTCAGATTGGAACCAATTTTAATCTTTTTCATAATTAAAAATATAAAAACTTGAAAACATATATTACACACACACATTTATATAGCTAATAGGACTCGAGCACTGCAAGAAATTGTATATCGTGATTTATCGTTCGCTAGATCTCGCGATATAACATATGACAGAGATTAAAAAAAGAGTGTATAAATAAACTATGCATTGCGTTCTATATTTCAACGTTGATCCTCGTACAAAACAAAAACTTCTTATTTAATTCGCTCTGCATCATTCAATATCACGAAATGAACATTGTCTTCATAGCTAGACAAAATCAACATCTTCGAAGCTAGACAAAATCAGGCAACAGTATTAGCGTAGGCAAAGAACCTCACGCTTAATCGTTATCTCTCTAAATAGCGAGCATCATCTTATAATGGTGGCTTAAATCAGATTTCTGATGCATTGCCTGAAATAAAAGTCAATATATCGGCCTGCCGATAAATGCGTTAAATCAATACATTGATTTTTAGCGCCAAATCATTAATAGCTGAAAATTATAAATCTGAAAATTTAAAAGCTTGAAAACCAGAATGTAGGCGACTATTTTAGTTTTGAACATCACATTAAAAATTCACATTTTCAATGCTGCTGATGAATTGGAAAAACTTATAAAAACATGCAATAAAGTAACAAATTGGGAGTGTCTTTTTTTGCTAATTATTTGACTTTTTTAATCATTAAAATAAAAATAAAGATTTCCGTATCGCGATTTGCAGCAGAATAATTGCCGCCTTGGCAACCTCCAGGCAGCAGCTGCAAGAGACTGAAAAAAAAGCCTCAGAAGAGGGCCAACTCAAAGGATATAATTCGTAGCTAACCTCAGACAAAACTCTGCATCTTTTTTTTTTTTGTAAAAAATGCAAGTTTAAAATCCATTTGGTGCCTTGACAATTGTAGTTGCCTCGACAAATCATTATACAGAAATATCTCTAAATGCCTAATTCAGTGTTTTTTAAAAATTTAGTTCATTAATTAAAAACTATATCCAGCATATGAAGATACAAAAACATTATTAAGTTTGTTTTAGTTTTTATATGATCCTGCTACTTGAATAAATCTTGGAGAAACATTGTTTGTTTGGTGTTACATTTGATAATGAGTTAGATCTTAAATGCAAGAGTTAGTATTGAGTTGTTGGTGAAAAACTAACCATGCAGCTAAAATGTAATACGCATTACACAAATTCTGAAGAGCTAAAGTCACTATTCAAAATTTTTAAATTATTACAGAAGACTTAAATAAATGTAGTAATTCATTCTATTCATGTATCCATTCATTTTCCTTGTTTCTTTTTATATAATAACATAAAAAACCACCCAGTTAAGAGAGGTATCCAATTTTCTATTAAATCTTTTAAATTGTAATTAATAATATATAAAGTTAGATACTAACATAGTTTTAAAATTAATTTATGGAAAAAACAAATGAGGTAACATTGTTTTCAAAATCTTTCTTAAAAAATATATCAAACTTTTTAAACTTTACTCCCTTCTTAAAGAAAAGTTAAAAATAAAAGAGAATTAATAACATACTCATAAAACAAATGGACTGGTTTTACATGAGCGATTGCCGGTATATATAAATAATACAGAAGTCCATAAGAAAACAATGAAAACCATAATAAGACACTACAAGCTGAAACTGCAAACAAAAGTTTAAAAATAATTCTTTGAATATTTGACGTAAGATCCATATTCATTATCCATGAAAAATTCTAAGTCTTAAGGAAAATTCAACATAATAGCAGACAGTTCACTGTTTCAAAATAGAAATAATTGGTAGAGCCAGATTTGGGAAATGCAATTTGCAAAATTTAAAATCTTAACTTTAAAGAAAACATACAAGTATACGTTAAAGACATAATGTTGAGTTTAAAAACTTTTTCTGCTTTTAAATTTGTTTTCATTAGCCCCGGTTGATAAATAATAGTTTGACCTTCAAAATTCTTAACATCTTTGTTTTAAAAGGATATGCTAACTCGCATCCGTAACTGTTAGTGTAGGTATGTTGTTTTTATTTTTTCGATTGTTCATCACAATTTGTTGATAAATTAAAAAGAGATTCTTCTTGTCTTTCAACACATATATTGTTATTCACAGGCCACTTCAGGCGTTAGTGATAACTGAAAATCATATTAGTCATAACATATTGCCTTCTTTCGTCAAGCTGTCAGAAGCTGAATGATGAAATCCCTCTACTACTATTTGTTTTGAATGTTCTTTCAATTTTTTTATGTTTCTTTAAAATAAATTTTGTATGTTGCACTGGTTTCTGTTGCTTACTTTGGTAAGATTCATTCTTTAACAATATAATTTTTAATATTCTAATGTAAGAAATATTGATTTTTGATAATTAGCTACATTTTGTTACTTCCCGAGAGAAAATGATACCTATTATTTACCTTTTAGAGATATAGATTATATCTAATTAATTAATTTTTATTTTAAACTATGACGAAGATTAATTGTTACCGTGAACAGGTACCGAACCGGAACTATCCCCTTTGTCGCGGACAAGATTCATTTACTAACAATGGAAAATGTTACAAGTATTGTTTGTAAACAAATTATGATGATTAATTTTTGCAGTTATTTTGGCCATATAAAAATAATCGGATAAAAAATTTTAAGATGTGAATAGGTTCTTATGGCGCTAGACTTTGAACGTGTGTTCGAAGTCCTTGGGACTGCAGACTTACAAATTTTTAGGTACTTTTTTTCTCGAAAGTAGTTCCCTATTAATACAATTTTAAATCCCTAATTTAATAATATCCATGGAATTTAAATCTTCAATTGTTAGAAAAAATAATAAAAGTACAATTAGGTATTGATATAATGCTATTGAATTTGTAATTCACAAACTTGGTTTGAGGGATATTTCCATATTCCACCTGATATCGCTAAGTACCATTGCCAGACTATTGTATTTGTTATTAAATTTAAAAAATGCATTGTAACCTGTTGAAAGTTGCTACGAGCTTGTATTGTCTTAGGTTTTTTGTTTGTCCTTGCTGATGGTCGCCAGAACTTGGCTATCAATTTGGTGCAAGTATTTAACACTTTAAAAAAAATCTCCTCTATTTTTATTCATATCTAAACCAGTTTAATTCACTTTTTCATTTTACATCGCATGATCAAATTTTACCTATCGCATATATTATTTTTATAAATACTATTAAATTTCAAGTTATAAAGGAAACAATAGAATTACGCTTCATGTTGTTTGTTTGAGTATAAGATTAAATTGAAACAGTAATGCATAAATTTGCTATTAATGACATTAAACTACTGAATTATGACCTTAACTTTCATTAATTTCGTATTCGATGTTTATATGTTAAAATTTGCAACATATTTTCCATTTAACTTTTTTCATGATTGAATTTCAGTCCTAATTGTTTATCAAAAAACAATGAGTGAGAAAATTAGAGTAACTGCTACTGATTTATAAAATATCTATGAAGTGCTTACTATTGTTATCTTTCTAGGAAAACTAAAGCTAAATTTTAAAAAAATCAGATATTTATTGTTAAATTTGAATGAATACGAAATAATGTCCTGTGATGTGCACCTCACAATTCTCAGAAATGATTGTATTTATTGCTTGCATAGCAGGAAAGTTACATAATCACCGATTGCGTAATTTAAATTTCAAAATCAACAATTATGTTCATTTCATAGAAACGCGGGAGATAATGGATATCTGCCTTTTTTTTTTATTTATTGTATCTTGATTTGATTGTATATCTAAGCAATTATTTTTTTGGAATGAAACTTTAAATTCTTTGCTTGTCTAAGATATTTTTAATGAACATAACACATCTGTGACTTTTCTGAGTTATTCTACTAATATTTTGAAAGAAATTATCAAGTAAAGATGCTTTTTTCACTATTATAAAACCAACTGATTTATTAAATTACTAGCTGCTTAAAATGAAATTTTAATAAAAATTATAAATTAGTTAGAGAAATGTTCATTATTTATCTAAATTGTTTTTAGTGTAAAGAAGGAGTTAAGTATTCTCCTTCTTATATTTTAATAACTGGGAAAATCATATATTTCATTATTTATATTATTTTTAATGTAAGTGCAGAGAGGTTACAAGTTTTTAAGCTCGAAATATTCACTTTTCTTGTAAATTTTCCCTTCATATATTGAAAGAATTTTTTGATAATATTTAAAAGAAAGAAAAAAAGTAAGAATGTTTCTTTAAAAATATTTGACAGTTCTGTTAATCTTTTATTTTTATATTTAAATGATTTTCTTTTGCTTACCTGATAAGACTAAGTTATTTTTGAAAGATAACACAGTTAGGAGAAGTCTGAAAACAATATTAAGATAAGTAATACAGTCANGAAAAATGCATGTGCGCAAAAAGTAGTAGCACATACCACTTGTATATCCAATCAGAATTTGAAATTGATTTAAATAAATATTAAGATAAAAATTGTTGGACAAAACTTTAAAATGATAAATCAAAATGGAAAAACGCTAAAAGCAGCTAAACCCAAATTTGTTTCATATAAATAATTTAAGTAAAAAGTTAGAAACCAAAAATAAGCAAAACGAAATTTCAAAAATATGTATGTTAGCAAAATTAGCACTTCATCAGGGGACACACAGTCTTGGAGCCTTTTTGTAGTCAGTGGTTAAACCAAAAGCTGACTGTTAGAGGCAATATTTAAATTTTTGAGGTATTGCATTTTCTTATTTAGTTTTTCCATTATGGGGACTCAGGACACAGTCTGCTTTGGGTTTAAATACTTACTACAGAAAGGTTAACCAAGTCAGTGGTTAAACCAAAAGCTGACTGCGTGAGGCAATATCTGAATTTTTGAGGTATTGCATTTTCTTATTTAGTTTTTCCATTATGGGTCATCGGGACACAGTCTGCTTTTGGTTTAACCACTTACTACAGAAAGGCTCCAGTGTGTTAGCAGACAGTGTGTCCCCTGATGAAGTGCTGTTTTTACTAACCTACATATTTTTCAAATTAAATTTTGCTTATTTTTGGTTTCTAACTTCTTATTAAAATTGTTTAGGATCACCTATTCCTAACCTTGGGGTTCCAGGGCATATTCTATTTTAATTTTTTTTTTATTGTTTTCTATTATTGAGAATTTGAAGTACAAATTGGAGTTATTTGTGCGCATTCAAAATCTTTGTAAATCTTTTATTTTGAAGAGATCAATAAATTCTTGAATCATATTTTACTTGTTTCACAATTGTATTTTCTTATTTTATTAAGTGTTGTAAAGGGAAGTTTATTTTGGATTTGAAACAAGTGGTATTTATATTCTTTTTTGTTTTATTTTTGTTCAGACTTAACAGTTCTCGGCAGCATGTTATTTATTGAGAATGGCTGCACGTAAACAGATTAATGCTATATGCTTAGAACATAAATAAAAAATTTTGTAGAAAGTAGATGGTAAAGTAACATCAAAATCACAAGTTAATAAAATATCACTTTGTTAAAATATTTAAAAATTATGATGTAATTGTGGACTGAAGAAAAGTGTTTCATTTTGCCTCCAACATTCAATATCTAAAAAAAAAAAAGAGCACTGAATGACTTAAAGCTTAAGCGCAGTACTGAAAAATGGCATTCGAAAAAAATTAATAATAATATTTTAAATTTTTAATGTATTTTATTAATAATTGTACTTTATTGACTTTAGTTCCATAATTATCTTTAGCATGTTTTTCTCAAAATAAGTCCTATATTTATGTATAATTATAAGTAAGTGATAGGTCTGTCTTAACGATATAGCAACCTAGCTTGCGTCATAATGATATTGCAACCTTGGGTTATAACGACCAGTTTTGTTTGGACCACAGGGATGTTTATATCGAGAACAGACTGTAGTACCATAGAAATTGTATCTATGAGTATGTATGTATTTATGTATAGACTCTGGGTAATTTAATTCAACTTTTTAAAGATAAATCTTAAAAATAAAAAATCAAGATAGATTAGGGAATGTTCTCATGTACGTATTTGTGTCTGCCTAGGGTATTCACCTAAATGCCACTACCTAGTTTTTTTTAATAATATTTCCATATTGGTGTTCCTGTATTAAAATTGTGACCATATTTTGTCAATAAAAAGGCAAAGGCATGAGAAAATTGTTAAAGTATCGCACAATAGGATGAATTCAGACAGCAGATATGCATTATATATATACAAAGGCAAGGACACAGTTTGCAGAAAATGTTTTTGCATGTTTATAGTGAGAAAAAAAAACTGCCAAAATTTCCTGCAGGCAATATTTTTTCTGCTATTATTATACATTTCAAAATGAATAGCTCAAAAAAGCTGGATTTTTTAAGTGTAGAAGAATTGAAAAATTATTTGTATGAAACTATTTATGATATGTTAACATTGAAATGCTTCTGAGCTACTTAGTTAGGTATCTAAGAAAGCCAAATATAAGGTAGAACAAAATAAGTCAATAACTAGTTTTATATCTTCAAAAAAGAAATAAATGGTGGTATATATAATTATCGGATATAAGATACCTCTTTTATTCATCATTTCTTTTATTCATTCATTTTTTTTAAATTCATCATAAGTACAAGATCTGGCCAGTGTTGCCTTAGGGATAGCAATAGGCTTGAAAAAATACCTCTTTTAGGATTATTTTTTTATTATAATTATTTTCTCATGTGTCACTATTTAGTTGTCAAATTTTTCTGTCCATTTTAAAACAGATATTGAAATTTTGGATAAGAAGATGGCTGATTCTCATGTATTACGACCAAACTATGTCTCTTAAAGTTTATTTAGTTTTAAGCAATGAATGAATGTCTTATTACAATTTTATTGGAAGAAAGTTTGAGAACATAACGATTTTATGTTTTGTAGGTTTCATATTTTACTTGTAATTATCATCTTTTTCTGTTAATTGATCGTAAAAGTTTTTATTTATCATCTTATGTTATTTTAATGCTTATAAAATCTTTTGTTTGAGTTCTTAATGTGAGAGGTAAATTTTTAAAACAAACTTCGTCAAAAAATATGCGTTCTATAATTGAATGCACAGTTTAAGAAGTTCTTATTACATAAATGTTCTGCTAACTTCAGTCTTCTAAACTTTTAGAAATTATGTTATTTACTTGTGTTTAAACATTATTTGATAAAATGATTTAAAACTTAAATTTGAATATAAAATTTTCTAATTGTATTACTAGAATTATTACCACTTTTTTTTATTTATTTTTAATCAAGGTTATTTGTTCATTGTTGATAATTTATACATTAAAGTTGATTTACTTAGATGTAAATATCATAGCTGCCAACTCTACTGGATTTTCTAGTAGACTACTGGATTTTGCAAGTTTCTCCTGGTCTACTGGTTTAATAAAAGTTCTTTGGGGTTTTGTATATTTTTAGAAAATTCCCTAAAATTGAGTAAATTTCCTAAAAAAAATCCATATTGAAATGACATTTTTGCACTGATTAAAGCTTGCTTGAACATTTAAATACATATTACTGATACATAATGAAGCGAGCCTCATTTATCGAAATAAGTTTAAAACTTAACTGTTCTAAAATGTTCAGTTTATTTTTTATTCAGAACTCCCTTTTTAAATTCATTAAAAAGTTTTTTTAACTATCTTTGATGAATTAAATGCCTAATATTATTCAAAATTATGAGTAAACATAATACAGTGCATTTCAAGTTCATTAAATGTCAATTATAACTGGAAAATAAAGCAGTTTTTCTAATTTGACGACCATTAAAAATCCCTAAAATTCCCTATGTGTAAAATATTTAGTACATTATGCAACAATTATCATGAAATTTATATTATTTCATAAAATCTACTGGTTTTTTCCCTATCCACGTTGGCAGCTATGAAATATAGTTAATTTATATATTTCTCTAAAAATTTATTTTTCTGCTGTCTAATTCCATTTTCTTTCTTAGCCATGTCTATAACTCGGATAGTGCATTTAACTAAATGTACTCTACATGTGGGTTTTGTTATCATCACCAATCTATATTGTATTCCAACATATTTATTATGGATGTGGTTCTTTTTGTTGCCATTTCGTATCATCAATCATCCAGGTTATTGGTATGTTGAAGGTATCCTGTTCAAATGGATGTTGAGTATGGTAGGATCATGGAGTTACAAATCAGGGTTTCACCGTAAGTTATTTTTTTCCCTTTATAGAGCTATTTTTTCTATTTAGACTGATTTATAAAATAATTTAGTTATATCTAAAAAATATTTTCTGTGTTTATTATTAATATATTTGATGAGAAATGATGTAATGAAGAAATACTTAACTCACAAGCGAAAATGGCTTCCTAGTGTTGGTTTCTCTTCTTGACCCCATCATAAACTTTACTATTACCCTTATTTAAGTAAATAAAGTCCTTCACTGGATTTTTTTCTGGATTTTCTAAAGTTATTAACACGACCGCATAAATCATAAGCGACAAAATAGCTTCCTCTTGAATTCATTTTGATTGAAGGAAGAGTAACATGACCCTCTAAGTCATAAGTGGTTATAATTTAGGGTCATTCATAATTTGTGTATCTTTCTTTTCAAAGGATATAAACTTATCAAACATATTTTGCTTGTTTGAAAATTGCATTCCCTTTTTTTGTTAAACCAGCCTACTATTTTCCTGTGCATTTCACACCTTTGAAGTATTTCTGTAAACTCCACTTAAAGAAATACCCTCAATGTTCAATCTTAAAGTCTGAATTTTTGCAAAAATTTACTTTTTAATGTTATTTAATGCATGGTATAGCATTTTGATTAAATAAACTCAGTTTTATGATAAATAAACAATTATATTTGAAATAGTCTGTGTTAGTATCATAAAAATAAATCAATGTTAGTTTAAAGTATAATATAGGAACTAAAATATTATTTGATCCCTTCTGAAAAAATCTATAATTGAAGACTGTTTTTATACCCATTTAATTCATCAATTTTTAATCAAAATTAGATTTTTCCCTTTCAGTTTCTACTAAGATTTTCATGACTTGCGTTTTCCTTTCAAATACATTCAGAATTTATTTTTTTCTAATCCTTGAAACTTGAGAAATTTCAAATGAATGCACTATTTTTGTTTGGGATATTTTGAAATTTATTGTTTCCAAGATTAATTGGGTTTTCCCCCGATTAATTCAAATCATTCCTTTTCGCTCTCAACTTGCAACCAATTTAGAATTATTCACTGGATTAAGCAATGATTATTCTGCTTAAGAGAAAGACACACTGTATGCTTTTGAAATTTTTCTTATCAAGGCTAATAGTGCACCAGGAGGAGACCACAAGTTTTGACCAGAAAGCAAATCACATCCTTTTTTACATTCTAAATGATATGTGAATGAAGTAAGTCAAAGAGGGGTAAAACCCCCTTCATTTACTTCAATATATAACTGGCAGAAAAATTTAATTAATTTTTCAACTTTACTCCTAACACCTGTTTAGAACTTAGAGGAGATATTAGTTGGTTAAAACTCGTCTAAGGTTTGGACCTACTAATGAACAGGCCAGTCCCTATTGAAATGACCACCTTTTGTATCCTTACCTTAACTGAAAAACGGAAATTCCATTTTGGCGAAACATTTCTCGAAAATAAACAAATTTTTTCATTTCAGTACCTTTTATTACGCAGTTAGGTGGGGACATAAAACAGCAAATATCTGTTTAAATGGGGAGGTTTAACATTAGTTTAATATAAAATGATTTGGCTAGCTGGTTATTCCATTATCCGATACGCAATTAAGTGGGGACGACTGTACCAATTTTTTTTTTTTGTTAGCTTCCAAATTTTTGTTAAAATAAAGTTAAAATTAGTCAAGTATTGCTTCAGCTATAAGTTAATATTTGTGGTATTTTTTTTTTTAAAACCTCACTTTATAAAGTCTCTTTTTATCGAGGGTTGTAATGTCGAGCGTATATATATTCCAATTACAGACATTAAAAAACAATTGTATATGATAATTTTCTTTCTTCTTTTTTGTTTGTTTTAAATGTTTTCGATTGTTTTAAATGTTTTTTCATTTTTAGTTGTGGAATTGGGAGATGATATATCTTCTTGTACAAAAGATCGATGCTTATTTTTGGTAAATCATCAATCAACTGCTGATGTTCCTCTTTTAATGTTAGCTTTTCAAGAGAAAAATGGTGTTTTGGAATCTATTATGTGGATAATGGATAGAATGTTTCGTTACACTAATTTTGGAGCAGTTTCTGTTACGCATGGAGATTATTTTATTACTCAGGTGAGGATTTATTTGAAAAAAAGTGTTATCTTTTCATATAATAATCATTTTGGAGCTTCTTATATTTTTAGAAAAGGGTAATTTGAAGTTATTTGCTCATATAAACTAGAAATAAGACACAAATACTTAAAAATTAAAAATACTTAAAAAAAATTATAAATGTGTGTTTGCAGAACAGTACTTCATCAGGGGACACACTGCCTGCAAACACACAGGAGCCTTTCTGTTGTTAGTGGAGTTAAATATACTGAATCTGTAGAAGAAAAATTAAGTACTGACACCTGTGAATGAATTCCTGAAAAGTAAAACATCTAATCAATGAGCAAAAAAAAATATTGCTCATATATTAATAGGTTTTGAAATTGAAGTTTATAAGTTACAATTTAAAAGCATAAATTTTTTCTGTCCTTTTTTTTAAAAAAATAATAATCTTTTTGCTGAAGTTAATTTCAATTTATGCAGCTTTAAAACACTTCTTTCCAAATATGCCAAAAAATGATAACCTGTGCCTGTCTAATTTGGTTATTATTTTTTTTGTTAAAGAAAAACAATCAGCTTAAAAATAATTTTAAAAAAGCAATTGTAATACAGGGTTGCCACAGGTGATTAAAATGCGACTATTTGTAACTATTTTCTACCTGAGGCAACTATGGCTGCTTTTTTTGTCTGAAAAGGCTATAAAAGCAACTATTTTTAGGAAAAGAAGACTATTGGGAGACTTTTCTGTGCTTCTAGCAATGTTTTTTTTTAATCATAAATTGGGTTGACATCCTGTGTCCCGCTGTAGTTTCTGAACATAATGAATTTTTTTTCTTCTAAAGAATACAAAAGTATTGAATTGCAAATTTGAGTCATCATTTTTTAATGTGCTCAATTTGCACTGATTCACAATGGAATAATTCATAATGGAATATATATATATATGTATTTGCTAAATCAATTATTGATAAAAGGAAAAATTATGTGAAAGGCAAAATTTAGAAAGAGAATGTTTTTTTGTTTTTTTTGACAAAAAATTATTTTTCTGCATTAATTTTAGCATTTAAAAGTATTTAATGTTCTGCAAATAGACTAATTTCTTTAATATTAAAATTTAGTGCTAGAACATTAACGTTTATGTAAAAATTATCATATTTCCCTCCAACATGACTAAATGGATCATTGTATATGACAATTAAGTAATTTCATAAAATTTTAGTCTTATTTTTGCTGAATTTTTGTTTTTATTTAGGCAGCTATTTTCATAACTTTAGGAGACTATTTTCATGCTTTAGGCTATTAGAAGCAACCATTTTGTTCATTTTTTCTGTGGCAACCCTGTAATACTTTGAAACTTGAGTTAATTTGAGCACACTAAGCAGGCCAAACTGTGCACACACGAGATAATTCGAGCGGCATTTTATTTTATGTTGCTATAATTTTTCACTTTTGAATATAATTGAGAATTGAAAATAACAATGTGAAAGCTAAGAAAAAAAATCGTTTTATTGATATTTTTTTCATTTACATAGGATTGAGAGCTATAAAACTTATTTATTCAAGAATAAAATATAGTCTCTTTCCATAGAACAAAAGCGCAGTATATGAAAATTTCCCACCAAAAGAAAAGTTGAACCAGGAGCGGAGTCAATTTTTTTACATAAAAAAATTGCTTTTTTTTTTTTTGGCCGTTTTTTTTTCTCCAAAAAATCTGTGCATTAGGGGGATTAATAAAATGCATTTAAAATATCCTATGTCAGATTCATAATAAATTAATTTGAACATTATTTGCCTCTTTAATTGTTATTTCAGTCTTAATAGTAATTTTGTCATATTTACTGCATGAAAACTTAGTTGTATTTTTTTTTTTTTAATTCAAATTTACTAATCTTTTTAATTTTTATTTACAGGGTAAAGCAGCAAGAGATTATCAAATGAAAAAACTAGAAAGGCATCTTTTAAATGCGTATCTAGGTAGAAATCGACGCTGGATAATTCTGTTTCCTGAAGGTGGATTTTTATCAAAAAGGAAGGAAACAAGTGTTAAGTAAGCAAAAGCACTGTTTGCTTCATAAAATTTAATTAGAATAAAAATCTGTTGGGCTAACATTTCTAGTTTATTAACATCTTTCATATTCGAAAGTATTTAAATTTAATTAATCAATTATTTTATTTATAATATTTTGTATATGTAGATTTAGTAGTGTGCTACCTTAATTAAAAGCTGCTGGCAGTAAAAAACAACTTGGGTTTCGAGCTTTGCAATGATTTTAATTCCTTTTTTATGCCAATTAATAAGAACATAATTTTTCTCTAATTGAACATTAATTTGTCTTAAAAATTAAAAGACAAAAAACACAATTACAAAATATCTGTTTAATGCTATCGGAGTAAAAAATGTTTTTTAGTTTTGGGCGCATTGACTTCTTTACATATAATAAAATAAAGAGTTTGTCTTTAATAAAATTTAAAATTAAAGCAAGTTTTTAACTTTTATCTATGAAAACTTAATTTTATTATTCTTTACAGCTTATGACTTTTGGTAATATATTAATTATATAAATTTTTAAACTACAAATGTTTTAAACATGTGAAAAAAATTTCTTTAAAATTTTTAAATGATAAAAGATTGAAATCTTTTAAAACTAAAATTAGTATCTATGTCTTTTGGAATTTGAGTGCTGTAGTTTTTATAAAATTTTGGCTAGAAGGTAGTGATTGCACTTTCAGAAGTCATGTGATACCCAGGTGGCAGATGCGGATATGAGATCTTAAAATGTCTTTTTCATTTCAAGTAGAGAGAATAGTTAATTTTTCTAGTTGACAATTATTTACTACACTTGTTTTTCTGTAACAGTATAAATAATTATTAATATAAGTTAAAATGAAGTTTGTAGAGTACAACTGTTCCAGCAAAGACACTTCATTCTTTATATTATGGGGGTAACAACTTAGTAAAGTTTTCTTACTCCTTATCTTTTCAGGTATGCTGAAAAAAATAATTTTCCAATTTTGGAGCATGTTACTCTTCCCAGAGTTGGAGCTTTAGAAGTTATATTAAACACTCTCCGTCCTGATGGAAAATTAATCGAAGCGTTAGATAATGATGTACCCTTGTTAAAAGGTAGGTCATATTAATCAAAAATACAAGATGTTAACATTTGTTCAGCTTTCTACATTTCCTCTAGCACTTGGTCTTTAAACTTATGTTGTTCGATTATGTAATTTTAATTGAAAACATATTCTATTAAAAATTCATTTAACTGTGACGTGTACATTATTTGATATGTACTCTAATATATACCTGCAACTTTTGTACTTGTACAGCCTAAACATTTTTATATTTTTCCAACAAAGTCTATTTTTTGGCCATTGGTGGTCCTATTAGCCGGGTTCACCAAGGTAAGTATAGGCCAGAAAAATACAATGGGTCTCTTTCAAATAGGGCTCACTTGAAAAAAAATTTTTTTTTAATACCAAGTAGATTTTTTTTTTTCACTTTTCATCATTTCCAATCAATTTTCTTTCCAATTATTAAACAAAATTGTTCTTTGAAATTATCAGTATATTGTTTGAGAAATTTAGCTTTATGCAAAATTAAGTAAAACAAGACAGAAATCTGCTTATTTTTTTTCAAACAAAATTTAAATGTATTAAATAATGATTAAATAAAATACATGGTTGAAGGGAAACATATTACTTAATTCTAATAGTACATAACTTATCTATAAGACAAATTACAATACAATTCAAATTATTATTATTAATATGCATATCCATTGCTATTCAAGTTATTATTAATAAGCATACCCATGATACTAATCCAAATAAATTATTGCATAATTTATTTGGATTTGAAAACCCATTAGGTTTTGTTAAAATACAACAATGGATAAATATTATAAGTATCCAATATTTAAAACGAATTTAATATATTTTTAGGCAAAGAATGCAGAAATAAATTTTTTAGTAAAAAAAATGTCTGTTAAAGTATTTTAAAAGATTAAACCAAAATATCTCCATTTTATTTTAAGATTTCTATTATAGGTTGTACCTATTTTCATCTACTGTACCTTTTGTAAAAAATCTAAGAAATCTATTTTTAAAGATAAAGTTTAGAATTTTGAACTCATAATTTGGCAGAAAACCATAATTTTATTGAAAGTCAAAACACATCTCTTTACTCAGTTCATTGCTTCTCTTATGACTGCTTGACTAGGAAGAATATTTTCTAATTTTCAATTAGTTCAGTTCAAACTATGAAATCGTTGAGGTTGGAAAAAAAATGTTTTGTTTACATATTTCATAAAAAAAAAATAAAGGCTTCTGATATTTTAAAATTTTAGTTTAATAAAATTGTTATTACACTTGAGATTTAAGTTTATATTTTATAGTTTAACGAGTGACAAAAATGTATTTTATTTAATATTTTTTAATCATATTTTTGTTGACTAATATTTTATTTGGTAAACATTTTGTTAATTAAAAAAGAACTATTAAATTATGTAGTGATCATATAATGAAATTGTTTATTGCTGGAATATGATTGCATACTGTAGATATTGGTTGTTTATGATATATGATACATTCAGACATGATTATTAATTAAATTTAATGAGTATTTCTGCTTGTTTAGTAAAATCTTATTTTATGTAATTGAAATGCTTAGAATACAAATGTTTAAAATTTTTCATCTTTTTTCGAATTCATTTCAATGGTATAATAAAGATAAAAGTTTATAATATTTTGTTCATTGTAAGACAAAGAATTCAAGCATCAAAATTAATATAAACATACCATGTGCTACATTAAGTTATGTGTATTTATTTTATGAATGTATATATTTAACTTTAAAATAGTCACTTAACAAATGCTTTTTATACAAAGAATCATTTCAGTAACTTTTATTAATATACAATTCATTATATATTAAGAGGGTATAAAAAATGACTGAAATGATAGTTATTCTCAAAACAATTTCTTTTGTCTCTTTGGTAAAATTCAAGCAGTATATTTTCTGTATATACAAGTATGCTTCTAGTATATACAGAGTAGTAATAAGTAAGGATATATTAATAAAACTTACTTATCTCCGGGAGATATTGTGTCTGTTCATTAAAAAACCCAGACGGGCTGCAAGGTTTTCATCACAGAAAAAAGAAAATTAGTTCTAAACTAATAATCCAGCCCACATACCCAAATTGCTAAACTACAAAATCAAAAAAAAGAAAAGCAGTTCTTTACTAATAATTTAGTTAATATGCAAAATACATTCAAATCGTAGGGAAAACAATAAAACATAGCTCTAAACAATAAAATAATTCAGTTAAAGTGCAAAATGTATCCAAATAACAAAAATACAATAACAAAATTAAAAAAGAAACGTAATTGTAATTTATAAGAAAAAATAATGAAATGAAATGAAAACAATTTAGTTAAAATGGAACATTTCTCCTAATCAAATCTCTGAAATGCCAATGAAAGGAGAAAGAAAAAAGTTATTCTCTTTAAATAATTCATCCAAATCACTGAAATAAAACAGTTCTATACTATTGATTCATTTAAAAAGCAAAAGGCATAAATATTGCAGAAGTAGAAAAATGGAAGAAAAGGGGAGAGGGGTTATTTTTCGACATTAATTACTAAATCTGAAAAAATTTAATAGATAACTAAAAGTAAAATAAAAACACAGTGATGAACTAAGCAAAGAAAAACACACTGACAAATTAAGTGGCGATCATTTGACCTTGAACTGAATTTAATTAAGTATCAACTGTTAAGAAGGATGTTAACCAAACCCTTCCTTGCCTCAATTCGAGAACTCTGCAAAAGAAAGTTGAATAGAAATTTCAGGATATTTTATGAATTTCATGATTATTTATTTTTAATTTTCCTTATGGAACAGGGTTTTCCTCTCTCATAAATAAATAGCTTGTTTGGAATGCAATAGTAGTAGTGATCGTTTACCTATATTTTTATTAACATCTGTTATATTATCTCTGTTAATTTTATACAAAGAATATAATTGCATATGGGAAGCCGTGTGCAATTTTTCAGTTCTATCTACCCTGATTAGGCTTACTTATCGCTTCTAAAAAGGTTCTTTATTGCACTTTTGGCAAAGTTTGCAGAGTGTGTAAATAATACTATTTTTTCTTCATTTTCAGCTATTTCACTTAATACTTAACTGTCTTCATTTTTTTTCATCTGGTTGAATTATGTCTGTATTTGTTTAATTTTGTTCGTCTGTATCAGCATTTGTTTCACATTTTAATTTATTCGTTTCAAAGTGGAAGAAATTTTCTTAGATATTTCTCTATCTTATATTCATGCATAAAATAATAAACTTAAATGTATCAGCATCTCGATCTCATGTGTTCTTAAAGGGGGTTCCTGTTTTAAGGGTGACATGCTGTCTCAACGGATTCTGAATGTAATGGGTGACATGGGAAAGGAGATAAGTGAAATAAAGGTTAAAAAATTAAAAAATACTGGACTTGAAATTTTTTCCAAAAATACGGAATTTGTGCGCATTTTGAAATTGCTTTATAGAGTGTGCAAGTTTCTCAGGTTAGTAATTTTAAAATGCGAGAAGAAGAAACAATAAGAAAGATTCTCTCTCTGTTCTGGAAACACTGGGCTGTGATCTTTCTTAAAAAACCGAGTATTTGCGAACTCTAACTCTGAAGGCACTAAATTTGCATTGCCTTAATATTTTTTTAATAAATGTTCATTATTTATTATTTATTTATTTTTTCGTACTTTTAAGATTACCTAACCAAATTTAAAAACGCATAAATTGGAACTAAAGTTATTTCAGTTCGTTTGCTGTATCAGATTACATGTTTAACTTTTACCTCTCAAAACATCATCATCATGTTTATTCTTTGTCTCGTGTAAATTGATATTTGATTTTGTTGTGTACTTTTAAAAATTAAGTAGTCTCTCTCTCTTTTTTTAAAAAAAAAGAAATTTAAAATTGTTACCGAGAAATTGTTTTAGTAAAATGTAAGAGAGATTGAAAACTTAAAGTAATCTTGTTATTATCTGTTCAGATTGCTGTCTTCTTTTTCTTAGGACACATTACACAGAGCTCATTCTAGGCAGGGTAAACAGGGTGCAGCAGCCTGCTGCCCTTTTGGTCAAGAGAATCCACCCTGTTGCCCCTGAAGTAAATTAGTGCCCTGATGTAATAGACTCCATACCCTTTTTGCCCCTTCTTTCCTCGACCCTTCTTTATTCCTCCCCCCCCCCAAACTCTACAATGGATTTCTTAAACTTTTGTTATTTTCAACTCTTTTTATTTAGTTTGTTGTTGCTGTCAATACATAGATTTGTATGGGAAAGGAAAAGTAGCCATCACACCCCCTTGTTGCACTTGACTTTGAAAGTTTGCAGTTACTTCCACCATCATTAAATCATAATTATTAATCATTTTAATGATTAAATCATAACTATAGACAGTTGAAAACATACATTTATTATTTTATTAATCTATGCATGCATTTTAAATAAATCACTAAGCTAATTAGCTCATTAACTCGATATATATGTTAATTTATTATTAAAAATTAGTAATTAATGTGATTGCTTTGCTACTTTTAGTAAAGTAAAAAAAAAAATTTCTTTTACTAATTTACAATGTTTTTTAATAGAACATGTAAAGCCCATAGAAAGAAATTATTGCTTTTTCAGAATGATAATGCCCCTTTTTTAAACTTTTGCACTGTGCCCTTTTTTTCTGCCTAGAATGAGCTCTGCATTACAATTCTAAAAAGACTAAATATATTTTGAATATGTATTCTAATTTTTATTTAGGTACACAGGAAGAATGTGAACCATTGAAGTGGGTCATAGATTTAACGATTGCCTATCCAGAGTTGCATAATCCTTTAGATTTGCTTGCAATCTGTGCATCATCCCGTCCATCATGTTTAACATACTTATATTATCGTCGTTATCCCGTCGCAGATGTACCATTGGACAGCACTGACTCTTTGAGAGACTGGGTCTATGCCCGTTGGAGTGAAAAGGAAGAGCTCTTAAAAGAGTATTATAGTACCAAAAAGTTTCCACATTTGCCCCAGAGCCAAAGAAATGGGAATAGTGATATTGTGCAAAATCAACCCCACCATGTGCGGATGACAGTCACGCAGATAATATCCATTCACGTCTTTTTCATCTCTTCTACCCTACTTCATTGGTATCTACTATCAAAGATGTGGAACTTTGCCTGGTATTAAAGACAACTGATTGCCTTAAAAACTTTGGAGCTTGCCTTTACCTTTTTTTAGAGGATTGGTGGGCCTTCTCACTCAGAGAATTATTACTGCTACTTGTTTTTATATATATTTTAATTTTTGATTACAATAATTAGTTATACTTAAATGTTATTATATGAAGTGCATGATTTTTTTACATATTAATCGTGTTGTCTGTGTAGTGCTTTAAGAACACATAATGAATGATATTTTTTTACAGTGAAAAATATAAATTCTAACATTCAATTACCACACATTCTGCTGTCTTATTTGTTGTTTTTTTTCTCTCTCTGTAAACTAAAGCATTTTGTATCGGGAAAAGGGGAAAAAAAAGACAGAATGATGTCAAACAGTATAATGTCGTCATTATATTTCAAGTGCTATTTTCCAAACTAATATTTATTACCAAGTTAATAGCTTCTGATTGTTATGTTTGTACTTTTACCTGTGATAAAGCTGCACATATAAAATCTGTGATAAATGCAGTTACTTTTTGATGCTTTAATAATGATAAATTCAGAGTTTTCTTTTTAGTTTAATTTCAGTAGCATTTCTGAATTGCCTAATGGTTTTTTTGAAGAAGCTTTACTCTGAATAGCATAATTCGTAATGCAAATTAAGTACATTAGAGAGGGGGAGTAATATTTTTTTTCGAGTGCCATTTTGAATATAAATTAGATTACCCTGCTTTGAAAGTGCCATTTTTATTCCCAGTGATTTTTTGTAAACTAGAAATTTTCATACTCGCTTACATGGTATGCTCTCTTCTTTCTCTTTTTACGAATTAAAGTCTTCTCCACAAAAAAATTTTCAATTATGTCTTAATCTATATCGGCATTTTCTTATTTTTAATGATTTGAAATTTTTTTTATAAAATTTCAACTTAATTGTATATTTGTTTATATTGTGAGAAAGTTAAAATATATATATTTAGAACAAATTTCTGTTTTGGTTGTGCTTATTTTAATCAAACCATATTTGCTTATCATAATAAATTTTTAATTCCTGAACTATTACTAGTATTGTTATAACATATAATTTTTTCCCCTTCATTTGAAATTTGGAGTACAAGTGCAAGTAATGACAAAATTTTTTAATTCTTTTATTTCTTGTTATTGAGTATTTAATGATACCAATGTTCTACATCATTAGTATTGTTATGTTTTTTTTTTCTATCATTTCTTGATATGATATTTAAATTGTATTTTTTCTACAAAAAATGTGCAAAGCTTCTTTATAAGTTTATATAAACGAACTGGGTATTTACTAACTTCTTATTATTTAAGTTTTTTAAAATTTAGTTTCATCTTAACTCTTAATTGTACAGTGGTTTACACTTTGATCAAGTTATAGTTTACATTTTTCATCAAATTATTGATTTGGTGTTAAAAGCTATGTATGCTTATTATTAGGAATTTTTGGTTTTTAAACTTTGACAAAATTATTTGCGATGACAATTTTTTAAAATTTACTTTCAACTTCATGCGCAAAAACAAGTGTCTTTATTTTGATTTTTTTAAATTTTTTTTTTTACATTTTCTTATTTTACATGGCAATTAGGTTAATTTTATTCTTGGTAAAACTTTAACCTACTTCCTTTATTTTATACTTGTTTTATATTATTTCAGTAAAGACTTTTGATTCAACATAATGAAATAAAACGAAATCAGACTCAAGTTTCTTCTACTTGTTCTACAGAAAATATATTTACCTAAAGATAAACACTGCTCTATAATCTTATAGATTACATGAGAACAATATATTTTTTCTTTTCCCTGTTTATATATACATGTATATTTTTTTTACTTTTTCAAAATTTTTTGTGCACTATAAATATACCTACTTTCTATGCTCAGTTATCGACATAATTTATTATTTTACTTTTATGTTAACATTTTAAATTTACACAATTAGTATAGTTATTGATATTAGAGAATTTCTTATTAAACACATCATTGAAGATTGTTTTTTAAATTTATAATATTTCAGACCAAAGCTTAATGTTTTAGAGAACAAAAAATTTAGGTATTTCATCCTGTACCTATGCGTTTGAAAATAAAGTTGAGTATTTTTAGTTGTCCTATCATTAGGTTGTGACTTATCTTGTTTCAGAAAATTAAGAACGACTGTCTTAAAGTGATAAAATAAATTAATAATTTAAATTGAAAAGAACTTATATATAATTTTTTAAATTAAGAAATATTTGTAAATAATATAATTATTATTCTTTCTTTTTTTGGAAAAAATAAGAGAGTTTTCGTTGCTTCATTAATCGATTGATAGTTCCTAAGAATGAGTGATCATATTTTAAAAGCTTGGGAACCACCGTTTTGAGATGATAAAAAGATTTAAATAATAATAATTAAAAACCTACAGGTTTGTTAAATTTAAAATTTGTCTAAACAATATAATTAATTATTTTTTAGTTACATTTTTAGCCTTTGTGTCCAAATTTCATTGTTTTATCTAGTATTGATAGTTCCTAGGCTCTGTTAAAAACCAATGATTTGAAATTAGTTCAATAAAAATACATTTGTTGTGTTCAGAATATTTCTAAATGATACACTTACTTGCCTTTTTCTGGAAAAATTAGAGAGCCTTTGAATCCAAATTGCATCGCTTTATTAAACCATATATAGATCCCAAGAAATATAGAGTAATAGAATTCAAGAAGCTCATAAGCATATTTCTTTAATTAATTTTTGTATCATTATTTCCTTAAAACTGATGTGTTTTTAAATTTTTTCTGAAAGGGAAAGACTTTAATGATTTTATTGAAGGAAAAAGAAAAATCCCAATCCCCCCCCCCAAAAAAAAATGCTTTTTTAAATCAAAATAATACATTGCCATTAGCATTTTATTTGCATTCAGTAACATTTGGAAGAACCAAAATAAATGAAAGTAACGTTACTCAAAATGAAATTTTCATGCGAATGATTATTGTAACATTAACAAACATTGTATTTAAATTGCTTATTGCTAATTTTAGGCCTTTAATTCTTTTCTCCTTTTTTTGTTGTTTATATTGGTAGTGTAATAATTTTATATGATGGTTGTACGAGGACTTAACTAGTTTGCCCATACTTTATATGTGTTGCCCTAAATTGATCCTAGCCCGTATGTACCCTAAGTTGGTCCTGACTGGAGTTTACCCGTATGCCTTTGTTGTCAAAATTTTAGTTAAAGTGTTAAATTAATGCATATTTTTGTTCACTTAATTAACTTTTAAAGTTATACTGTATTTTTTTTCTGTACTTGTATTTTTTTTAATTAATCAACTTGCTACTCATGAAACTTAGTTTAAGTATTAAAACTTTCACAACAAATGATGTTTCCTATTTGTACTTAAATACAAATTAAGTATAAAATTGTTCATAAAGGTAACGGTCATACCTTTAGTTTTTTATATGCCAATCTTCAGTCTGCATGCAAAATAAGGAGTTTTTCAATTAAATGTTTAAATTATTTAGTTTTCTGTTATTTTATGACTGCAATATAATGATTAGTCTTTGATATGTGCAGATATTTTTTCCAAATAAAAACTCATGTTGAGAATTTAAAATTCTGTTTCATAGTGAGTCCTTGCATGCTTTTACTTTTTATTTTAGCAAAAAAAGTATAACTCCTAAAATTAATTCACCAAATTATAGTGAAGAGTTTATTTAAAAATTATATAACAAAAAAGAAATTGATTTAAAAAAGTATAAAACATTTGTATACCTTGTAAGAAAACTAAAATTATTCTTAATATCATTATGCAGTGTAAGTTTTCATATGATTTTGTTTGTGTAATATTTATCTTGTAATCATTAAATAATGTTCCTATTTTGATTTTTTTTAGATTTTAAATATATAAATGAGCAAAAAGTTAGATTCATTTTCCAATACCCTTCTATATTTTAAAATTAAACAGCATTGGTTCCTGCATTGTTTATTAAAGTATTAAATAATTTGTGTTGTTAGTACCATAATTTTACATCATCTCTGTTTATTTTATACATTTGCTCTTATATAATAATGTGTCCAATTACTGCATTATGATTTCAATGTAGTTTTAAGCTTTATTTTTCTTTTAGTTGAAAATTTTAGTTTTTATTATTATCATTTATCTGAGATGTGCTATTTATTTTATACTTTCTTTTTCAGTGCTTACCCTGAAATCCAGATAATCCAAGCTCTGATTCTATTCCTCTTGCAAATTTTAATCATTTAAGTGTTTAATTTAAGATAAAAATATCATGCTGATGTGAACCCAGCAATTAATATATCGTTCTTTGATGTAACTTAATCAAAACTCAACTTGCTTTAACTTAAATTAGTAGAAAAATAAGCTGGTGTCTGAAATAATACATCATTTTTATAGTACAATGAAATAAAGTTTGGAAATGGTCTGGGCTTCCATTCATACAACTCAGTATTAAACTTATTTTCCCTCCGATTTTTTACCATTTTTAAATATTTCTCTGGAATGAGTAACTAAAATAGAGAATAAAAGTTGAAGTAAATTTGTTTTACAATTTTTTACTTTTTTCATGAAATATATAAAAAAGATTTCTAGCTTTGCTATTTGAAAAATTGAGGTTTAATGCTATAATTAAAATAAATGCACATTTCAAATATTATGCAGAATTTGCAAATTTTCTGAAAGAAATCTGTAGTGGATAATGGTTTATTTAAACTTGTAATGGATAAAGAAATTATATGTATAAAAGATTTAAGGTTTTATGTAATTTTTCCAATTTGTTGTTGCCAAACCAAACAAAAAATAATAAAATTTAAAAAAAAAAAATTTATGAATAGAGTTTTTGACAGTTTTCATTTTCTATAAATGTGTCTTAAAATCCTGTTTGAACTAGTTTTTCTATATTTTTAACTTATAAAATATAAGTTAATCTAATGAGAAGTGCAGTAGTAGTATTAATCAGAAAGGGAAAATACAATTTTAATTTTATAAATGTTTTTAAATGTTCTTTTTTTTAAAAAAAATAAATAATAATGATGCCCGTAAACTAAATTTATTTATGTTATTTTAATGTTATTTTGTTTAACAATTATGAAATAGTCTGTTATTCTATTATGTATATTTTTTACTTGTTGAATCTAGATTTGTAGTCATTGTTGCTATATGAGGTTTCAATTTTTTATAGCATATTTAGCTTGGATCATCTGGATTTTATTGTAGTTTTATAGTAATTTTTTTTTTTAAAAATTTTCTGTGTTTTATTCCATTCCAAATAGAATATTCAAAACTTTAAAAAGAAAGAAGACAAGAATTTTGTCTTTCTCAATATTTTTGCTACTTGGTTTGGCTGTTATATGTGATGTATAATGTAACTTACTTGTCATCATAACGCTGCTTAAAACAAAGAAACTGCATTTTTTTAAAAAAAAATTTCAAATTTTTTTTTTAAACTTGTGATACTTTTATTAATTTGAAAGAATCTCTTGATACTTATATGATTTAACTGAAAGTAATTATATAATCATGTATCAATTTTTTTTTTCATGACAAATAAATTTTAAAAAGTATTAATAAGTTATAAATAGCAATGAAATTTTATTTTTAAAATATGCAAGTACATATATTTATATGCAAATTCAGCTTATATATGAAAATGTTCCGCATGATTCTGCATCAATATTAGGAGGTTGAATTAGTTTTATCTGAATTGGATCGGAGAAAGTTTGTTAAACTGTTTAGCAAAGTTTTATAAGAAAACTAAAAAAAAAAAGTTTATTTATATTTAATCATTTAAATAAAAAGTTTAAAAAATGATATTAATGATTAAATAAAAAAAAATATTGATTTCTAAGAGATTTGTTATAATTTATGTTATTAGGTATAAACAGGTTTTTTATTCAAAACTGATTCAACTTCTTAAGAAGTTTTGGAATTTTTTTTAATGTGTATTGGCACAGATGTTCCCTCATTTGTGGTATCTCTACAGCAAAAAATGCTTGTATTATGTACTATTAACTTACATAATATATTCATAATCATTAGATATAAATACTTGTAAAATAGAATACTTAATTAGCCTCTGAAAATTGAATTTAGGTATGTAGTTATAGTACCATAGATTGAGCTTACATATCAAAAGAATATATAAGATTTTTTTACCAGAGGGTTAAGTTCATTTACCTGGTTTAAAAAAAGCATCATTTTTAAAAGTATGTTCTTATTAGTTCTGTTATTGCAGCAGTAGTCTAATTCATTTGTAAGTTTTGTTCGAATGTTTCGTTTGATGTTATAGTATATTTTATGCTGTTAAGTGTAGAGCTTTCTTCTTACTAATGCATTTGATTTGATTTAATATGCATGACGTTTTTTAATAAAAGAAATAACATTTGACTAATGTTAAAATGTGTGTCATGTTTTTTTTGTTTAAACACATTTTGTTATTTTTTGTTTATTAAATTTAATAACTAAACCTTATCTATATATATGTATATTGGGTGTCCCAAAGGTGACCAACAATTAGAAATGTCAATTAAAAATTGTATTGCTTGCTATCTTCTGTTTATGAAACAAAGAATTTATTCTTATCAAGTTTCAAAATTAGTCACAAAGTTTATTATTTGATGGTGTTGCTAACTGATAAAAACAAAAAAATTTTAAAAATAACCATAATTTGCAGCAGCAGTGTGATGCGATTTGATGACTAAATGCATTAATACTCAGACAAATTATTACAGTTGGAATAATCTGATTTGAAAATCAGCAGTGCCATCTGTTGATGGATTTTGTTACTGATTTTAAAAATTTGTTTAAATAAATTTGTTTCCTAAGCAGAATACAATAAACTGTATATTTAACTCCTTCCTTTTACATTTACTTGATTTTTCAAATTGTCGACCATTTTTGGGATAAATAGATAATTTTCACTCATATATTATATAAATAAAAATAACATGCATGCAGTGCACATTAGACTTTAAAAAAATCTGAAAATCAAAGTATGTTTTTTAAAACTTTTAAAAATTTAATACATTTATGTATATGTGTGAAAAAATAAGTATGAATGCATGAATCTATTTAAAATTTATACCTGCATATTATTTTTATGCATTATTAATTTTGTTTGAAAGAATTAATATTACAAAGTGCATGTTTCTAGTTGTTAATGTTTTAAATGTTCCTTTTGTAATCAAAACATTTAAAATGTAGCTTTTGTTGAATTGTGTGATTTGTAGTTAGAATTTATTTTCTTCGAGTATTTTATATTTCACTTGCCATTTTAATTGGTTTTCTAATCTTCACATTTGTGTAATATAGATTGAAAAGAAAAACTATTATGAATGATTGTTATGTTTTTAGAATGAAATATAATTTTTAAAATTGTTTTAAGTGACAAGTTGATCACTTCAATAAATTCTATGCTATAAATCATAACAAATGTACTGAATTTGAAAAATGAGTGATTTTAATCAAGAGTTGTGTCACTAACAATTTACTAATAATAAAATTGTCACATACATTGTGAGTTTATAGTTTTATTTCTTTAAATACATTCATGAAAAATCGTACATAAAAACACGAATCCCAAAAATGAAGGATAAAAACTAAAACATATATTATTCAGAAGAAAATATGGCCTTGCACTGTTTCTCGATGATTCTGGAATATTAATATCGCGATATCTTGCGCGAAATTTTTTTTTATCGTGATATACTTTCTTAAAATTAACTATTCAACATTAAAAAAAAACATTGTAAGTATTTCTTATTACCAAAATCAAAAAAAAATCTTTAATATTTATCATAATTTTAAAAATTCAATGAGTAATTATAAAAATAGAACAATCGATTTGCCGAGCAAGTTTATCTCGTCACTCATCGATATTATCGTTGTTGATAATTATCGCATTAAAAAATTATCGTTGATGATAAATATCGTTATCGTGGATAATTACCGTTTTCTCGATATATATCTTAAACCATGATATTTACCATATATCGGAAGAATATTTTTTTTGAATAAAGTTATCGTGATGCTTAAAAAATATCGATTTTTCATGATATCTGACGATGCGCTATTTTACATTTTGGAAGAAGGCTAGGAAATTACGATTTGGTTAGAAAATTTTACGCTTTATTCCACTCTTCAATATTTCCTGGTAAAAAATAAAATACAGCATGATGTAGTCGATGCAGAAATTTAACAAAAATTATTTGTTTTGATAAACCTTTAAGCCACCAATATTCAAGTATTTCAACTTTTCAGTTAAGAGCTCCGCCCCTCTTTTTTTTAAAAAAACCGTTTTCTCTAAATCCGCTAACCTCCTAAACCCCCTTTTCACCAAGTTATAACTTGGCGGAAGAAAAAATGAGAAATATATTCGAATACTAATCTTATTTTTTCTTTGGGCAGGGATTCTCGTGTCTTTCTCGAATATGATGAGCCATTGTAAAATCAAGGTGCTTTGCATATCAAAAATATACTTAGAATGCAAATACTTTTAAAATTATCCTCTTCAATCTCAGTTGCAACCGTAAATAAAATTTTAATGCATGTTACAATTAACATAATAATAGAAATTCAAGTCAAAAAAAATTTATCTTTGGAATATCTTAGGGTAAATTTATTTATAATATTGAAAATATTAGTTAAGAATGCACATTGAAATTAGAGTAGCAGTTAGTAGAAAATATTTGGCAGAAAGGTCAAATCTAAAAATTTTTTTTTCCAGATAAGCATTACAAATGAATAAATAAAAAAAAAGAATGCTCGCATATAAATTCCATAAATATATCAATAATGTTTCAGAGGGTGGTATTTTACGTATAGTGTCAGAACGATAGATTGAAAAAACGATATTGTGCGAGCTTGAGGCCCGCCTAGCTTAAGATTGTTTGGTACCGGTTTATCTGGGAAGTAATAGCGGCTGGTGCGTAATGCTGACCTCATTGCAACCATTATGCCGTTTGTCCGTGAGTGTTGTGAGAGCGCTTTACTTGATTTAGGATTATCGTGATATATGTAATGCAGTTTGCTGTCGTTAGGTTTTGGAAAGATTGAGGTATTTCAGTAGATTGTTATTTTAAAGAAATTTATTTTGTCAAATAATAAGTTTCTTTTTCAGTAAAGACTATAATAATTGGTATTTTATATTGAGTTAAATAATTTGTTTTTTCTTCTGAAAGTGGATAATTATGTGTGTATCTTTAATACACAATAAAACCTATCTCTAAGTTCATAGACTAACATTATATCAGTTAAGTTTCGTAAAGATTGAGGTATTTCAGTAGATTGTTATTTTAACGAAATTTATTTTTGTCAAATAATAAGCTTCTTTTTCAGGAAAGACTATAATAATTGGTATTTTATATTGAATTAAATAATTTATTTTTTCTTCTGAAAGTAGATAATTATGTGTGTATCTTTAATACACAATAAAACCTATCTCTAAGTTCATTGACTAACATTATATCGGTTTATAGACTATTCAACATCATTGGCGAAATACTCTTTAAAATGTTTTTTTTTTTAAATGAAGCAAACATTTTTAAAACTAGTTTTAATATGTCCTTAAAATCATTAAAACTTACACATACGTGTAATGAATACTGTATAGTTTTATATTGACTTAATTTTATTTATTAGTAATATATGATATAAACGAAAAGAAATTTTTTTTAATATGCTTTAAGCTTTTACCCAACAATCACATTATTCAAGTTATTTTAAAAGCACTTATTTTTTATTTAAAAATATATTAATATAGTAAGCTTTTTGTGCATTTCATATACCTTGCATTACGTCACAATATCACTCAGTATTTTAAATTCTTTAGTACTTTCAATATAAATAATAACTTTCAATTTTCTGTTAACTCTTGCTCAATAAAAGGTATCATTAGTTAAAAATACAGTAGATAAAACAAATTTTATCTGACTTAAAAATCACAGCTTATTCATTTGAATAACATCAATAGTTCTGACTGATTTTTCAAGTTTATATTCTGTGACGTTAGATTTTTCTTCCATTTTCTTTGTTCTTTTCTTTATATTTTTTAATGTCAGATATAGTCTTGCATTATTTGACGCATATTTAACTTGAGAACAGTTTAAAGTTTAACATTTAATTTGAATTTTTCCTATTATAGCTGTAACCGGCTCTTGCATTAGTAAACTGTGCATTCAATACGATTTAAAATAATAAGACTACGTTTATTTTACATTAACAGTATCTATAAAGACCCTCTGTCTCAAGGAAATGAAATAGATCTATTCTTTCACGAATTATATTAACGAAGTTGAATATTATTAAGGTATCTTTAGAATATAAGTGTCTTACCGAAAATATTATCTTTCTTTCAATTTTTGTTTACTGAATACAAATATTAAAATATTTCTTTCTTTATACCTAATTTAAATGGATTTTTAAACACACTCTTTGTAGAAAATCTGTTTACTCTGTACTTATTGGGGACAATAGCCTTAAAAATAAAATAAAAATAGCTGGGTGATATCATGCAGTAGCAACTACTGCATTTACTACTATCTGTTTAGCAATAAAACTATGAAGATAACGACAGAAGCTTCTTTACCTTAGTTTCAGTTGTCAATTCTTGTTCTAAGAGAAGTCTTCGGGTGTATGTGATGTCTTTTTTATTAGCAGGTGTTATTTTTCCATGCGGGAACGTGGCTTCGTGACGTCAGCCGGCATAAACTATTCAGAATCACCTTATCGCAGATGTGTTTAAGCAGGAAGAAGAACAAGACTTAAATGAACGTCTAAGTGATGGTGGATTAAGAACGTTACAAAATTATGAAGTAATGAATTGAATTCTACAGATCGGTACGTTACTCAACCTTTATATTTTTAGATTTAATTTAAATATTTTCAAAGATATTCACTTGAATCTCGTGATATCTCAATATTAGATGTTTATAATAAAATTGGTAGACTCAGAATTTGGGGGGATAGCCGGACCTGCCAACTTTTTCTTGTTCTGAGGATGAATATTCCAAGTGGTAGTGAAAAGATAGTTGAAATACAACTGTAGTTTTTTTTTTTTATATTTCCAATGTCCACTTGTGTTAACATTTCGTCAATTTAGACATTTACAGGGCAGATTTGTTGGTCACTCTTTCAGGGCCACCATATTAGGTAGGCCAACGTTGCTCCCACAGCAAGGACATATAGAACAGAGAATGAAAGAACATCCATGCTTTGCCCGGGATTCGAACCCAGAACCTCTCTGATGCAAGACCAGTTTCCTGGCCACTAAACCTTTTGGTAAAATTGTATACATACAATTGTAGGCACCTTTCGGTTAGTCTTGCGAAAGCAAAAGGTCGCTCAAAAATGTAGACCTCCGACAACTTTTCTCTTTTTTAATTATATTTATATTTTAAACTCAAAAAAATAAAATGAAACAAAATTAAATGTAATTATATATTAAAAAATAAATAAAAAGGTTTATTTTCTTGCATCCGTCTGAAAAGAATATAAGCAAACTATCATTTAAATCACTTGCATTTATATATATTAAAAAATCGCATTACTACTTCTTATGTATGTATAAAAACGAAAGTCTGTCTGTATGGATGATCACTAGTAACTCGAGAACGGGAGCACCAATTTGGATCGTGTTCTTTTTCGGGCGCAATATCGGAAATACGAAATTCCATTGTTGAAAACCATGTGGTCACAAATTTAACTTTTCCTAATATCTTTTGAATGGCTTCTCCGATTGGCAAAAGTTTTTTTTTCTTTATTTTTTTTTTTTTTTAAATGGCTAATATTTTTTGGGTTATTTGGTGATATTTAATATCGTTCTACATTGAGTTGTTCACATGCACTATTTAAAAAAAAATTTCATTGCTTCAGTGCTACGCTGTCATAGTAACAGTATCGTAACAAAATGTTTTACAAAATCGAAGCAAACGAATCTCGAAAAAAATTTAAATACCTAGCTCACTTAGCATTTAGCTTAAATGCTAAATTAAAAACCCGTGCTAAGAAAAAAAAAAAGGCTGACTAACGTAAGTTATTAAAAATTAAAGAAATGCTACATTCAACCGTTCTAGCAATTTTAAACATAAATATGCTTATTCTTATTTGTTCACCCCCCATTACAATTTCAAGACGTTTAAAATTATTAAACTCTAAAACTAAGACTTTTTGTTGCCAAATATTTATAATAATTATTACTTTTTGACATCTTTTTTTAATCACAAATTTTTCATTTTCTATCTGCGTATTACTATCCTTTTAAATATATCATAAAGCTTATAAAAAGTAATCTGAATTTTTAATAGCAAGAGACTGGGAACCAACTGCGTCTAGATGCATTAGAAGCATATAAAATAATTGTTTGTGTACTCACATTTAGGGCTTATATCAGTTAAGTCTCAAGTCATCGATCTAAATATTAAGAAGCGAAGAATTTTCAACAGCAAGAAATATTTTGTCTAGGCTCAAAAAAGTTAAATAAATCTGATAGGCAATCAAAAGTACATTTTAATTAACAAATAAACTTTTCATATGAATGTAAAGACTGATTTTAACGTGAATACACATTTACTTGCTAGTGCTGTCTTTCAGTTCCTGCATAACGCTATTAAGTTAAATTATTTTTATAAAATTTATCTTTTATTATTTAAAATTTATCTTTTTTAAAATGTTTAATGGTTTTGATCTGTGTATTCTTTAAGTTTAAAAAAATTTATAACTAAAAAGTTTGTTTCGTTTGGCAAAATAACTTTTACAAATAAAATTACTTGTCCCGCAAAATTAATAATATAAAGTTTGATTTTACAGAAGTTGCTGATTTTTTTTAATTATCCATAAAACGCAATTGAGAAAATTAGCTTATTTTCTCAGAATTCTTTTGGAATTTTCCATCTATTTCAGTTACCTCATCACCACCGAGAAACGCGTGTCCCACCTAAAATGGCTAATGAATCGCACATTACCCTTGCAGTCATTTTTTAAAATTATTATTATTTTTTTTTTTTACTAAATGTATCTATTTCTACTTTATTTAATTCAATAAAGCTCAAATTTTCCTGCTTTTCGAAACGAAAAAATTGGTAGCGAAAAAACTAAGTTAATACAAGCACAAATATTTATATGCGATGCATTTAATTTAGTTCTTCTTAAGCTCTACAGCCTGTTGCAGGCCAAGATTGTCTCCAAAAGTTTCTTCCATTGGGAATTATCCGCTGCCATAGTTCTTCAATAGGTTGACCCTAATTTCACGTAACGACTTAATTTTGTTACCTTTTAAAATAATTGGTGTAAACATAAATTTAGAGGAACTAGAACCATTGTTAAATTTCCTAAGTTCTCGTACAATAACACATTCAATCGAGTTTCCCGTTAAATATTAGTTCTCGGAAAATACCTTTCTCTAAAGGAACTTTCTTAAGATATTTCATTGTTTTGATATTTATTTCATAAGTAAGTAACTGCCCATTCTTTGTGATAGGTAGAACCTTCCTCAACCGCGGCTTCGGCCGTGGTTCGATTCCTTCTACTAAAAACTCGGTATTCTGATTGTGTTGCTTGTAGTTCAGATCCCACTCTTATTTCAAAGCTGTTAAAAAAAAACACTGTCTAAGAACCGGGAAGTAATTTACAGAGTGCTAGCTTTCATTCCTTGTAATTAAAATTGGGGTCAAATTTTCTACCTTTGTCTCCTTAATAACGATGCAGCAACGCTACTCTTTTTATTCACACGGCAGTTAAGAAGTATAACTCAAAACTGCATATTATTCTATTATCATTATAATATTAACGTACTGACGTGGGGAAAAAGCGAGATTTGTGGATACCATGGTAATGGAGTGGGGAAATCGCGTACCTTGTTGATACACATATTCTATTTAAAAAAGACTGCAATATCTATAAAATTACCGAGTCAAAACCTGTGAATATCTTTCTTTATTTTAAGGAAACTTTATGTTTTTAGCTCTCTTTAGTTTTACCCGATATTTCTGATACGTGATTTCCAACAAATTCTCACATAAAAGTTTTTATAATGCAAAGCTTCTTAAGACCTCAAAATCTTATGTAAAATGTCATTGTGCAATATCTGGTAACCTGTCGCAGTCTTTTGTGTGGGAATACCTTTCAAATATATAAAAATGACATATCATTTTTAAGATAAACCTGCAGCAGTTGTAAAAGTAAAGATTTATCATAAAACCTTTAGTTCAATAATTTAGTAAATAAATATAAGCTGCAGCTGTTAAAATGCGAGAAGAATTGATTGGAATATTCCTTCAATGATGCATAAATTCGACATTCGTATGTATTAGTCACTCCAAGTCGTTTCAGTCAGTCATAGGTTTGAGAGAACAATTTACAGAAGGAAAAAGCTATATTTTTTTATCAAATTACAGAGAAAGTTTGAGTTTTTATAATTATCTGTTAAAATACATAACATATCAGTAGTACCCTGAAGGACATTGTAGAACTGGCCAAGTCATCATAATTTTTTTCTTCTTTTATTTTAATTTCAAGTAGCAATAACATTTGATAGAAGATAATACTTTAAGAACTATTTTTAAAATGTTCGTGTTTAGAATGTAATTTTATACTAGAACGAGAATATTAGTAAAAAAGATTTTTAACAGCGTTCACCAATTTCAAATTGTGGAGAATAAGTTTAGTTGAACATAATTTTGTTCTGGGAAATAAAAAGTAAATATTGTTAGAGGATTTCTCTTTGCTCTAATTTTCCATATAGATGTAAAACATGGATTTATAATTAAAACTATACTAGTACGTTGAATCTAAATGCTAATCTAGGCAACAGGAGGTTCTACTATACTCTAAAAAAATAATGAAACAGAAAAATGTTAATAATCTAAAAATAATAAGCTATTGCTTTTGATAAAACATTAAACAATTGGGGAAAAAAATAAAATTGTTATAACAAGGACAGTATAACAAATTTCACAAAATCAGTTTTTAAAAAAGCTCTTAGTTCAAATAAGTACTACTTTTTCTAAAAGTCATGACGCTATATTTCTTTTAAATTAAACTGTAACAGTATAATTAAAATTATACTTTTATATTATAACAGTATAATTTAATTAATGCATAATTTAATTAATGTATAATTTAATTAATTATAACAGTATGAATTAATTTCATTTCATTTTATGACCGGCGATTAACAGTTGACCTAATGTTCAACTTCGTCTACGACTACCGAAGTTCAACTCCGAAGCCTTGTAATTTTGAACCCAATTCAGAAGACAAGGGAACTTCTGGATCAAGTAGTGAGAGAAATTTGCCTTCGTGGTGGGCTTTTTAAGGAAAATAACCCGTATTTGAGTTACATTATGAGGATAAAACCACGAAAACCTCCCACAGTTAGTCCGACTGCTTTATCTCTAACACATGATCCGTCTACCGCTGAGGATATTTTACGTCAGCACTGTGATCGGTGCGAGTTGGATGCGGAATTTATATCGACCAGATTCGATTTTTGGAAACGTTGGATAAAGAGAAAATACATGTATAAAAAGAAAATACAAAAAATTTACTACTGAATCCATCTTTTTTTTTTTTTAATTTGGATTCAGTTGTAAATTTTTTGTATTTTCTTAATTAAAATTTACAACTGAATCCATCTGTGCCGCGATGGCTCAGGGGATAGAGCGTTCGCCTTTCAATGAGGCGAACCGGGTTCGAATCTCTGTCGATAAGAATTCCGCATCTGGCTTGCACCGACCACAGTGCTGACGTGAAATATTCTCAGTAGTAGACGGATCATGGGTTAGAGTTCCCTTGCCGTCAGGCTAACCGTGGGAGGTTTTCGTGGTCTTCCTATCCATGTA